GCGCCCAGGACCATCAGGTACTTATCCTCATACTTCTCTAATGATATATACATTTCTTATTCTGATCCAGATAAGAATAAAAGTTAATAATAATAATGTCGTAATAAATAAATTATATTTAATACTTAAACTTCAGAGCTTTTGCTATCTAATTATTATAATTAGTATATTATCTGAAACATATCAATTAAATAATTGAATTTTATAAAACGAAATGTTTTATCTTCAAATATGATAATTAAATATTAATTAATATTAATTTATATAATTTTTATACCGTATGGATTGATTATTTAAATTTTATTAAAAATATTAGCCTTGAATAAGATAGTGGTTGTGGAACTTTTAGAATGATTCCTGGAACATAAGGAAACTTAAAGTTTTAATATATAGAAAATTTCATTAAGAAATTTAATAATTTTGTTGAAATAATTTGTGCTAAAGCTTCTGTTGCTATCAATTCGTTAGAATCTTAAGAAATAATGATAGCCATACGATGGTTTATTTTTAAAGAGGAAAGGTACGGTATTAGCACTTGGGTTGCAAAAATAGTACATTTGATAATTTGGGTATTGTAGAAAATGAAACAATTATTTTCATTTGGTGTTGAATTAGAAGTAATCTTACATGGCTCTTAGCAATAAGGCTAATTTGGATATTTATTCCAAAAAAATCTATTCATTTGAAGTAATTCTACATTGATCTATAATATTTGTATATTGTACTTGAATTTGATCAAGCAGTGTTACAAAAATTTCAAACAAAAATAATATTAAAACTAGACTTATTTTTTCTACTAGATATAATGATTAAATTTAATATCCATGCAATTCAAGCAATTTATACCCTTACGTGCTACAGTTGTGCTTGCAGGCCATTAAGTTTTATGGTACTACTATTAATTATAAGATGAACATTTATCATCAATAGTCCAACTCTAATAAATTTCAATTAAACTAATATTTTTATTAATCAGTCATAATTTTTGAACACAAAAACTAGCCTTTTACTTCATTCAGATAACAAAATTTATGACAAGATTTCCAGAAATTAAATATTTCATTCTTCAAATTTTATAAGAAATGCTCATTTTCTATCTACCAGCTTCATCTTTTGAATGGTTTTGCTTATAAAATTTTGTTCCTGACATAATATTGATAAGCCCTAATTAAATAATTTTATATTATATCTCAATTAAATCAAAAAAAATTCAATAGACGGGTCATAGACTTAGAAACTCTTACGTCCAAATCTAGAGGTTATATCTAAAACTTTCTAATTCAAAATAGCATCAAACTCAATATTTAGATCACAGTTAACTTCTAGTCCATCCCTTAAACTTATTTATATCATTCTTTAATTGGGCTGGTAAAAGATAATTTTTAATACTATACCATCAATAAATTAAAATTAAGATTGATTCATTACAATAATAAATAAAAATTTTATTTAACAATTCAAAATAATATTAATAAGTTGCTCAATTTTTAGCAAAGGTTAATCGCGTTTCATAAATTCAGTTATTTTTGGTTTTGGCAAAAGATTAAAAAAAAGTATATTAAAATTTATTATCCTTCAAACTTAAGTATAAACTTAAATAAGAAAAGAAGGCCTTTAAGCAATTTAAAGCTAAACCACAAATTCCATTTTCATCTTTGATAAATAATACTATTTCCCTTAAGGAGTTTTAATATTATTATTTTTTTATGATAACTTTTAAATATAATTAATCTTTTATTCCTAAACTATCTCCTAAAAAAGTGTAAGTTATCATTATAATCATAGGAATAAGGAAAAAATCATGGATTTTTTTAGAATTTAAAGAAATGAAAGCTAGATAAGAGAGAATTGTAAAAAAACAGGTACTTTTTGAACCAAAATTGGATTGGTATTTAATCGATTCTCTTCTAGTGGTCCAATTTCAGGAAGTTGTGCTACTGCTACATAAGCCATTTTTGTAAATTTAGTAGCATGAAGTACATTTGCAGTTGCCTAAGGAGGAGCCATATAAGTAAGTATCACATACTGTTGATTATTAAGCTAAGTTACTTCGAGTACATAAATCGGTTTATTCATTTTAACTTTCTCTCCTTACATTTATTTGAAACTTGATTAATTCAGATTAATAAATTTTATTCTCTAGTTTTCGAGTAANGAAATTAAATATTTCATTCTTCAAATTTTATAAGAAATGCTCATTTTCTATCTACCAGCTTCATCTTTTGAATGGTTTTGCTTATAAAATTTTGTTCCTGACATAATATTGATAAGCCCTAATTAAATAATTTTATATTATATCTCAATTAAATCAAAAAAAATTCAATAGACGGGTCATAGACTTAGAAACTCTTACGTCCAAATCTAGAGGTTATATCTAAAACTTTCTAATTCAAAATAGCATCAAACTCAATATTTAGATCACAGTTAACTTCTAGTCCATCCCTTAAACTTATTTATATCATTCTTTAATTGGGCTGGTAAAAGATAATTTTTAATACTATACCATCAATAAATTAAAATTAAGATTGATTCATTACAATAATAAATAAAAATTTTATTTAACAATTCAAAATAATATTAATAAGTTGCTCAATTTTTAGCAAAGGTTAATCGCGTTTCATAAATTCAGTTATTTTTGGTTTTGGCAAAAGATTAAAAAAAAGTATATTAAAATTTATTATCCTTCAAACTTAAGTATAAACTTAAATAAGAAAAGAAGGCCTTTAAGCAATTTAAAGCTAAACCACAAATTCCATTTTCATCTTTGATAAATAATACTATTTCCCTTAAGGAGTTTTAATATTATTATTTTTTTATGATAACTTTTAAATATAATTAATCTTTTATTCCTAAACTATCTCCTAAAAAAGTGTAAGTTATCATTATAATCATAGGAATAAGGAAAAAATCATGGATTTTTTTAGAATTTAAAGAAATGAAAGCTAGATAAGAGAGAATTGTAAAAAAACAGGTACTTTTTGAACCAAAATTGGATTGGTATTTAATCGATTCTCTTCTAGTGGTCCAATTTCAGGAAGTTGTGCTACTGCTACATAAGCCATTTTTGTAAATTTAGTAGCATGAAGTACATTTGCAGTTGCCTAAGGAGGAGCCATATAAGTAAGTATCACATACTGTTGATTATTAAGCTAAGTTACTTCGAGTACATAAATCGGTTTATTCATTTTAACTTTCTCTCCTTACATTTATTTGAAACTTGATTAATTCAGATTAATAAATTTTATTCTCTAGTTTTCGAGTAATTTGTTGTAGCTTTCATAAAGAAATTTTCGCCATTTATCTTTTTTACTTTGGAATCAAAATTAATATGATACCTTCTTCTCTTCATATAATAATTCAATCATTTCCATTTTAATCCCATTTTTAATTTATAGTTATTAAATTTTGAATTATTTATGTTACCTAAGAAATTAAAATAATTGGAATATTTGAAATTTTGTTGTTTTTTATTATATTAGAAATAAATTTTTATCATTTTTTTCCACTCTTCAAATTCTTAGTTAAGGTTCCAAGGAGTGTTGATTTTTTTATTTAATTCAATCGATTGATCTATTTTAAAAGATAGATCAATTTTTTAGCAAATTCTTATTTTGATTAATATTAGATTCAGTTCAAATAAAATATATTAGAGGATATGGAATAATTTAAATTATCATTTAGGATCCTTTAAATTATGGAAATACATGTTATTTGGCTACTAAATATTACAAATGGAATCTTCATTTTTAATTATGGATGGATTAAGTAACAAAAGGTGTGAATAATCTGTGTAATTGATAAAATGAAGTGCAATTAAAATTAAAAGCCTCACCAATTTTATATTTTGTTAGGATAATATGATTTAATTCCTCCTTTTTAGGAATATTTAGGAAAAGGGAAGTAAATATGATTATCAAATTAAGTAAAAAAATAAAATCATAAAGGTATCTTATCCAAAATGTAAAAGATTATATTGGAATATTCCTTAATCTTTTTATTATATAGACTATTTGATTTTTAAATTTAATATTTATTACAATATTGCAAATCATAAAATTAATTAAGGTACTTATAAAAATGTAGAATTGGGAGATTTTTCAAATTGAAAATCAAAACTTATTTGTTAATATATTCTATAGAATATTGTATTTCTGTAATAAAATAAGATTTTAATATCCTTAATATCGTCATTAATGATATTGAAAGGAATTAAAATACTTCAATTACTATATTTGAAAAATAATTCTCATATTAAATCAATAATCTCTAAAAAATCCTACTCCCCTTAGCTTAGCTTATGAAAAGAAAATTTTAAGTATCAGAATTATACGTTAAAAAGCAGGGCTTTTAAAAGATTCAATTTTATTAATTTTAAAAGAACCTTGAAACTTATAGAACAAATGTTCTAAATTTTTTTACTGATAATACAAAATATCAAATTTCCATTTCTTTCAAAATAAAATCATAAAAGGATTAATTAACAAATATACAACTTTAATCAACTAAAATCTGTTAAGATTGAAAAAAAAGGTTTAATTTGAGATTCTAATAATATTTGACTATCGTTTTTGATTAACTTATTAATTTTAAGTTCAAATCATTCCCTTCAATTAAATGAATTTATTCAAGATTAGCTTAATTATGAATAAGCAATTTCTGATTTTATTTCAGAAAAAGAAAATAATACTACTAACTTGGTTTTTATGTGATATAATTGAAAGAGTTATTATAATCAATAAGTAATCATTACTGATTAACACATGCTGAACATCAGTTCTTGAAATAACGAGATTGTTAAAAGGTAAAACAGTTCTACTAAAGCTTTCTTGAAAATGATGTATATTTTTTTATTTCATTTAATTCATATTTTTTATATTAAAATGATCACAATCTCCATATTAATGATGATGTCTCAACCTCTAAGGTCAAAATTGATATCAAAAGAGGATTATAACTTAATAAAAAATAGTAACAAACTAATTTCTACTTAGATTGGTGTCTTTAAAAAGGAAGTTCAGCTATTAGTGATTATAGTGGGGAAAGTTATTTCGGAGGATCTAATGAATTCAAAAAGGATACACTCCTTCAAAACTATTACTAGTTGCCACCTCATTCTTAAGTAACTATTTAGATAAGAGCTATTTTCTCTTCTTGTATATAATCTTTTGAAGTGTAATTGGATGACGCAATATAAACTATTGATTACGGTCTGTTATTTACCTCCTAACCTGTGGATTTGGAGCTTAGCTACTTTCACTCCAGTAAGTCGGCATTTTTTTCTTTGTAAGTTACTTAGAAATCAGGCTGTCCTAATCCGAATACCTGGTGGGGTGTTTTTGCAATATAAATCCATATATCAGATTGTTAAGATGATAAAGATTATTGTTAGCCTGGATCAAATAGTTTATGGACAATCTTAAATTCAAATCTGAATTTCTAACCTACTGATTGGAATTTTTCTTTAGCAAGTTCGTAAAATTAATATATGTTTAAAGGTATAATAAAATATGAAAACTAATTTAGATTTTATAATTTAATTTCTTCGTTATAGTAGTTCTTTTGTGCTTTAAAAATAAGTCCTAGTACCATATCCAACTAAAGTCAAATTGTAATTTAAACTCTTTTTCAAGAATAGTCCTTCAGAAATAATTATATCTATAAATAATCTTTAGATAGTGTGGCCAATAAATAATTATTATGAATACTATTAGGATTGCAATATAAATTTTTAATTGATTTATAGCATTGAAATTGATATTCATCATCATAAAAGTGATTTATTGTCTATAGATCTACTTTTAAATGAAAATTTTGGAAATAATGAAGTGAGTATTTTTGATTTCGTTGTATATTATTAAGAATAGGATATTGTTTAACTACCAAGTTTAGGATGCTTAAATCAGATAGGCTAATAATGTATTTCTTGTGATTAAGGTTGGTAATACGATAGTTTGAAATAGAATTGCAGTCCCATTTGTGGTAATAGAATACAACAAGGATATGAAGAATGCGACGATGGAAATGAAATTTCTAATGATGGCTGCAACAACTGTAAATTTCAATGTTCTCTCGATTGTTAAAAATGCTAATTTGGGAAGTGTTTAATATAATCCAATTCTAATAATCTAAATTAGTTAGATACTTTTTCAAAAATTTAAGATTGTATTCATGCTAAAGGTTATTATTATGACTCCTTATTAAATGATTGTTTATCTATCTGTGGCGATCGAATTATCACATTAGAAGAGGAATGTGATGATGGTAATAGCTTACTAAATGATGGGTGTAGTAATTGTAAATTCATATGCTCTGATAACTGTTTGGATTGTTAATTTGGTAAATGCTATCAATGCCATTAAGGATATAAAATTTAATAATTTAAATGCATATCAGATTGTGGAGATCAAATAATAAATGTTGATGAAACATGCGATGATGGAAATAATAATAGATTTGATGGATGTCATCAATGTTAAAGCAGTTGCTAATTATAATGTTTATTTTGTTATAATTCTCTCTGTATTTAATGCTTATAAGGTTGGAATTTAATTGATGGTAAATGTGAATAAAATTGTGGAGATGGACAGGTGGCCTTAATGTCTAATGAATAATGTGATGATCCTAATAATAACAATTGTATTGATTGTTTATTTTAATTCTGCTAAGATAATTGTCAATTTTGTAACTAAAATATGTGTATCACTTGTTTTTTTCCTTTTTAAATGATAAATGGAGTTTGTTTACCCATATGTGGTGATTCCATTGTAACACTTGAATTTGAACAATGCGATGATGGAAATGATATCCCTTTTGATGGATGTCACGAATGTCAATATTCATGCTCATATGGATGCTAAGAATGCGAGTATAACAATATTTGTAAAGAATGTGAGTAAAATTTTTTTGATTTGGATCTCTAAACTGGTAAGTGCAAAGAAATTATTAAATCAATCAATAATTAAATTGATTAATCACAAGAGAATGGTAGTAATAATTAAATTATTTTATGTAATCCTAATTATGTATTAATTGAAAATATTTGTGTTAATTTATGTGGAAACGGATAGCTCAATAGCCATTATGAAGATTGTGATGATGGTAATAATAATGGAGGCGATGGATGTTCTTCTTTGTGCAACCTTGAAAGATTTTTTGAATGTATTAATCTCGAAAACTCTTTAACAATATGTTCATTTGTAAAACCTCCTGATTTAAATTTAAATAGACTTTCTGACAAATAAAATCAAACTCAAATTATTGAATTGACTTTTTCTGAATAAGTTAAATTAAATCATCCATCTAATTTAGAAGAGATTGTAATTTTCAAGATAAATCCATAAATAACACATGAACTAACCATACTTCCTATATAAAATTTGACAAATTATTTGAATGATCCTGTATACTAGATTATTATTTAGTTTTATCAATCTATAGAAAATCCAATCCTCGAAATCGAAATCTCTAAATTTGCTATATCAAATCAATTTGATATAGAATTACTGAACTTTAATAAGAGTGTAAGTCTTGGAACTCCTTTTGTGATGTCTGCAATAACTAAGCAATAAGTTGTATCAATTGTTAAATTTAATGATGCTATGATGTATTCTATGGTAAGCATTGCAGGTTTAGCTATGGTAACAGGAAATATGGTGATGATTCTCAATCTTTTAGATCTTTTGCAATCTTTGTCATATATTCGCTATATGCAATATTAGTTTCCACCTAATTTAAAATAATTTCTTGAAACTTATACTAAGGTTTCTCTATCACCTATATTAGATTATTTTAAAGTTGATGAATTTATTGCATAATTAAATGGTGGTTTCATACCATATAAAAGAAAAAAGACTTAAAAATTAAGCACAAATTTAGAATTTAATTAAGTTTATTTAATGAATGTCAAAAGCTGCTACTTTTCTCTTTTGGCTTCATTTATTACATATCTAATTTGCTCTGTTATAGCATCAAAATTAATAAATTAATAGTTGTTTAAATATTATCAAAAGTAAACTTAAAATATAAAATATCTAAAGTAGATCTAGATGTTTCAAACAAAAATTTAATAATAGTGTCAAAAAATAAAAAATGATTATTTCTCTTTTGGAATATTCTAACTCTATTTTACAATACTGCATCAATTTACCTTTAGTACTTTTTTATAATTTCCAGATTACTCTTTTGAAACATTATTTGAGACCTTTAATTCTTTGAATGCTGTGATTGCATTATTTGTGATAATTTTCATCTCCTTTTAAGTCCTCTCAATCACATCTTCTCCAATTAAAAATAAGTCAAAGTGGAAATATTTCTTTTAAGGATCTAGATCTTAATTTTGGGCACTTCAATTCAAATCCTTTTAGATATTTAGAGTTAAATTTTACATCTTAGTTATTGTTACCTGCATAAATTATCCAGAAATACAATCAATACTATTATCGATGCAATCATTATGTTTTTTGATATATATATACAAATTTAGACCATTGACTTCAAATTTCGATTTAGTTAAATTGATGATCAGAGAATCATTTTTGATGGCAATATTTTGTTCATTATTATTATATAGTTTTGATTCAACCAATGATTAACTATTACTATATGGATGGATACATATATTCCTATTATCGTTTATATTATCAACAAGTTTAGTTGTGGACATGATCGAATATTTTTATAAGGCATATTAAAATTACTTAAAAAGGAAAATTAAATAAGAATAAAAAGAATATCAAAATTATTTTGATAATCCACTTTAAAGATTTATATTGATTGAGTAGTAAAATATTGTGAATTGACAATTTGTTGAATTAAATTTTTTTATTTGTGGTAATTTTATTTAATTAGATTAATTGATTTTCTTGATTTGTCTTGTATCTGATATTTAATAATGAAATATTATGAAAAATTCTAATAATTCTTCTTATTACTTTTTAATTTAAATTAATTTAACTTAGAGAGTTTAAGCTTTAAATCTTAATCAAACTATTGTTAACATTTCTTTATTTTTAAATCATCTAATATCTTCATAAATAATGAATTGATAATATATCTAATTATAAATCGGGCATAATTTTTAATTAAATAAATATATATTAAATAAATTTCGATTTTAAGAAATAAATACCAACTGTTATCAATAAATATTTTATTAATATTTAAAAATTGAACCAAAAAAAAATTGTTTTGAAATACTATTTTCTATTATTGAGACTAATTAAAGTAAATGGAATTTAATAATTAATGAGCTTTAGAAAATCTGAAAAGAAAATTCTTTAACATATTATATAAAAGTATCCTTTGAAGTTGGTTAATCCTCTTGTCTGGTAGTTTTAACATTAAAATTGTTTATAAAGATATTATATCAAGATGATAATTATACCTTATAATTTTTATATTCTATTTTAACTATTAATAATGTCTACTATTCTTCTAATAATAAAATAAAGAATTAGGTGTAAACATATATTTTAGCTATTGAACTTAAGGAATTTATCGTAATAAAACTAATTTATACTTGATTTCTAAACAGAATATTTTAAAAATCTTATTATTTTGTTATTTTTTAATGAAAAAAGAGAGTGAATGTGTGAAAGTTGTGGTTAGAGTGAGGCCCTTTAATTAAAGGGAAAAGGAAAATAATAGTAAACCTTGTGTAAATGTTGATGAAAAATAAAATGTAGTTGAACTGCTAAAGGTTTTATAAAAAAGATAATAAATAGCCTGTCGATAATGAATCGAAATAGTTTTCATATGACTATGTTTTTGGAATGAATGCTAAATAATCTTACATTTACGAAAAGACAGCATTCAATTTAGTAGAATCTGTGATTGATGGCTATAATGGGACAATATTCGCATATGGTTAAACAGGTATTGTGTTTAGTAATTTAAGGATGCGGAAAGACATTTACCATGACTGGAGTTCCTGAAAATGTAACTATTTAATTTTAAGCTTATAGGAAGAACTTAAGGGCATCATCCCAAGAACATTTACCCAAATATAAACAATTATTGACACAAATACAGACACTAAGAAGAAATTCTTGGTTAGATGTTCTTTTCTAGAGATATATAACGAGGAAATTCGAGATTTATTGGGAAAAGATCATAAAGCTAGATTAGAGTTAAAAGAATCTTAAGGTTGTGTCTCAGCTAAGGACTTAACAATGGTTACAGTAAAAACTGCTTAAGAAATGGATAAATATATGTCACTTGGTTAAAATAATAGATCTGTTGGAGCCACAGCAATGAATGCATAGTCAAGTAGATCCCATTGCATTTTTACAGTGTATGTGGAAAGTTAAATAGTAGATGCTAAAGGGAATGAGTTTATTAGAGTAGGAAAGCTTAATTTAGTGGATTTAGCTGGAAGTGAAAGATAGTCAAAAACTTAAGCCACTGGAGACAGACTTAAGGAAGCAACAAAGATAAATTTATCTCTATCTGCTCTAGGCAATGTGATTTCAGCATTAGTAGATGGAAAAACTTAGCATATTCCTTATAGAGATTCCAAATTAACTCGATTATTATAAGACTCTTTGGGTGGTAATACCAAAACAGTTATGATTACTGCTTTAAGCCCAGCTGATTTTAATTATGATGAAACTCTCTCTAGTTTAAGATATGCATCAAGAGCTAAAATGATAAAGAATCAACCAAAAATCAACGAAGACCCAAAAGATGCTTTGTTAAAATAATAAGCAGATGAAATATAAAAACTAAAGGAATAATTATCTAAATTAAACAAGAATGGAGGAGGAGGAGGATCAGAAAAAGATATTTAAAATAATAGTAGTTAAAACTTTTATGGGAATCTGAAGAAATAATAAGAGATCCTCGAAATCGAAAAGATTAAATCTGACGAAGTTTAGAAAGAACTTGAAAAATTGAAATAAGATAATGAAAGATTAATTAAGGAAAGAAAGGATAAGGAGGAATAAATGTCTAGATAAAAATAAAGAGAGCTTGAATAATTGATAAAAGATAATGAAAACTTACAAAAGGAAAAAGAAAAAGTATTAGAATAAATAGCAGAGAAGGAATAAAAAGCTATTGAAGAATAAAATCTAAGGTAGAAATTATAAGAGTTAATGGCTGCAAAGGAGAAAATGGTTGTGACAGGAGGAAAAGCAAGTGAAGAAGAGAAGAAAAAGTATCGTTTATAGCAAAAGAAGTTGAAATAATAAAGTCAAGAACATGAAAAGTTATTAGAAGAAAGAGAGAAATAAAAGGATGAATTGTATGACATAGAATAGAAATATTAATCAGTTCAAGAAGAAATTGAAGCATTAAGGAAAAAAAATTTAAGATTGAGAAAAGTCTATAAAGAAGCAATGGTAGAAATAAAAGATATTTAAAAAGAAAATGAATAAGATAAGGAAGAATTGCTTGAAAGTATTAGAGCTTTAGAAAGAGAAAATACATTATATTTACGAATTTTATTAACCATGTTTAAAGAGGATGAATTGTTAAGTCTCAAAGGAGATTGTGTTTATGATGAAGATAAGAAAGATTATAAAGTACCTCCTTTTGTCTTTAAATAGAATAAGGTATCATATCCATCTTTGCCATATAAAGAAGGTATTATTTGTTTTTATTTATTAAATAGCCCAGGAGTATATTGAAGAGTTAAAAGATTAAAGACAATTATAAATTAATCCTAAGTAGGATATGCTTGAAATTCCTGCTAGAAACAATAGTAAAATGCGTTCTGAAGAAATCTAATAAAGATCAAGTAGTCAAGGTTTTGATAAATAAAATCGATAATAACAAATGTTGAAACAACAGCAGCAATAAGTTTAAGAATTAGAAAAAATGTATCCAACTTCATAAACACCTTAATTAGAGAAAAAGTAAAAGGTTTAGCTAAGTCCAATTGAAAATAATAAATCTTCACGTCCCCCATCAAATCAACAAAATGATTAAAACATTTTTAAATAATCTCCTTTGAAAAAATAATAAGAACTTCTAATACCATAAAAACCCATAAGCAAAATTCCTTTGGGAAAACTACCACCTGATATTGAAAGAAAGAATCATCATTAATGAGAGGAGATTTAATTTGGTATATCTAAATATTAACAATAATATAAATCATCAACCCTTTTAAACAGAAGATTATGGTTAATTTTTCTCAACATACTCCACCTCATTCTTATTTTGGTATTTTTTGGTTTTGTCAATTTTTGTTCTTTTTTATTATTATTAATTATTAATTTAAAATCTTTAATCTAAAGAAAAGTTTTAGGCATCTACATTCGCATCAGGATTTTATTATTGTTCAATTCCTTAAGGTTGAGATTATTATGGTTACTAATATAATCGTCCAGATTTCTCGTAATTTGGTTGTCTACTATATTGCTATTTATTGTTATTTAATTATTGATAATATTGATTCTAATAAAATCCATTATTTTATTGCCAATATTATGGAGTTTATTGAAATTAATAACCTAAAATAATTATATTAAATATACCAACTTATTATTATTAATAATAAGACTAATAAGGCTAGTAAGGTTATTAATAATAATATTATTAACCATAAGGAGGTTAGTAGTATCCACCTTAAGATTTTCGATTATTTTTTTTCCTCTCATAAGATGCAACTGAGAAGGAGAATGGGATAGTTTCAAAGACAGAAGAGAGTTCCTTGAATTTCTTTTCAAATCTTTAATTATTTGTTCTTTCTTCACGATTTTCAAACTGTGAAATTATAAAATAACAATACTTCCAATTTATCTAATTAAGGAAATTCTTCAAATAAACTTTTATTTGAGACTTCATTTTAAAATATTTTAGTCATTTTAATACCATTTTCATTAGATAATTCTGTACAATCTATCAAATCATATACAGATTTCAAAGTTTCATCACTACCTTCCAATTTTTGGATTTGCTTGATATTTTCAAATAATTTGAATGAAAGATCCTTTATATACAACTAAATGATAAATTAATATAATACCCATTCGATTGTAAATGTTCCAAACCATTTATTTTCAATTAACCAAAACTTAAAATGGAATTTAGGATTGAATGCAGAAGTTAGCTTAGCCATTCCACTAAAACACATACTATTAATTTCTGTAAAAAATAGATAAACTTCTTATTTCTTATTTGTGAATGCTTCATGTAATCTTTCATTTTTACGAGATGAGCTATAATCTTATTAATCATTTACCTAGTCCAAATGCCATACTTCATAGCTCTATGGACATTGTCTTCTCCTTATGTTCTTATAATAAAGAACTTGCATTCTTCTAAATTATTAAATTCATGATTAAGGTTGATTTTTGCCAAAGGTGGAAATTTATCTCTAATCTAGTTGATATCATCATAACTCTCTAATGATATGAATGGAGGCTAAGAATATTAATATGTTATACTTGATCGTTCATCATTTGCTTAAATAAAAATAAAAGATTTAAATAATTTCTGAAATATATTTAATTGATCATCATTATGAAACTAAATCAATCAACAGCTATGTTTATTTTCTCTAATTTTTTCTCTGAATAATTCCATATTATACCATTTGAAGGCAATTGTCTAAAGCTAGGCAAGAAAATTTAAAATAAATATTTGAAATCACCAAAAACTTATTTTAAATTTTCTATTATTTCTTCTTTCTCATAGGTAGTTTTTCTGTTTCTGTCCATAAATTCAATTGCAGTGAATCCTCTAAGAACTAAGAACCAATTCCACCCTCCAAAACATGCCATCGACCAACTTAATGCAAGTTCGATTATCCATATAGTGGAAAATAAAGAACTTCTTTGATTCTTGAATTCTTCAAAATCTGTGGAAATAATGATATTTAAATTTAATAAAGTAATGAAGGATGTACCTAAGAATATATAAGTGAGAAATAGAACAAAATATCTATGATTTTAGTGGCCAACACAATTATTTATCCAAGGACAATGATGATCCATTTTTAATACACATTTATTACATATACTGCAATGATGGGTTCTTTTAGGTTTTGGTAATTAACACTAATTGCAAAATCCTAAAGTTGATTAATCCAAGATTGCAGATGGACTAGATGTGTTAACCTCTAATTTTGGTGCATAATTAAATCTTAAATATTTTAAATGAGGATTAGCATTATTTTCTATTTAATTTTCATTATTTTCTGTGTCATTTTAAATAGGGATAAAATAATCATTTGTAGTACCTGGAGAAACTTAAATTACAAAAGTGTAGTTTAGTATTACATTAAAGCCTAAAATCTTAAATAATAGTACCAAATAATAATCCTAAGAGGAGAATTGCAATAGTTAATATTGTATTTGAATAAACCAAATGATATTACATAGCTGTGTCAAATATAAATGAGTAAAGGATTGTTGTAATCAATAAATAGCAAAAAAAGATTAATAATTTACTAAAACATGAGAGTATTCTATTCAAGGAATACTTTTTGTTTATCTTATTTTAATTTGATTAGTAATCTTCTTATAATTGTTACATTAATTTAATTATTTTTTTTTGTTAATATTTATACTTTTTCTACTATTTATAAATTAATATAACGACTATATTGTGATAAGATTTAAGCTGACATCAGTTGGAAGAATTTAAATACAAGTTTGTTTTATTTAAAAATGGCAGAATCGATTTGACTAGCTGTTCTATGATCTAATATAATTTAAAGAGGTTTAAAATTCTTCAAAAAATATCTTTTGGATGAATAATAAATAAGTTTAAACAAATATGTTAAATATGTTAAATCGTAACAAAATTTCATTTAATACAAATAAAAGATTAATTTACTATCTAGAGAGCCCTACATATGTGACATTTTAAGGTTTATGAATGTTATATCGAGATAATTTGATTTAAATCATCTTAACACAAAACATGTCCACATAATAATTTAACTGTATTTTCTTCATTTAGATGACAAAAACATATGGGACACTCCTCCTCCTTATATGAAGAATCAGTTTAAGTTGTAAGTATGAATTATGGAGTCTCTTCTTCTTCTTCTATAAATGCATTTTAACGAATCAATGTCGGAGGAGGTAACATCAATTCATCTAGATCCATTTCATCATAATTATAACTATCGGTGCCCTCCATCGATTTCTTTTGCTTTTTAAATAAGCTTTTTTTTTTTAATTTTTATTAAACATCTTATTTGTGTTCCCATATAAATTGGGAATTCAAGATTTAAAAGTTTATCTAGTCTTATATTGCTTTAAGACACTCAAATTACTTAAGATAATTAATATTCTTGGTTCATGGAAACACAATTCTTATTTAAAAAAATAAAATACTGTTCTTTGATATACCCCAAAATTAATTCTAAATATTACAATCATAAATTCTTCAATTAAATTAAAATAGTTTATATTATAATACTTGATAAATATATGTGGAAACTTATGTTGTTATCTAGTTTGATTATTATTGGGTAATCAGCCCTTTAACCATCAGTATTGAATTTTATGTAAGGATATGCCTTCGGAGTGGGAATGGGAGATGAAGTTCCAGAGATTATGGATTGTGTTTTGGATGTAATATTAGTAAAGCCATAATGGGATATAATATTAAAATAATTCAAATAAGGTGATGCAATTAATATTTGGAATGGTTTGACTGATATATTATTTTCATTTGATCAATTTGTTCAATAATGTGGAAACACAACGATTGGGTTGAATAAAATTTAGAAACACATAAGAAAAATCTTTACTAGTTTAAATATTGGTTATTATTTAGCTCCAAGTTTGTTCAAAAAGATGATTGATAATATGAGTAGAGAGAGTGAGAAAATATCAGAATTATCATGTTAATTTGTAGAATTAATGACGGAATAAGATACATACTAAAGTGGCTATGTAATTGGATAATTGATTTCTATAGTAATTGAAATTTGACATTATAGCTTGCATTACATAATTAAATATTTATTAATATTATCAAAGAACACAGAATTATCTAATGAAGAAATTTCACGCATTTTTAATCTTCTCTACTTGCAATATGTTTGTATCAATGTGTGGATCTCTTATTACTCCTTTCTTTCCCCCTTATGCTGATAGAAAAGGAATATCATAGACCACTTTGGGATTGATCATTGCTGCTGGTCCTTTAGGTGGATTATTAGCTTCAATTATAATTGCTAAAACTTTGAATCACGTAATATTAAATTACTAATTTATAGAGAAATAGAAACAAATACATTTTAATTGGTGTATTAGGAGAACCTATAAGTTTACTATTTTTTTCCTTGACTGATGTTTTTGATGACAAAAATCCAATTATCATTATTGCTTCAATTGGCAGATTTATTGGAGGAATAGTATAAAAAATATATTATAATAAGGGAACATCTTTATTTTTAACACCATTCTTTGGGTATATTCCTATTTTATACCCTAAAGATGTTGAAAAAAAAGTTAGCATAAGTGAAGCATTTAGTAGCGTAGGATTTTTTGCTGGGCCTGCATTAGGATCTGCTTTATATGCATTAGGTGGATACTTGACTCCATTTCTTGTTTTTAGTTCATTTGGATTCATTTCATTGCCTTTTTTATATGCAGCATTGTAATCTGTTGGACCAAAAAAATATTAAGTGGAGATTTAAAGATAAATTGAAGAAATTGATGAAAGCAAGAGATTAACTGAATATTAATAAACACTTTTAGGAACTCATTAATTAGATGGTGAAAAACGATTAACATTTTTTACTATGATTTAACATTACCCAGTAGTTGTTATTTTTTGGGTTATAACCCTAGTAAACATTTGTATGACTTATTTCCAACCTATTTTATCAATCTATTTTACAAAAGTCTATGATTTTGATGAAGGTTAAATAGGTTTCATAATGACAATAGTTTCTTTGGCTTATACTTTGGGATGCTATCTTTGTGGATACAATAAAAACTATAAAAGAGAAGTAATTTAAAAATTATTATAATATTCTAGATGGCATGTATTTGTTTATTTTTCTTTGGCTGTTCCTATTTCTTAGCTGGTCCTGATACTGATCTCATTTAAATTCCCCATAAACTTTGGATTGCATTAGCTGCTTAGTTTTTATTGGGAGTATTAAGTGGCCCTGCTTATGTTCCTTCTCTACCAGTTTTGAATGAATTCTTGTTGTTCCATTATCCAATATAAACCATTAGGGTTGCTACATATTCGTCTGCTTTGTATAAATAGAATTCATTTTATTTTAGATTGACAAGTGGAATGTTTATTGGTTAATTAACTGGACCTATTATTGCTGGTATTTTCGGAGATAAATATGGATTTGAACGAGCTTGTAGTATTTTGGGAGTCATAATTATTGTTACATCCTTTATATATGTTCCAATCATATTTATGAAATCTAAAAAAGAGAAAAATTAAGTATTATTATCATGATCATTTGTATATAATAATTGACATCAATAATTTAATATTTTTGTTCATTTTTTTGTGTTTTCTTCACTTTAACCTTTCAATTTTTGGCGCTATTAATTTAATGCCAAAATGTGGGGTTTATAGCCCCAGAACCGCAATTTCTGAACATAATAATAATTAATAATAACAAGAGAATGAATAGTAGCAAACTAATAAAAACTTAGTCAGAACAATAAACCAATGGTGAAGATGAATCCACAAGACATTTAAACGATATAATAGGTTTAAAACCTACTTAAATCTAATAACTTCCTTCTTACTCAATCAATTTTAGAAGTCTAAGACAAAGGTATGGATTAATTTAAGATTAATATCCATTACCACTTAAATTTGAATAATTATTATAAACTATGAAAACTATAGAATAGACATATTGGAAAAAGAAAAAGCCTATTATTTATGAAATTAAAACCAATGCATTCAAAATCTTATAAATTGGATAATTATTAAAACTTGATTAAGAACTTTATTAGATTAAAATTGTTGAAAAATCTGTGCAAATCATTCCTAATGATATACCAATAGAAAATTTGCCTTCATTTCAACCTTTTGCTTAATAATTGCCTTCAATCTTTGAAAATAGAATAACTAGTGTCAGAAATAAATTAGATAAATTAGTATAATAAGTTCATGAAAAATATTTAGATGTTATAAATCAATCAGATTTTAAAGAACAATCAATAAAATTCAAAGTATATTATCCTACATTTGACTTAAATTTAGTCCCTGACATCATTCCATAATAATTACCATTTTAAATTTATTCAGAAGAACAAAGAATTTAATTGCAACAAATAATTGAGAATACAATTCAATACTTTAATAAGAGAACAGTCTCTTTTATGTTCTATCCAAATCTAATTAATTATTTATTAACAAAAATAGAAATGAATAAAGATCAAATGGAAAAATATATTTAATTTTTGATGAAGGTTTAACCTGATTTTTTATAGATTACAAATTAAAAGAAGGAATAACTAAAAGCAAAATGGATAATCTAAATTAATAAATTAAGTACTGTAGAAAATTAAATTCAATAATTGAAAACTTATTTTTATTGATTTGATAAATGTATATTTCTTTAGTTTTGAACATTTTGTTTTATAATTATATATGTAATTGATCAAAATTATTATGAATAGATAGTTTAAATAAAAATTAAAATAAATTAAAACTATATTTTTTATTTGTAAAAGAATATAAAATAAATAAGATTGATTCATAAGGATAGATTTTTCATTACTTTAAGATATTGTTTTAAATGTATAAGTGTGAAATTCGAGTGGATTTATTTACATAATATAAATAATTATTTTAAAAATTAGTAAAATTAATGATAAAGAAATAACCAACAAAACAAGCCACTAGGATGTAAACTCAAGCTAATGATTAATAAGAAGTTATAGCAGTAAATTAATTTTATAATGATTAAAGCAAAGTCAGCAAGCAGCTAAATACACTTTAAATTAAATAGTCGGTAATGGAACATTTGGAATGGTTTATTTGGTATATGATATTAATATAGTATAGGCTACAAACAGTTAAACTAATGAAAAGGTGGCAATTAAAAAAGTGTTTTAGGATAAAAGATATAAGAATAGGGAACACTTGATAATTTAAGAGTTGAATCATCCATGTGTTATAAAATTGAAGGAAGCTTTTTTTACATAAGGAGACAAGGTAAATGTTTATTAATAGGAAAGGGTGATGACGTGTATTTGAATTTGGTAATGGACTACATTCCTGATACGTTAAGCAAGGTTATTAGATATTACAAAAAAGCAAAACAACCATTTCCTGCTGTTCTATTAAAAATTTATAGTTACTAGATGTTTAGAGCATTAGCCTATTTAGAAGGTATTAATGATAAATATCAAATAGGGATCGGTATTTGCCATAGAGATATAAAACCATAGAATATTCTTGTAGATCCAAATTCGCATGTTTTGAAAATATGTGATTTTGGGTCAGCCAAAAGATTGTAAAAGGGAGAGCCTAATGTGGCCTATATATGTTCAAGATATTATAGAGCCCCTGAATTAATATTTGGAGCAACAGAATATAGTACAGCAATAGATACTTGGTCAATTGGTTGTGTGATAGCAGAAATGTTAATTGGAGAACCATTGTTTCCTGGAGAAAGTGCCACTGATTAACTTGTAGAGATTATAAAAATATTGGGTACTCCTACTGTTGAATAAGTCAAATAAATGAACCCTATGCATAAGGAATTTAAATTCCCTCAGATTAAAAATCATCCATGGAATAAAGTATGAATTTCAGTTTTAGAATTCAATTTAGGTATTCTAGAAGTTCAAACCTGATCCATTATTTGTTGATTTAATATCAAAAATAATGTTATATCCTCCAAGAGAAAGATTGAGACCATTGGAAGCATTGTCTCATCCATTTTTTAATGAAATAAGAGACGAAAAGTTTGGTGTTCCAAATGTAAAATTACCAAACTTTTTTGATTTCACTAAAGGTATAAAACTAATTAGTATTTCATAGAGGAATTGGGAATACAGCCTGAAATAGCATTTAAATTAACTCCATAGTGGTATTAGTAAAAGAGGATATGAACTTAATTATTTTAATAAATGAATCCCATTCGTGTCTATCCACTCAAATTTAATAACCAAGATTCTCTTGCCATTTCTCCTGGTCTCAAAAAGAAGTAACAACCTTCTGAACGTACTCATACTTTACAAATAAAGTAAGAGATGGTTGTATTTTAGTCCATAATAAACACCTTAACAAAGCAGAAGTAATCAAAAAAGACATCCAACCAATGGGTTGACTTCTTAAGAAGAGAAAATAAAGCTTGTATATATATAAAATGCATATGTTCTATTAGGTTACTTAAAAGAAATTATAATTGCTATAGCCATCCAGTTATTCACCTAAAAAGAGAGTAATTAGTAGTAATAATGATAAACCTGAACTTTCTAAATTCTCTTATCAATCAACAGAAGTATTAATGAAATTTTAATGCAAGCCTTAGTCTCCAACCAAATTACCAAATTTAAAAAGAAGCGAATCATCTACAACTACATAAGAAATTTTAGCTAAAATTGACTTGAGTTTGGCTTAAAAGAGAAGCAAACGTACTGATACAAGTAATGCCGACAATACACCTCAAGTATGAATGATTGTTTAAGTGTTTAGAACAAGACATCATTTCTTAAAATGTATTAAGATACATCTCCTAAAATTCGTTAAATTTAAAGCAGAGTTAGTTCTTAAGCTATAGAACAAGATATAAAAATCAAGCCAAGAATGCCTTCTTAAGTAATAATGTTACATGGAAGATCAACAAGTCAAGCAGCATTAGTAAATTCTAATCCTACAGAGAATGAGGAATAGTAAGATTATGTTTAACTATTTTTATCTAAGTAAAAATGTTATAATAATAAATAATAGATCTCAAGCAGGTCAAAATGGGAATAAGTAAACTAAAACAAATTAAGATTCAGTAATAATCTCGAATAATTTTTGTGGAATGAAAAATAGGTAATGATATATTATTTCTTTTTTTAAAGATATTTATTTTCGGTATGTGATGGACATGGTGTATATGGACATTATGTTTCGTAATTAATAAAAAGAGTATTGCCAACTATAATTGAAGCATAATTAAAAACTTTTATTGGAAAATAAGAAATAGATATTGGTGAAGAATATTACACTGAAGTTGTAAAATGTTTTAATAGTAGTTTTTAAAAGATGACCAAAGATTTAGTAATTTATTTTTAATTATTATTTAAAGTAAAATTGTGGAATTGATATCACTTTTAGTGGTAGTACTTGTTCTACTGTATTTGTTTCTGGTAATAATTTATGGTGCTCGAATATTGGAGATTCAAGATCTGTATTTATATTAATTTTATATAAGATATTTATAGAATAACATAGAGAATCTAATAAATGGAAAATTGTGGAATTGAGTAATGATCATAAACCTGATTTACCTACAGAAAAGAAAAGAATCTTAGCAAGCAAAGGTAGAGTATAACCATTTGTAACTGAAAATGGATAAAATATTGGTCCTGCTAGAGTATGGCTTTTACATGAACAAATACCTGGATTAGCTATGAGTAGATCATTTGGAGATTATGTTGCTTCTACTGTTGGTGTTATTTCTGAACCAGAAGTTATTTATCATAAATTAAATTAAAAATGTGGATTTTTAGTTGTTGCTAGTGATGGTGTTTGGGAATTCTTGAGTAATGAAGAAATTCAATAAATTATTTGCAGTTATTGGAGTCCATAAATGAATGCTAAGAAAATAGATGAGATGGTTGACAATATAGTTAGAGAGTCAACTAAGAGATGGTAAGAGGAAGATGAAGTAATTGATGATATTTCTATCATTATTGCATATCTCTCATGAATATTATTAAATCAATATAAGAATTAAGAAATTAAATTGAATATTTATTATAAATAAATAAATATATAAATAATAAAGAATAAGGTAGAGATACAGATATGATAATCAGAAATCATAATGGGAATACCATTATGGTTACATTGTCTCTAATATAATCATTTTCGATTGATTAATATAACTATTTGGCAACATTTTTTGATGGGTCAACTTTCTATAAAACTTGTTGAACAACTGTTTCAGAAAGTTCCTAACATTTACAAATAATATTTACATCCCAAAATCCATCACTTGCCATTACTATAAATCTATCATTATCTTTAATTTAATATTTTGTTATTTCAGGTTCACTAATTACAAATTTCTTAAGATGATAATCTCCAAAAGATCTAGTCACAGTTAATTATCCAGAAACTCTACAAATATTTTATCTCTTTGTAATTAAACTATTAATAGAAATTATTTCTTACCCTCCTTATTTATGAATTCTTTAATTTTCTTCTTTTGATTGAGGAATATGTATAGAATGTAATTATTGATAAGAATCTTCTCTGAATACTATCGCCTTGCAATCTCCTAAATTTGTAATTGTAACAGTTTTATTTTAAATAGATAATAGGATGGCAACAGATCCTGATTATGTATACTAACTTAAATTACTGTCTATCTCATTAAATACTATTAAATATATAAATCAATTTAATACATTATTTGTAATCTTAATCTGACATCTCATTTTAGATTTTCTATAATAAATTTTAAGTCAAATAATCTGCTACATGGGATGAACCATGACCATCAAAAATCGCATAATGATTGTTTAAAATCTAGTACTAAAAACATTAGTAAATAATAAATACTCTATCTAACATCTCTCGACGAGATCCTCTATTCATGTAAAGATGATATTTTTCAGTTTATTATTCAAATTCATCAAATTATTCAATCAATTCTTATACTGCAAAGTCTTTATACTCATGATCTATTACTATTTCCAAATCCATCATTAAAATAAGTTATTTTTTTTTATTATAATTAATTAAACAAACATATTTCCATAAATAGTTGGAATATTTAATAGATATATATATTCATTATTATTATTATTATTATTAAAATTGTTGTTGTACTTTTTGATCCTTCATTAATATCCATTATTGAATATATTACTAATTTTATGTATTCTTTATAATCCAATTATGTTGTAACAAAGTCTATGCATCTAAACGTTTGTTCTAATCTTTATTAAGACTAACTAAATCAATATATCATACCAGATATTCAAAAAGTCTTTCATTTCTATACTATAAGGATGATTATCTAATTTTGGAGAATCAGATTTAAGAATATTTTATATCATTTGAATGTAAGTCATTTATTTGTTTTAAAATGCATAAGGATGTTTACCGGTTGCTAATTCATATATAATCAATCCCAATGACCATATATCAGATGCATAAGAGTAATTCTTTCCTTCAGTTCTCTCTGGAGACCTAGTAAAATAATACAAATCAAATGAATTGCTAGTTACATGTACATTAGAGTGCCAACAAATGTTCTGGCTATTGCAATTGTATTTTCTAATTATTTACTGATTCCAAAATCTGTCAGTTTTATTTATCCTTAACTATTAATGAGAATGTTTTCAGGTTTAATATCTCGATGAAGTTAATGTTTTTATTAGTGTAAATATTATAACCCTAGAAGAATATTGTATGTTATTGTTGCTATTATTTGTTCATTTATCAATTCAACTAAGTTATTTTTATATATCTATTGAATTATGCTTCTTAAAGATCCTTAATCCATGTATTCTAGCACTAATCTTATAGTTCCTGAATTTTTTGTTTAATGAGATACCTTCCTCGTAATAGGCTCCATAAAATTTTATCAATTATTCGCATTCTATACCATTTAGTAATGTACTAAGATCATTTAGCATCTAATGTCGTTTATCCTTGTCAAAAACGTTGATTATCTTAATATTTAGAATATAAATAAACCTTTAATGCTACTTAACAATTATATGGCATATAGAGTCCTCTACAAACGTAACTTGACACTCCTTAACCAATGACATCTCCAATTTTGATTTATTAATGTGTTATGGCTTCCTTAGTTGTTTTTATTTATTCTCCATTGGTAGATGTTAATCCTTCATTATTAATCTTAATTCCTGCCTTTGGGAATCTTACACTATTATGTCCTCTATGATTTTATATAAATTCAAACATTTCAAATGTCATTGAACTATTTTATTCAAAATTAACTTCAATATCAAATTCATCTGACATGTAATATAATAATAAATTAAATATACATTATTAATAAGACATACCTTACAAATGATTATTAGTGTAAATAAACATTAATTTATTCATTCAAATCCTTTTTTATTTTGTCTTATATCTAATATCAAAATAATCAAAGATAATAAATTTTCAATTTATAAATTACAAATTATAACAATTTTCTTTGATTTTTCTATCTTTATATCAACATATTTATATATATATAAATAGTCTTATAAAAAATGAAATAATTTTATTGAATAATAACAATAAATTTCATCAAATGTCAATTTTTATATATTCTTATAGTTTCTAAGATTTTAACTCTACAAAGTGGACAAACAGAGAGATTCTTACAACATTTTAAACAAGTAGCATTATGTTTACAAGGCAATATCAAACAATCTCTTTCTTTTTCAACACATATTATACAAAGATTATCTCCTTATATTTCATTAATCTTCATCTTATTCTATTAGCATATATATTAATTTGTTGTTCCAATCCTTATAACAGTTTCTTCAACTGATTCTAAATAATACAAATTACTCATTTTTCCTTCTCCAGATAATCTCAACCATGAACTTATATTTAATAATATAAGATACCCATTTGTTGATCCATGATCTTCTAATTAAACACTAGAATCTACTAAATAAAATTTAGCATGTTAATTTGATAGATGATGATCTTCTGGAAATGAAATATCTACAGTAGATTTTCTACCTAATGTAACAGATGGTTTATCTTTATTTAACTAGATAACAATTGTATCTTCTAAATTTGGTCCTTCTATTACTTATAAAGAAAACTTGAAAAATTAAATAAATAAAATTACTTCAAGTCCTCCATTATCTTTTTAATCAATACTTAATACTTAAAATTAATTGCTTCCCAATTCAATTAACATTCCAGTTTTCAAAGTAAGACTTTTAAGAATCTTAATAAATGTTCCTGTTGTACTTCCAACATCTTTTAGAGCAAACTAAAATATTCAATTTACTATACAATATGATCTTGAAATATAATTTCAGCATGAAATCTACTAATATTCTCCTCTAATATTAATATCTAATTGCTAGAATGTCTTCCTATTTTTGCTCCTGTTTCTCTTACACAATAAAAATTTGATTGTTAACCTTCAATTGGTTATAGTATTAATTAATGTTCAAATTTGTTATTTGTTGTTATTTCCTATTTAAGTGCTTGATCTTCAATTCTAGCAACTTAACTTGTAAATTAATCATGATGATTATTATTATTATTATTTTCCTAATTTTCTAGTAACATCTACTCAAACTGATAATTTGCATTATTTTTTTAAATAGTAAAATCTTCATCTTATTATCTTTTATTGTTAAGACTTTACTGTTTAAGTTGCTTTATATATTCACAATATTCTTTCAACCCATGATTTACCCCTAAAAGTTTATATGTAATAGTACAATTTAACAATTTTCTTCTAAGTATTCTCTAAGTGACTCCTAATTCCTCTTCTAAGTCTTTTTCAGTTAAATCTTCCAATACTGAACCATCTATTGAACTTTCAACTAATTTTACAATGTAATTAATACCGAATTTGGCTTCCATCTATCCAAGACCTATAAATTTCAACCAATTTACTACATCTTAAGTCAACCACTTTTTTGGTTCTTTTGGAATTAATTTATATAGAGAATCATAATCCATTTTAATTTTATTATATATAAATCACTTTTCATACAGTGATTTTAGTATATCAATCAAATACTTTTTTTATTTTATTCCAAATTCAAATATATCAAATATATCAAATCTATCAAAGCACAAAGTAAATAACCAAATACATATAAATATTTAGATCAAATCATTTTAAAAATGCAATAATGACAGTAATGTCATCAATGACTTCATCTTCCATTTGCCATGCCTCTTTTGCTGCTTAAACTAATTTATTACAAGCACCTATGCAATCACCTTTCTTGTAAAATTCATATACTGTTTCAATAACCCATTCGTTAGATAAAAATCTTTATTAATTAACAACAATACTCCCAAATTCCATCAGAAGCTACTACTAAGAATTTATCTGTAGGCAATAATTAATGCTTAATAATTTCTGGTTCACTAATTACTCCAACTAAACTAGCTACATAATCACCAAAACTTCTAGACATGGCTAATCCAGGTACATCTTCATCAGATTTCCAAACTCTGGCTGGTCCTATAGGATTACCTTCCTCATCACTATAAGCTTGAACTCTGCCTCCTCTTTAAATGATTCGAGCTTATTCTAAAAAACAATCAGGTTTATGATCTTTTGATAATTCAATCACAGATAATTTAGTATCGTATCTTCCTATTATCTATATAATATTAATTCATTAATACAGCTCTACTATCTCCAATATTAGCACAATAAAGTATATTCTCAAATGCAATTACTACAACAGTAGTGGCTCCTGAATAAGTTACATCAATTCCAGAATTTAGTAGATCTTCATTTGTTTATTAAAAACTTTGTTTAAAAATATTAGTTATTGTTCTATTTTTATATAGTGTAAATTAAATTACTTATCTCTGTCATAATAATATGGAGATTACACTACTTCTTGTTCTATATAAGCAGGTAAAATCTCTTGGACAAATTATGCAACTTAATGTCCATTTGTCCCATGACCATCAGAAACTTAAAGATACCAATCATTTTCCTTAGTTCCAAATTTTTATATTAATTTATAAGAATCTTAATTAGTTTTAGTTTATCCAGTATAAAGCATTCCTGGAATTGATTTTGCATGAGCTTTAGAAATACATAATTAAAGTGTTGTAATATCTGGATTACTAATAGATCGAGGACCTTTAAATAGTTTCTATTTTTATTATTGTTATTATTATTATTATTATTATTATAACTAATGATTCTCAGTTTATTTAGATAAATCAAGCAATTTTTAATATTATTTTTAAATTAATTACTAATGATATTGTAATATTTCTTTTGAGGTTTATATTTATCCTATTTTATTATCTGGTCGATCAGCCTTTATTTTTTACAATAGTTATAATGCTGATTATGTTAGATTTTATGAATTCTCTTTTGTTTCAATAATTTTACTATTTTAACGTACATGAGTTTTTTTTAATAAAACTGTGCTAATATCTTTCAAATCTTTTCCACTTGATGGTCTTTGTTTTTTTGAATCTATTTTCACTTAACCAGTGCTATTTCTAAAATAAAAAATGCTTTTTACTTTTATGTATTAATAAAAGGACTCCCTTAAATAATAGGAGATTTAACAATTTTTTGTTATTGCTCAATTTCATTTTTTTTTTTTAATAAACTAGCATACAATTTATTAGGTGATATTTAAGGTGCTTTTTATTTCATTATAATACTTAATATTTTTATTATTATTTATTTAATTATCTGTATATAAAATATATCATTTCCTAAGATTTTTTAACTATTCTTTCATTTAATTAGTACAATTTAAATATTTGGATTTTGGTATATGATCTTGAGATATAGTTCTTTCTAAAAGAGATTGTTATTGAAATGTTAGTAATTTAACTTAATCTAAGTTAGTTCCTCCTTCAATCTTCACATTACTAAATCTTTATTAATCTATTTATTATTAAGATATAAATACTTTCATTTTCTACTTTATTTTATAAAGTAAATTGATATTTATCAATTAATTTCTAAGCATCTGTTTTTGTCATTGATTTTATGTTTTTATTCTATTCTTCTTCCTCTTTATCTTATTTCCCTTTTGTATCTTATCCTTTATCTTTCTCAAGTGTGATAGATCTCATTCTATCTGTTTTTTAATAAGTTTCTATTCGTTAATTTAGCAAAGGAGATTGTAATCTTTCACCCAAAATTTTAGATTATCTTAATTCTTATTTAAATAACACTTCTGATTATCTAAAATCTTTTGTTTTTATATTCTACATCTCTTAAGATAACTCTTTTGATGCAGTAGATGTTTTTTTAATTAGATTATGTAATTGTTGGATATCTTCATTTTTTAACTTATTTATCTTTGAATTCACACATGTTATTTTATCATCTTAGGACATTAATTTAGCATCAAAATTTTCTTTTAATTTGTCAAAGAGAGTATGCAATAAATTTATACGTTCAGCCAATTCATCTATTCTCTCATATATAATGTTTATTGATCGAATTCTATCCTCTAAATGATTGATCTTTTTATTCATAAATTATTCTTAATGTTCTAATCTGTCTTCAATCGTCTTTAATCGATAATCATATTGTTCTTTCAATAGCATTCCAAACTAACGACTTATTTATTTTTTTATTATAAATATTTCATATATTACTCCTCATGTCTTGCATGTCTTTCCATTCTAACTGATTTCCATCCTTAAACATCTTCTAATTAAATAGGATTTGCATAATATAATATTTTATTTTTAAATGGCTTCAGAGGAAGAATAATTGGACACCATTGAGAAGTTTCAGAAAGCAGTAAAGTTGACAGCCATTTTAAGATAGAAACCAACATCTGATGAGGAAATGCAACGAGCCTAAAAGGCTTTGATTAAGCCTGTATCAATAAGAAATGCTGAAGATTTTGAGGCTATTGAGAAAGTTATGATAAGAGTTAAGTTCTTTACGAAAGTCAAGTTAAAATATGGACTATTGGTATTTAAAGAAGTCTGCAAACATTTATATTACAAAAGAGCTTAACCCGGTCACACCATAATCAAGGTGAATAATGAAGGAAAGGCTTTCTATGTAATTTTGAGAGGTAGTGTTGGAATTAATATATTTTTGCCAAAAGTCTCTCAAAAAAAAGCAGAATCTAAATCTACTTTTGGTTAGAATGAAATAGAATTTGAGGATGAACCTTTTGAATACTAAGAAGTGAATGTTTTATCTGTAGGTGATTCTTTTGGAGAAGTAGCCTTATTAGATCCTAATTCCAAAACAACAGCAACAGTTATTACAAAAGACATATGTGAATTTGCTTGTTTGGACAAAGAACAGTATATTAATATTTTAGGAGTTTTAAATCAAGCAGAAATGAATGAGAAAATGTCTTTTGTTAGGGGTATACATTTTTTACATGGATGGTTTGATAATGACTTGAAGACTTTAAGTTTTCACTTTGAATTAATGTATTATGAAAGGAATGATGTAATTTATAGAGAAAATTCAGTCAATGATGGATATATATACTTTCTAAAGAAGGGAGAGATATCATTATTGAAATTATTTTAGAGATAATAAATTTACGTTTGTAACTTATGTGTAGGAGAAATATTTGGAGAGGAAATGTACTTAGGAATTAATAATAGATAGCATACTGCTATATGTAATGTTTAAGATACATAAGTCTATAGATTGGCTAAAAGTGATTTAGATAAAAGAATGTGGTAGATAGAAAATAGAAATTTATTTAAAGAGAGTGTTGAAGTCAGGTGGGAATGGAGAAATTAAAGGTTTGATAATTTAAAGCTTTTTGAAGCAAAGGTTGAGTAAGAGGAAAATCTTTAAAAATATTTAAAACCAAAAACTGAAGCGATTAATGAAAGACCTTAAATATAATAGTCTCATTCAACAAAGATTTCTTCTTATACTTGTGTAAAACCATTTAATTTTATGGAACCATTAACAGCTGCAGAAGAATTATTTGAAAATAATGGAATTTAATCAAAAATTTTTTAAAATAAAATAAAAGTAAGACAATATAATTCATCAAAATAATCTTTAAGAAATTATACCTATATGAAATAATAGAGTTAAATTGGACTTATTAAATAGAATTAATAACGAAAAGAAAGCCTAAAAAAAACTAAGCGAGTTAATTCGTAATAATTTAAATCATTTTTATAATAAAAATTTCAATCTGAAGAGTAAAATATTTAAAATTAACTTCCTTTCAATTTTATAAATCAAGAGACTCAAAATGAACCGACAGAATAATAATAAATTTAATAAAAAATGACTTCATTTGGATAATCATAATAGAATAGCTTATATGAAGATATAATTTAGTTTGCTGTTTCTTAAAAATAAAAAACACTTATAAAATTACCTTAAGCCAATTCAACAAAATATTCTAGTAAAGAAAATAGCTTTAAAAAGCTTTCTCAAGATCATATTCATCATCGTAAATCTCCGTCTAATTTATCATATGAATTCTCGGATGCTAAAGGTAGCTTCTAATATAAAAGGCTTTTTAAGTATTGAATTATTTTTTATTATAATATCTATAAATCAATGATTGTAAAGTCTTTCTAATTTTTTTATGTCTCCATCCATTTAATTTAATCTTTTTTCTAATTCTTCTTTTCTAATTTTATTTATATTTTATTTACCTTAATTTTGTTTATTAAGTCATATCTCTTTTATGACTATATTAAGCAAATTCCTTTAATAGTTCTTCTTTCTTTTATAAAAGTTGTTACATTATTTTAAATACATCTCCCTTTTTTATTTTTTATTCTTCTTTTTCTTTCTTTTTTCTTCTGATTTCTTCTTCTTCTAATCTTTATTTTTCTAATTTATCATTTTTCATTTTCTCTAAATATTCAGGAACTTTGCCAAAGGTATCTTTTTTAAAGTAATCAATTTATTTAGGTTTTTATCCTCCAGATTTAGGTCTTTTAGGTTTATTTTCTAAATATTCTTTGAATTTTTCCATATCAACATTCTATTTAAAATGAAGAGGAATATTTGGTTTTTTTAATGCACAATCATCAGGTTTAATGAGACCTAGAGGAAACATTAATTCATCAGTAACTTCAAAGTTTTTTGGTTTTCCCCATAATGCATGATGTTTTAAATATCCTTTATGAAGTATTTTGTTGCCATTTATATTATTAATATTAAGAGTTGTATTTTTTGTGTTAAAAGTAGAATAGGAAGGAGGAAGATTTCCTGGATGCTAAGACTTATACCTTTTTTAATTTTAACTGGTTTTTTTAGGTTGTTCTTCTATAAGTTATTATTCTTCATTTTGCAATTTGTAAATACATTCTGACATCTAAAATATAATTTATTAATTTTTAGTAATGTGATAACAAATTTGATGTTGATAACAAATAAGATATAAATACATTAATTCTCTCTTTATATTTTTTATAATGTGAAGTCTTTTTTAATATTTTGATGAAGTTTATTAAATTTAAAAAAAATATTGATATTTATATAATTCATTTCTAATGGATTTTTTAAGGAGTATCATCTTCAACCATCAATTAATCCAAAATATTTTTCAAATTTTATGGATGACTTTTATTTTCAACCAATAAACTTTATTAAAATTATAAAGGAGCTTTTTATATCATTCCACACAACTAATTGATAAAATATTTTTTTTTTAATTATCGATCTTAAATTAGGTTCAATATGAACTTTTAATGTATTTTCATATTACACCTACAGAAAATGATTGGTTAATTTTTATCAATATATTCTTTTATTAATTCATCTAAACATTCCTTATGATATGAATGAAAACAAGATAATAAAATAGAATTTTGTTTAATATTTTAGGTACAGTTAAAGCACAATATTGCTTTAGTTTGAAATATAGTTTAATCAATAATTGAGTTTGTTTAAAAAATTGATTAACTATGGGTCGTAGTTATACTTAAGTCTTGATCATATCGATTTGAATTATTTGTTTGATTAATTTATTATTGTGGTTAGTTTATTTAATTGACTAAACATTATTAGTTCTAAATAGGAATAAATTTTATTTTGGGATTGTTAGTTGGTATTTTTTCTTATTGTTGTTTGCTGTTTTCTGGTTATTATTATTGTTGTTTGCTGTCTTCTGGTTATTAAATAGTATTTTAAAGACTTTATTAAATTCTTTTAGAATTATATTGGCATGTATACAAACAACTTTTTTCTTCTTGCATTATTTCTGTAATAAATTAATTTTAATTATTATATTCTATTTTTTATAATAAAGGAAATAATTATCAGAGGGATATTATATTGACAGTTTTATACTTTGGTTATAGTTATTCAGCTTGACATTCTTAAACTTCAAAGAGAGGACATGAAAAATTATTAGTAGATATTTTTGTTAAAAAACATGTCTCACAAAATAGGAAGTGTTAACATGGAAACTAAATAACATTCCTTTCTGCTTGTTTGCATTGAATACATAACAATTATTTAATCATTTAAATCTAGATTAAAATTAAAGATTACCTTTTATTTAGTTACTGAGGCTTTTGCTAGTTTTTCATTCATTGATGTTTATTTTATAGAAATTTGATATTTTAAATTCTCACATTAATTCATTAATGAATCTTTTTTGTTTTATAATAATTCTATTGTTTTTGATAATTTTCTTATTTTTTGTAGATAATCAATACTTAATTCCTCTCTTCTCATAGATGATTTATAACTTTCAAGTTATCTTTAATTATTATAAAATCCAATTAAATTTGATTCTGCTTATTTTAATTTTTTTTAATTTATAACATCATATTGCTCTTTTATATTTTCAAAACCTAGATCCATTTCTCTTAACTTTATTTGTTATTAGACTAAAGAAGTCTCTTTTTTATCTTATGATTATATCATATTTGAATTTAGATCTTTTGCTAATTCGATTTCTTTAAAACTATTCTTTAATTTATCTTTCAGAATTTAACTTTCATCTTCCTATTTTTGTAATTGCATTTACAATTATTAAATGATTGGATCTTACTTTTTAGTAACTATTTGAGCTGTATTGATATTATCTTCATTGGTAGATTAGAGAACATTAATATTGAAAATACACCAAGGTTCATCAAAATAAAAATCTTTAACAAGATTTTAGGATTCTGGTATTAAAAGCCAGAATTATTTTTCACCTTTATTTTAAATGATTTATAAATAAATTTCAGGATTCTTATCTAGTTTTGATTCACAAAATTCTAATACTTTTGTTTCTTCAAATACTTTTTTTGTTAATTAGAAATTATGTGTAATTGAAATTTGTTTGAGTTTATCTTATTTAATTTTAAATGAGAAATCTCTATTCACTTATTCTAATTTATAATTATTATGTAATTTAAAATAAGCCGCTTCCATTTTAGTATGTCCACCTAATAAATTAAATGTTATCTTATCAACTATGGGTATATTTCTAGCTTTAATTTAATTGAATTCAATTTTAGGAATGCCAAGTCTTGGATCTGCAGTAATGACTACATCTTAATGAAATATATCCTCATCTTCTTCTTTCATCATTATCATTTTTTTTGATGTTTTGTTATTAATAAAATGGCTTTTGTAATTCTTGATCAATTCTTATATTTTATCTTATCCTGTTCTTCCTAATGGAATTGAAGACTTTTCTGATAGTGATTTAAATTACATTAGAATCTTTAAAAATTTAAGTCAAGTTCTCCTTTTTACAATTGTATATGTGATAATCTCTTTCTGTTGATAATTCGAATACTTATAAACAAAAGGCGCAAAAATAATATTCACTATCTAATTAATGTACATTGATACTTTCTTGTTTCACCATGTGTTTTAATTCTTTCATTTATGATATGACATTTTTGTAGATGATTGAGATAATCACAAACTGATGAAAATTTTATTTAATGTTCCTTTTATGGGCAAGTGAATTTCATTTACAGTACAATAATTAATTAAATGATAAGATAAAGATCAGTTAGTCAGAATTCAAAAACCTTAGAGTATGATTAGATAAGAGATATAAAAACATCATAGTTCCATAGAAAGATAGTGGTAATAAGATTTCCTATTATTGTAGCCTTTGCATTAAGAAAATAGTATGTTAAAAGATAGATTACACAAAATGAAATTTTAAGTGGAAGACAATTTGTAACTAGTGATAGATGAATTAGATAAAGATTTATAGTTAAAGGCTAAACTTATAGATTTCTAATAGTTATTTGGATTGATAAAGGTGTAAATAAGTAAAGATCATGAGAAAATTGATTCCTTATAAGAATAAATAGAGAGACTTTAATTTAACTTAAATCAAAGTGCTGAATAAAGAGAAGATGAGTGTTAAATGTATTAATAATCTTAAGCTACTTTAAATGAATAGTTTTAAAAGGAAAAGTAACTATTTCGTAGTGAGAAACTATCGTTGGATGAATAAATCAAAGTACTAACTTATTAGAATTACGAGAAGGAATAGGAATTGGATTAGATGAAGAAATAGTTACAATGGGAGTTAGATTAGAATTAGGAACTCATTTAAAAAGTTGAGAGAACAAAGAAGTTAGATTAAGAATTAAAGGATAAATAAGTATAATATGAAACAACGATATAAAAATTAAATTCTTAGATTGAGACTGATAATTAGGTATTTAAGAATGAATTGGAATTATAATAATAAAAGTTAGAATCAAAATATAAATAAATGATATAGGAAAATAAGTAATTGACTTAATAAGTATCAGAGATGAAATAAAATATTAATCAATTAAAATAATAAAAAGAATCTATGGAAAAAACATTAGAAACAAATAATTAGAAAATGAAGGATATGAAAACTGGAGTTATTTCAGATAAATAATAGATATCAAAAAATGAAAAAACAATTGAGGAATTATAAACAGAATTAACATTTTATAAAAATAAGGTGTCATTAGATGAAAAAAGGGAAATAAAATTAAAATAATAATTGACTTAATAAGAAGATCAAATTTAAGAATTATTATAAGTCAAGAATTAATATAATAATTTAAGAAAAGCATTATAATAAGAACATCTTGTTGAAATAGAAAAAATTAATATATAACATAATTAATAACTTAAAAGTTTAAATGAATAAATTTAAATTCAAAGAGTAAAATATGAAAAATTACTTGGTAAAAAGGTAGATATAAAAGAAATTGCTCAATATTAATAAAAAGATTTTTAATAATAATATGAAGATCCAATTCATATATAATATGTTGAAAATTTAGAATTGAAGATTGAAAATTAAAATTAACAAATAAAATAATTAGAATAAAATATTATTAATATTAATGAAGAATATAAAAAAGAAATATAATTAATGTAAAATTAATTTGCTTAAGAAAAATAAATTCTTATTATTTAACAAAAATAAGATTTATAAAGATAATTAGCAGAATTTGAAGAATTTAAAAATAAATTATTAAGTGATTATAATTATAGAACTTAATTATTATCTTAATAATTCTCCTTTTAATTAGATTAATAAAAATAAGAATAAAAATAATTATAATAGATTATAGATTAATCTAAATTAAGTAGTGATGAAAAGACTAAATTATTAGAAATAGCTTCAGAAGAGATTATGAATTTGAGAAAGAAATATGATCATGATATCTATGAGGAAAGAAATACATAAAGATAAATGAAACATGAATTTGAATCTACTATTTAATAAAATTAATCAGATCATCAAAAATAATTAGATATTCTAAAAAGAGAAATTGAAAATTTAAAATTATCATTATCTGACTATCAAAATAGAGATTAGATATCTAAATAAAAAATATCAGAATTATAAAATGAATAAAAATAAGATAAATTGAATATAAATTAATTAGAATATTAATTAAGTAAAAGATAAAATGAAATTTAAAAATTAAATGAAACTATTAGAGGACTAAATGTTCGCATATCTACATTATTATTAGAAGTAGAAAATACTAAAAAAACATATAATATATTTGCACCTTCTACATCAAATTCATCACATTATAATTTGAAAAAACTAGAATTAGAAATACCAGTAGATCTAAGTTAATAATAAAGACATTCATCTTCTGAATTAAAATTTAAACCTGAACTTTTGATCCAGGAAATTGGTAAAAAGTCTAATAGAAATAGATCATAATAAGGATCTAGGTAATATCAAATAAGATAGATGCCACAAGTATGAAAATAATCCTGATTATAAATGCATATAAATATTATATCATTATTATAGTAATTCATAAATAAAATATAGAAGATAAATGCTCAACAACATTACCCCTAATTTATATGTTAATCTCAGTTTCTATTATAACATTAAAAAAAATGAAGTGAGAACTACTGTCATAATGGCTAACATTGATTATGATATAGTTTCATCATAAAATGTAATATTTCTTTGCCAGATTAACATAGTCAATACCCATGGAAATCCTAAACAAATTTATAAATTCATAATTTGACTGCCTATAATACTTGAAGTAGCCAACTCAGTTTTTTTATTCTTAGCAGCAAGAGAAGCATTTAATACATCTAAAATAAATAATAATAATATATAATATACCTTAAATATTTCCTCCCCAACTAGCTATTGTTAATCCAACAAATGCAGGACTTACTGCAAATTACTCAACAAATTCATCAACAACAGTCATTGTAACATTTACAGTAAGAAAACAATAAAATGAAATTATAATAAATGCAAATTCTGGATGTTTTGGAATTGTTAATTTAAATAGCATTGTAAAAGGTAATAATATTTTAGATGGTTATTAATCTTATTATTATTATTCTGTATCCTATTAATTCTCTTATCCTATTTCTTTTCCATCTACATCTAAATCTTCTGCTTATTCAGGATGAAAATCAAGAAATTATAATAAAGTTGGAAAGTGATGCTTTTAATGTGAGAGTTAAAAATCATCTTTCTATTCCATCTAAACTAATGAATATAATAAATAGGATGGATAAAAAAGTGTAAGAATCAATGCTTCTGTAAGAGAGATCTAATTAAAATATATGTATATCATTATTACTTCATAATCCCAAAAAACAAAGGTCAAAAATAATAAGGTGAGCAAATATACATAAATATCTCTCATTAATGCCTTTAGATTCATTCTTAAAGCTCTTTTATGATAATAATTAGAAAATAATGACATCAAACCAAAACAAACAGTAAAGTCTTCTTAATACAAATGTATATACCAAAAACTCCACTTCCAACTATTGCTCCAAATCCATATCCAATTCTAGATGACTTAAAACATGATAATATATTAGTTGTCAATTCTGGTATAGACATTCCTAGAGCCATCAAAATGCCTGTTCCTGTCTCACTAAGATGCCATTTCGTAGATAAAGACTCAAGACAAGCTAGGTTATTAAAGTAGTACGCATCAAGTATTCATTACTCAAGTATGTCTATCCTGAAAGCACGTAAAAGAATATTGCACTCAATATTATCATTAAAATTTAATTATGGGTCCTCCACCTAATTATATTATCACTAGAAAGTTGATTCGTCATTTCTTTAGAAAATACTTACCATAATAACCTATCACAAAAGGAAATGAAGCAGAAGATTTGGCCTAAGCTGTGGTAATAGAGCTTTAATTTTTAGGCAAAATATGGAGTTGATCATCCATAAACAAAATTAGCCTTAGATCGTTTTGATACTTCTGAAGCTGAGTCCAAAAAATATAGAGCTAAATTGGAAGCCATGAAAATTTAATAAAAAGTTATGAGTACTTTAAAAACACCATTTTATCATTATCATGATAAAGGAAGATATAGAAATGATCTATTTCCTAAAGAATGGACCATTTATCATGGTGTCAAATGAGATTGATAAATTACAAAAATTAGTATATCAGATAAACCATTATAATTCTTTAAAATATTTGTGTTAACTGTAGTATATAAAATAAATACATGTCAGAATTCATTTAAAATAACTTTAAAGATTATATAATAATCCAATTATTATTCCATTTTAATCACTATTTAATACTTAAAATTGAAATCTTAGTGACAATACTCTTTTCATTATTATAAATTTAATCTAAAAAGATAAAATATAATAATATGCATATAAATACTAAATTCTTTATATATGAATTTATAATCATATTTAAATACATTAAATGAATAAGCCATATGTTTACAATCTATTTACTTTCTCTATGAATTTATCATCAAATGATTTAATATTAGAAAAATGAAATAATTTTATAATAATTTGTATTTTGAAATTAATTTAAGGATTTTATTTCTTTTGTTCATTATTTTTAGTTTTTAAATTTCTATATTCTTCTTAAAGGTTTTCAATATTTAATTTATTTACTTATTATTCTTTTTTTACTATCATTGTAAATAGAATTATATTAAATAAGAATTTTATTTTGTAATATAGATTTAAACAATCTAATTTAATAACAGATATTAAATTTGTATATCTTAATAAAGATTAATATAAAATATTTAAATAATTATCTTAAAATTATAAATTAAATACTTATATAAGAATTATAAACTATTCACTATCTTCTTTCAACAATGCTTTGGCAATATGTAATTATCATCAGTTGGTAAATTATTTAAGAACAAAACTTTATTACATTAAAAGCAAAATTTATATTTTTATCCAAGACTCATTTTATAATGATCTATATCTATAATACAATTTGAATTTTCATGAAAATTTTTCTTACATTTTAAACACCATACTAAATTGCACATATTACAAAAAAAATATTCTTATCCAAAATATACAAAATCATTCTAACATTTTATATTTGGGCAACAAGATTTATATGTTTGTGGTAAATCTTCATAAAGGCTTTTAGGATAAGCTTCTTCCAATTATTATGCACAGATTGGACAATACTCACCTTTTTCTTAAGTGTGGATATATAAACATAAAAAATGAAATTGATGTTAACATGAAGAAAGTATTGCTTTTTAATTTTTTGATTTGGTATCAAAATAAAAGTTACATAGTTAACAAATATTTTAAGATTATACTTCTTTTCCTTTTTATGGGGATACATTAATTTAAAATGGAGATTAATTTTGTAAATTATTAAGTGGTTATTAATCTTCTTGTAATTTTTTTTATGGAGTTGTTATCTAATATGGTTATTAATTTGATAATCGAGGAATATTGAATAATTAAAAATTCTTAATTAAAATGGATCATTACATTATTTTTTAAAAATTCATTAAACTTATCATCTTTAGAAAATGGACTTTCTAAAGACTTATCAATATTATTGTTAAAGGATTATAATTAGTTTATAGCTAATTATAAATCATTTTTTTCTATTAAAATTCTAATATATATAATTTTATAAAATATACTATCTTCCCCAAGCTAAGCCAATAATAAAAGCATCCTTTAAAAGTTCTTTTCCTCTAGAACCTGTTTCAATAATTTCCTCTATCATACTAGAGATATTCATTCTTATATTTTATAAAAAGATTATTAATAAATTGTACCAATTAATTAAATAATTTATACAATTTAATAATACTTGTGATAGAATTTCAAGATTAAGTCATTATAAGATTCTGAATTGAAGCAAAAATTAAAATTTTAATCTTCTAGTCCTTTATTTTTATTAAATTTTTTAATATTACTTGATCATTTTAATTTTTCATCAAAATCTAAGTTAAATTCATTAAAAATGAATTATAAAAATTAAACTTTGATTAACTATTACATAATAATTAAATAGATATTAAAAGATATCTATTGATAATTATATTATATGTAATATAATATGATTTATTCAAAAATAGAATAAAAATCATATCTAAAGGTATCATAAATTTGAAACTAATATGTTTGTAATAGTAAAAAAGAGAAAATATATGGAAATTAGTTGAATTTTTAAATACTATAGAGAAATGAATCAGTTATAAATTCATTTAAATAGTTTACAATAATAATTGTTAATAGATTTAATTTAAATTAAAACATCTAAAATGTATTTATTTTTCTTAAAATAAAATAGAAATCAATAGTTTGCTTATTTTTAATTTTATTTATATTACTAATATATATATATATCTTATTGTTATTCCTACATATATTTATGAAAATTAGAAATATTTCTATCAATACAGGTTTCGTAGCTCAGTTGGTTAGAGCGTCAGTCTAATAAGCTGACGGTCGAGGGTTCGATCCCCTCCGAAACCATTTTTTTTGATTAATTTTACATTTTATTATTTATATAATTTTTCTTATTTTTCATTTATTCATATCTCTTTCATATTCACTATCTATCTAAGTATGATCTTACTCATCTTTGGATATAATAGTTTATCCTATTAATTGTAAGTTAATGTCTCTCTTAAATTATTATTGTAGTTATTTCTGATTAAGATTAGTTAATAATTAACTAAAGTTTTAGAGTAGATGACAATATTAAAAATATATATATAAATAATTTATATACTTTTATAAAGGAAAATGATGTATAAATTGTTTAAGTAAATAATTTATAGAATAATAAATATGAAAAATAAATAACTAAATAAGAATTAAATCTTTATTGGATATTAGTATTTTATTATTAAAAATTGAAGAATAAGAATACTCTAATCATATTTTAACAATTAAAATAACTATAATTAATTATATAATTTCATTAATTATTTTATATAAGTTTATCACTTGATTTATATTATTTCTTTATTATTAAATTTTCACCCAAATCAACAATGTCTGCTCTACTTTATTTTTTTGATGGGCTAATAGAAGCCAAACTTTATGTTTTTTGAAAGGTCTTTCTAAATCTCGAATCATTATTTCTCTTTAGTGCTTAAATAAGCATTTCATTATGAAGAGGAAATCCTTTGTTATTTTTACTAATAGATTCATCTGTTTTATTTGCTGATACATTTAAGGCTTATTTTAATTTTTATTACATAGGTTTGAGAGTGTTTCTAACATAATGTGTGATTCTTCTTTTCCTTTCATCATTAGCTAATCTATTTTAAAAATTATAGATAAAATAATTACTATGTTTATTAACTTGCTATATTATATATATTAACAAATAATTGATAATATGATGGTTTTCCTTTATATTCACTATTTTATTAATGAATCTTTTTTGGTGCTGGTCTCATTAGATAATGATATTTATTTTGTTTGCATACTTCTTCAATTGATTATCTTCTATGAATATTTTAATTTAGTTTAGTTAATTCAAATTTAATTGATGTTTTATCCATCTAATGGAAATTGAATTTTGCTTAAATAGTTTATTCTAAATTGTCTCTAATCAATTAAAAGACATAATTTTGAAATAATTAGGTATCACATATGAGTACTTCACCTTTTTCAGATTAACATATTAAAGAGAAAGGTCTGGAGTCAATATTATTTAATATCTCATATTCTCCAATAATCTCTCCTTCAGATATGATTCCAAGTGTTTAAATTTCATGTTCATTTGTTCTTCTTACTAGAGAATACTATCCTCGAAGTATGAAATAAACACAATGTGCTGGATCACCTTATTAGCATACTTTATCCTTATAACAATGTAATTGTTAATAAGAATTGATATAGAATTTCCTTAGTGTAATTGAATAATACTTTCAACTCTTTATATTAAATTTCCTTAAATAAGCAGAAATCATACAATCTACTAATTTCAGAATTCATTTTCCGTTATTCTTATTAATGAATATATGCATGAAAATATTGAAAGTTGAGTGTAGCAACATATGTTTATTTCTTTGCTTTTATTATCAGACCATACCTAATTAGAAATTCTCATTACTATTCATAGATATCTTCTTTTGCCATTAAGAATAGTTGATGTCCAAAATGTTAATACATTTTAATAGATGAAACTTCAACAAATTCTATATCTTTAAAGTTTTCTGGAAGTAAACCAATTGACAAATAGATTCCTAGTTCTCCTTACAAAATGATATAGAACTTCTTTTAATCCTCAGTAATTTAATCAAATCTCTTATAAATTAATTGATTTGGATGTAGTACTTCATATCTCATTTTCTAATACTATAAATATTATTAATTACACTGCAACAATTTCTTATGATTTCATCATTGTATCCTTAAAAACATTGGAATTATCTAAAATATTTGGACATATAAAACACTTCTACAGGAGTTCTCTCATTTCTATGTTTTTGCAATGCTATGATGGCTAACTAAGATTCTATAAATATTGATAATTACTTCATCATAATAATTATCTGGAATTTATTGCATGATTAAATAAATTAATACAAATATATAAAATAGTCACAAAAGTTATGGTAGCTTTAAAGGTCGATTAGAAAAAAGAGCACTATCATTAGAAGGTAAATCATTGGATGCTAAAGTAGTTTAATGAGGAGATCTATCAAGTTAATGATATTTTAATGATGTTGTATCAAAAGATTACTCATATTTATTGAATCTAATTTATCTTCTTAAGAATTATTTAGTTGGTACTGATTTTTATTATTTCAATTAAAATCTCATTCTTGGTATTTCTTCATCTACTTATTCTAAACTTAATAGACTTATTTATGATTTATTATGATAATCTTTACTACTTCTCTATGTTATTATTGCTTAAGCTTATTATTTACCATTATTTTAAGCTTTAACTAATAATTTTTATAAATCACTTTCTTTTTATGAGAATTCATCTTCAGATACATCACTTTCATCTAAAATTTATTTAATACTATTATATGATTTAATTTCTAATTAAGTTTACAATCTAACTACTTTTGTTAATTGTCTAATATTCTCTACATCTCTCATTGACATATTTCTAAATAATTGAGGTTATAAACCAGGTACTGTACTTAATGACATGTTATATCTTGGTTATGATAATTTTACATCTAATTGATTTAAAGAAGAATTAGATTTTAATTTCGCATTCATTAATTTATATTAAGCCTTGATGTATAAGTCATATGCATCATCAACTACAGTTTTCTTTTCTTTTGTTATTATTAAATTACGAAAAGCTTCATATTTCTTTTCTGCATCCACTATGTTTTTATCACATAAAATATTTATATATTATTCTCTTCTTATCATATAAGATAAGTGAGTTAACATGGCTCCAACACTTAATGGAATATATTTATTTTCAATTGCATTTAATTAAAGTGTATTTTACATTTTGGTCATCATATTTCTAAATGCTTTTAAAGCTGAAGGATTTTCAGTAAATGCTTTAAATTCTTAGTAATTTAATGCCCAATCTCTATCTTAATCTATGTAAGAATAAATAACTTTAAGATCATTCTTACTGACATCGAAACCAAAATGTTTAAACATAAGGAACATTTCTGCAATATCTAAAGTCTTGGAATCATTGTAATCAAAAACCTATATATATATCACTCAAATCTTTACATTAAATATTTGTTTTAATTCCATTTAAATTCTTCTCTCTTCAGGGTAAAACAAATATTATGGTTTCACTTTATCAAAATACCTATTCTTAAACCATTAATTTTGAGGTAGATTATGAAATTTATTTCTCTTATTTAATTGTTTCATCTCCTCATCATCAAGTTTAGCAATGTCAGGAACTTAATTCCAATCAACTTTATACATTAAATAATAATCTTTAAAATTAATATAAACAAATTCTAATCAATAATTAAATCTAGAAATTTATTATCATAAAGTACGCATCTCAAATTACATATTTTTAAATACAACTTTAATATTATTATCTCAATTATGATTTGGAATCTAATTAATTAAAAGTTAAGTAGATCATAATTATTATATAGATTTCAATAAATTCTAGTTAAATTATAATATTGTATATGCATTGCAAATATCAATTGTGGAAATTCCATATTATAAAACCGGTTGTCCCCATAAAGGCAGCCCATCCCCATAGTTCATAGAAACCTCTAAATCCAGCATGATATTATCGAATCACTTATCTGAAAATTGAATAAGTGATTACCTATGTGTGCCATTACAAAAAGGAGCATTAGCACTCTATTTGCAATTACACAATTTATAATATCCAGATGTATCGACATTAAATTTAATTGGTCTATTTCTTGTAGCAGATGCATTACACATTCCATCACACCATGGATTTGATTATGAAATACCACAAGAACACCATTAATAAATCTGAAATTTAATCATTAAGTAATCCATACCTTTCCTTTTTAGAGATAGCAATTATATGGATAAAAACCAGCAACATATGGTACTGAAGCTGGTCTATACTTACCTTCAGGATATGGTATAGATTCTGGAAGCAAGACAAATTTCTATTCAGGAAAATCAGTAATATCGTCAGGTTTTCTTTCCTTTCTGGCTGTTATGATAAAAATGAAGATGAATTCTTACGTGGTGGAGGAGTAATAATTTCAGGAGGCAATGTGTAAGAGTCTCTAAGATGAGCTTCTCCATGTTAAAGAATTGTAGAGATAGTTCGATATTTAGCTGCCTTCTTTAAGATTTAAGACATCTAAATTAAATTAATTAATGGATTCTGCAATAGGGACATATATTTGTTAAACAATTGATTGTAGTAAACCTGCAACTTTGTAATGTCCAACATGCATAAAGATGGCTTTAGCTCCAGCATACTTTTGTGATTAAGAATGCTTTAAACGCTATTGGCCAATCCATAAGACTTTTCACAAAAAATAAGAAGAACAAGAGGATTAGAAAAACAAGTTTAAATTCACAGGTCCACTCAGACCAGGTAAAATATCTGCAAGACTATTTGTTCCTGATCATATAAAAAAACCTGAATGGTATTTAAGTGGATAACCAACAGAGGAAATGAAAAGTAAACTTTAATAAGTGGTTGATTGCAAGACTCCAGAAGATATTCAAAAGATGAGAGATTGTGCAGCTATTGGTATTACTTTATCTTCTAATGTTTTGTTAAGGAAGAGGTGCATTAGATGCTGGCCATGCAGCAGTCAAACCTGGAGTGACTACAGATGAAATAGACAAGATAGTTCATAAATACATTATAGATCATGATGCCTATCCATCTCCACTTAATTACAATGGATTTAAAAAGTCCTTATGTACATCTGTTAATGAAGTGATTTGTCACGGTATTCCTGATGATAGACCTTTGGAAAATGGAGACATTGTGAATCTTGATGTTTCTGTTTATTACAAAGGTTTCCACATAGATTTAAATGAAACCTATTTTGTTGGTGAAGTCAGTGAATCATCAAAGTTTCTTGTTGAAAAAGCCTATACTTGTTTGTAAAAAGCAATTGAAGTATGCAAACCAGGTACAATGTATAGAGATGTTGGAAATATCATTGAGAAATATATATCTGAAAATGGATTGGCTGTAAATAGAACATATTGTGGTCATGGTGTTGGTTAACTATTCCATTGTGCTCCTACGTAATTTTAATTAATATAAAATAGTATCCCACATTATGGTAAGAATAAGGCTCCTGGATTTATGAAACCAGGACATACATTTACAATAGAACCTATGATCAATTAAGGAACTCATTAAGATATTCTATGGACTTTTGATAATTGGACAGCTGTATCAATTTATTATTATTATTAATAATTAGGTTACCGCTGATGGTTAACGTTCTGCTTAATTTGAGCATAGTATTCTAATAACAGAGGGAGGATGTGAAGTATTGACAGCAAGATTACCTACATCACCACCTTTAGATTTTAAAATATGAGAAGTATAATATTATTAGAGTTAAATTTTAATTCTTATCATCTATCTATAATAATAATTAATTATTATAATTATGTCTTCTGAAAATAAGGAAATAATTGAGGATAAAATTTACAAATAACAAACTCATATAGATTAATTAGCAAGGAAATCTTTTATTATGAGAAAGATAGAATAGCCAAAAGATGAACAAGAATTGTAATTGCTTAAAAGAATTGAAAAGTATTTATGACCTTTTTAGAAAGGGCACGCTAGGAAAGAGAAGAAACAAAAATTATTCAATCTAGGTCGATTTCATCTCCTTAATTTTGGTAGGTCTTCATGAAAAGACACTATGATTTAGGTGCTTGGCTTTTATTGGATGTTACAACTAATTTTGCATTGTAATAATATTATCTTAAAATTGATTAGATATTTCTTTGACACTATAAGAGTCAGAACATAAGCATATAATAAATATATGGATATATCTCATTTCAATTAAAATAATGTCAAAAATCTTCCTATATATTCTGGGCTTCATTATAAATTATCTTATATAATTCTAAGTGATATTTTGAGAAGTTTTACTAATTAGGTTAGATATCAATTATTTATGGATCCCTCTTCTTAATTTTCTGTAATTTATTATTACTATTATTTTAGAACTACAATTAATTAACTAAAATATTGATACATGGATTAATTGCAGAAACTACCATCACAACATTATTATTACCAATAGAAATAAGAAAGATGATAGTTTAAATGGGTTCTTTTGATGCAAACTTGAATCATTACATAAAATCTTATATGAGATGCTATTTCCCAGCTTTAATTAGAGATTCTCTATTTTTTGTAAGTCACTCACTTACATATAATTTACTTATGTATGGAGATCATTATGTAACTGCACTATTCAGATCTGGTGAATTTACTCCACCACCTGTAATAATAATTTATCATATATGTTTATAGACTATTTTGAGAGGTGAAAGAGAAAGGAAGTTTACTTGCATATTAGGATCTTTAGGATTGTCCATTTTACTCACAAATCCATTTGATGTCTTAGTCACTAAATTGGCTACTTAAAGAAATGTATTGATTTATTATAAAATTTAGGAAGCATACACTAATCCATTCTAAGCATTCAAATTCATAACTTCTTAGGAAGGATGGTCTAAGCTTATTGCCAGTGCCATATCTTAAAGAATTGGTTTCTACTTCCTAAAAGGACTAGTGTTCTTTAGTTATTAGGATCGTGTATATTCTATGTTCCATGATGCATTTAATTATGAGTGACTGTCTATATCAGCTAAAACATATACAAAATAGTATTACAGCCTGTTTGCCCGAGCTGGTTAAGGGGGCAGACTTAAGATCTGCTGGAGTCTACTCCGCGTCGGTTCGAATCCGACAGCAGGCAATTTTTTTTTATTTTTTTTATTAACGAAAAATATGTAAAATTTGAAATTCATTAATAATGAACTAGAATCCTAGCTTAAGGCTTCTCATCTTGAAACAAGATAATTGAAATAAGAAATCATAAAAATTAATCAACTCAATGCTTAATTAAAAGAGTAATTGCATTAAAATAATATTTCATCTGAAATAGAGGATTAATATAAGTAATCACTTATTGAAAATAAAATGCTTAAAAAAGAATTAGAATTTTAGTATGTTATTTATTAATAATCATTTAGTTAGTTATAAGAATAATCAAAAGTAGATTAGATAGCATCAAAACCATCTTATGAATAATTAGAAAAAGAACTTAATGATTTACAAATGTTTTTTAAAAAATACTACAATCTTCAAGAAACGTATGAAATTATAAATTAACAACTTTAGACTAATGAATAAGATACCAATATAATTACTCAAAGAATGTTGGTAAGCTATTAATTAAACATTTAAATCTCATTTCAATATTCATCAAACAATTTAAAATATATAAGAAGAAGTATCTCTATTAGAATAGGATTATAAATAAATATTACATACAAATAAAGACAATGATTCAGAAATTCAATACTTAGCAAAATGTAAATATGGAAATAAATAAATTAGAAAATATAATTGTAGAAAGAAGAGTTGAAATAGAAAAATGTAGAAAAGAAATCTAATTAAAATTATAAGAAACAAAAAAAATGGAATAAGAGTTGGATGAATTATAAAAAGAATTTGATTATATATGTAAAATAGAACAGAGAAGATATAATTAATAAATAGAAATTGAAAAATAATTAGTTTAAGTTAGATAAAAAACTACTTAACCAGTTATTGAATAAAAAGCATCAGTTTTACCTGTCTAAAGAAGTAGATAGCATTCTGATTATTTCAGACCAAATTAAATATCTATTGATTCTTAATAATCAATTAAACCTTTAATATTTAGAGCACCTAAACATAGTGTAGTGTAATAAGAATCTGAAAAAACTAATCTAGAAAAAACTATAGATTAAACAAGATAAAAACTAAGTAGATAATTAAGTTTAGCATCTAATTTACGTGAATCCACAAAATGATATCATTATTTATAAATTGAAAACTCTCATTTTATTTCTTAAAGTGTTATAATTATAATTTAAATTAATTTATTATCAAAAAGTAATTGGATATAAATATGACAATTAGAATATAAACTATAAAGTAGATAGTTTGAAAAAGAATTAAAAAATTAAAGGGTTTATTTTTAAGTAATTGAGTTATCTCTGATATTCTCTATTGATTGAATGAATGATATTATGATTCTTTGTGAGGAAATAAATTTCAATAAGCTTAAAAAGTAATGCCATTTCACATTTTGGAAAGTTAATTAATTTTAATTGCTTTTACAATTAATTTAAAAGAATATGGTTAAAATGTACATATCAAATCAAGTTAAAAACTTGGTATTAATATAATAGATCATTAATTAATAAAGATTGGTGTTATTAATAAAGATTATAATTTATAAAAATAGTATATTCTAAGAATAAAAAATGTAGAAATCTTAATAAATGAAGATTAAATAGGTGAAAGAATATTAAAGTGTCTAATAGTATTAAATAGTCAAAATTGAGATCCGATTAAAAGAATGAAAAATAAAGAAACTTAGTGTAAAGAGATTAAAAAATCTAAGAATGAAAAGTCTATAAGGTAGGTGAAATTGAAATCAAATATTCAATTCATCGATAAAATTGACAAGTTAATAATGAAAAAAATAATATTGTTAACATATAGTTTCATTACTTCTTCTTATTCGAACCAATCAATTTTTATGCTTTCAACACTAATTATTTATGATAGTCTATAAGAGCACTAGTAGATAATTTAGATATTGGAGTATTCTTGGTTCTTTTCTTTTCGCAGTCTCCATTAAACGAATACAGTAAATAACGACTATTTGTTGACAGTATACGTGTAGGAGATTTTGGAGATGTGTCTACTTTTGGAATATGACTTTATCGTCTTGATATGTAGGGATTATGTAAAGGTTTTTAAAACCTTGTAGGCTTATTACCTAAATGTGGTTATGATAAGACTCTTGTTCTATTTTATTAGAAACTATTGGAGATTGGATGTTTTTGATCTAGGAATTAAGTTAAATAAGTCTTGATTTGATTTGATTGTTACCTCCATATTTTTAGGGTTTTGCATGCTCATTATAATCAGTTATTATAGTCGACTGCGTTCATCTTAGTAGTATGATTTGTTAGTGCTGCTTGTGTTTGCTTAAGTTGATTACTTTGTCTCACGATCTGTCCTCATTTTGGCAGATTTAATCATTACATAGTGCTCTTTGGTTGTAATTAACATATAATATATTGCATATTTAAATTTATTCATTAGATGTTTGAAACAGTACCATTTTATATTTTATTCTGTATTTTTGAAATATAAGTACATCAGTTATATTTTGTACAAAAAGATCAATGCATATATATATTTTATCTATTTTGAAATTGATTCTAATTTAACAAATATGTAATTAAATAAAACTAATTTTACTGATGAAAGAATAGAAAATGTTTACAATCATTTTAAAACTATAGAAATAAAATATACTTTCAAATATTTATTACTAAATTCATCAAGACCAAATTAATTGAGTAAAACATGTATAAGGATTAGTTTTAATTGTTGGTAAACTCCCTCTTTCAATTTAATATTTTTGTATTATTGGATTACCCTTTAAATTTAGTTAAATATTTTTAGCTCCTTTTTTATTAAGAATATCAATTATTTACTCAAATTCATTTAAATCACACAAACCAAGTTGATTATTAGATAAATTTAGAGTTTATAAGTATTATACATTTATTGATTATAGCAAATGATTCAAAACTTTATCAGATAATTAAGAATTCGTAATTGTAATATCAATTAAAGGAACATCTTTTAAATCATCCTCTGCATTATATTCTTCAATAACACTATTATCAATATGAATTGCTTCAAATTCACCTAATGAAAAGTAAATATCATCAAAGTTATTAAAAATTCCTTTCTTATGAAAATAATCAGATTGCTCTTACTCATTCATTTCAAAATAGTCATCTTCTATCAATGCTGTCTATATGTCACCTATTCTTATACCTATTCCTATTAATTGTTAAATATCTCCAAATTCAGGATGTTGGCTATTTTCAATTATAATTTTTTTTTCCATTTATAATTATATTTAATAAAATATGTTATAAGAATTGTTTAAAGATAAAAAATACATTAATATTAATTAAATTATATAAAAAATATAAAAATAAACTTAATTCATAATATATTTTATTAGAATTAACTACGATGTAGTTATTATTATTTATACAAAAAAAGATAATTTATTTAAAACCTAATTAATTATTCTTGTATTAAAACTTAATATTAGTTTTAAAATCATTTTGATTTTATTTAATTCTTATATTCCATTCCTAATCTAAAGTTTACAGTTATATATATGTATTTCTAAATAAATATTTATAATGATAAAAAATGGAAGCTATCATTTACCATTTTGATAAAAGACAAATTAATACAAAATAAATAAAAAATATTATTCTCTTATTCTTTTCATTTCTTCTTATATATATATATTATTCAGTGTTTCTATTTTAATATCATTAGTCTTTTAAAGATTTTATTAACTATAAGCTTTCATATTTTATATATTTTTATTTTCTTCATATTTATAGCCTTTTTCAAATGATCTTAAAAATTAATGATATTTTTATTTATATAAAGCTGGTTAGATAAATTTATTAGTATTTCTCTTAAACCTTTATTATTCATCTAATTTTAATTATTACACTAAAGTAAGAACCAAAATAAATGAATATAACATATACATAATTAAAGTACACAATAGTATTATTAAGAAAATATAATTCATTATCTTTTAATATACTAAGTAAATTAATATGAAAGATGGTTCAATTTAGTTTTAATAAGTAAGATTTAGGATATAGACAAAAAATGTAATGCCAATTAAAATAATATTTATAATTGCCAAATAATATATAATAAGGCTAATTTATATTTAAAAGTTCAAAACATTTAGAATCACATAATTTAATAGGTAATTTATTTAGACCAAATATTAAATTCAGAGATCACAATAATGGCTAATTAATCTAATTAAAATGTTTAAATTTTGATGAAAAAGATCTAAACGATTATAAATAACAGTCATAATTTTTTCTAAAAACAAGACATTTAGAAGAGCAATATTCTCATTAAATTAGAATAAATACTCAAAATAAAACATTTAGGATTTAATTTTCTACTCCTATAAGTAAAATTTTTTTATTTTATAACAATAAAAAAAAATCAAATATAGGTTTATTTGGGATGGTAAACATCTAAAAATTCATAAAATGAAGTTTGATTTATTTTTGTAAAAAATAGAATGTATTCTTTATTCTGTTTATTAATTTTCTGTGTAGCTTTTGTAAAATAACCATAAAATGTCATTTTTGTTACCTAAGATAAAATTTTCCATAAATGAAATTATATTTTATATACAAGAATATTATGTAATATTATTAGCCAAAAACGATATAGAATATTCTTAAAGGAATAAAATCAAATATTGTATTTTAGATTGATTGATATTCATGAATTAAGAACTAAAATTTATAATAACTGATGTATAATAAGGAGAAAATTAAAGAGTTGATTACATTCGAAAAATAATGGTTAAAATTATTTAAAGTATTGAATTCAATAAATTTAGTTAAAAATGAATAAAATGTGCAGAAAAACCTAACTAGTTATTCATAATGATACAATAAATAATTATGTTAGTATAATTGAGTATATTAGAGTGTTTTTAAATCTTTTTTTCACAATAATAATAAATAATAAATATATATGGGATAAAGCTGTTGCAATAAGTAAACAATCGAATAAAGTAATGAACAAATGACTGAGTGGTGCTAAAATATTGAAGGAGTCAAATTTTGCGAAAACCTTGATGATATATTTAACTCACATGATTGTAATTCTAATCAAGCAAGAGTGCTAAGCTCTTAAATAATATTTACATTTTAATAGTAACTGCCTCCTACATTATCGTAAGAAAGTATAAATTACGATAAAATGAACAGTTTATAAAAAGAAAGCTTAGATGAAGAAAGCCCTTCATTTAAGGCATAACAACTTAGATTCTTAAGAAAATGATGAATTAGTATGATTTTTAATTAGTTATATTTTGTTCTTTAAAGAATATTGAATTCATTTAAGGATTAAATAAGATTTCGTCATATTAAGTATATAATTGATTCTGATAAATAAATATTATTAGTATTAATAACATTTGAAAACAGAAAAATATATACAAAATTAATGTTAAAAAGATTAATACTGTTATAAAATTTCTCTTCATTAAAGATATATTATATATAATGAGGTTTGAGAAGAAGCATAACAAAAATAAACTTAATCTCATTCTTACAGAAAATAGATTATGTTTTAGTAATGTGAAACTATAAATGTTTTAGATATATAATTATATCCATTTAATATTTCTATTATTTCTCAACATAGAATAAAGATATAGAAGTTATATGAGAAATTATAATAAATCTTGTATTATTATTATTATATTTCATTTATGAAATAGATATTTTTTATAAATCATAACAACATCACTATTTAACATCTCTTGATTAGTTCCTGATTCTACAAACACTTTCACTTTCCCACTCTTCCCAAATGCACTATCAATTTTACCTTAAATATTTCCTTATTTGATAACAATCAATTTTCCAATATAATTAGCAATATTTGTTTCTTTCTTAAATAAATCCTTAATAAGTAAAGTGTAATTATCTATAACCTTTTCCACCTTTCCATTTTTAGTCTTCTTTCTGAAAATTCTTAAATAATTCTATTGAAATATTTATTAACCTGTATAAGAGTGTAGAATATTTCCATAAAATGCAATTCTACATATATTAGCTTCTAAATCAGTATCCAATTTAGAAGCAATAACTAAAGAATTCATAGAAGCAATTAATGGTTTCTCCAATTATAACACACCATACAAATTGTACTTTTCTTGAAATTTTACATAATCTATAAAAATATTCATAATCAATATATACCTTCATAATCTTCTAAATATTCTCCTTCGCTATTAATTTCTAATTATAAATTCTTTGGTCTTATTATTAATTTCAATTATCCCATTACAGTCAAATGACCAGAAGTGATATGAAATTTATTTTAAGACTTCAATTATCCTTTATAATAACTAATCTTCTTAAAATCAATAACTATATTTTCTAATAATGATACTATCCCTGGTTAACATACAATTCCTCTTTCAATTTCTTTGGCATCTAAATTAGTAAATAAAGCAGCTATTCTATCTCCAGGTTCTCCCATCTAAACTGGTTTTTTAAACATTTATAAACTTTTGATTTTTTTATTCAAATTTAACATAGGAAAAAAGACTTCATCATTTGGTTTCATAGATCCTTAAATTATAGTACCAGTTGTGACTGTTCCTTATCCTTTTATTTAAAAACAATGATCAATCATAAACAAAAGACCCTTATTTAATTATGCTTATCTATTAGGAATAGTAATATTTTAAAGTAGAATTCTTAATAGATCTTCAATTCCAAGTGCTTAGATAGCTGAAACTGGAACTAATGGAACTTAATTTCCAAACTTTGTTTTAGATAGAACATTAGCAATTATTTTTTTTTGTTTATTTATTACTTCATCTGTTGCTAAGTCTATTTTGTTCAAGACCACAATTAATTTATCAGCCAAAATCTCACCTATTACTAAACATTCAGCTGTTTATGTTTAAATGCCTTTAGTCACATCAATTACTAAAAACATCATATCAATTATTTATGCTCCTCCTATAATGGTCTTGATTAATGATGCATGTCCAGGACAATCGACTAATGTAAATTGAAAATATCTTAAATGATTTATTGTGGATACTTTCCCTCTTCATTTGGATTACGAGTGTAAAATGCACTAAATCCAAGATCTAAAGTAATCCCCCTCTCCTAACTCTAAGGGTTCTTATCTAATGAGGCTGTAGATGTTATCTAATATATTGATAAATTAATTACTTTAGACAATGTCTTAACCAAAGATGTTTTACCAGAATCAATATGTCCTAAGACACCAATATTAATGTTAATGGTATTTTATTTATTGACTTGTTCTATCTCTTGTTATGAAATGAATAAACTTTATTCCATTTATTAAGTATATAAATAAATCATTAATGATCCTCATGCATAATTTAATATTCCACCTTCCTCTCTTATGTAATACCTTACAACTATAAAGAATACTCAGCAATTGCTTTTTATTTTGTTACAGGATTCTCCCTATCATAATCAGTATCAAATTCTATCTATGCTTTTTTATATGACACAGGCTAAATTCAAATATATTTATTACTTCTTCAAAGTTCTTAATTGGAAACATACTATCAACAAATCGATGTATTGGTAAGATTTAAAAACTTAATCCAATAATCACACCGAGTGTGGAATAAATATCAAAGTTTTAGTTAAGAAACAATGAAACTGCTGTATTACCCAAAGGATTAAATAAAACAACAAATTCAAGCATATTAATCATCTACCATGATAATTCTTAGGATATACTTTCCTTAACTGTTCTTCTTCTCAAAATGTTATACTTATCAACAAGGTAAAATAAACTTAAACCAATTAAGGAACTGAATACACCTAATGGAATAGCAGTACCAAAAAAGAAAGTAAACCACATAGTTTTAATTATATCTGCATATCTCATTGCTAATTGATAATCAACTTCTTCCATAATTTCATTTGCTTCTTTTTATGTAAGTAAACAATCATTAACTTTTTAAGCTTAATGATCTCTTTGCAATTTTCTTATTAAAGTCCAAGGATCAATTAACCAAATTAATGGTGCAATGGCAGCATTCAGAATAAAAATCAGAGTTTCATTATACATGAATCCACCAAAACCATATATATTACTAAATATCAAGATATCAATAACATAACTAACAATTGCAGCATTAACAAATAAGGAAATAGTTAATTTATTAGCATATGAGATTTGAAATTTTGTATTGGTTGATATTCTTTCTATTTTTGTTATCCATTTCATTAGAGGTTCAATGAATAATTTATTAATTAGTACTATAGTTGATGCAATAGCAAATGAAATCATTTAAACATTCTTTAATTTTTCTTTGTCATCAACTCCAATCTTTCTTTTTTCAAGTTCTTCATTGTAAACTAATCTAATACATCGAATTGATAAATAATAAATAATAAAGAATGTAATTCCTTAGGCAATAATGGTAATAAAGAATCCTTTGATTCTAGCAACTATTTTATCCTAAGTTAAAGTGGCTAGATTTTCCCATAAAATATCATTAGGTTCAGGTGCTTACTCAATAAATAGTTTTTAAGCTTACCATTACAATTCCATTTCATCTAAACCTGGAGTTTTACCAGAATATAAAAATGTCTTAACTTTATCTAATAATGTATGTGTATTTTAACTAAGAACTAAATCTTTCATTTTCTCACTTTCAAAAGAAACAAAAGCTATTCCACTAAATTATCTATTAGTCCAAAAATATTCTTCTTATAAATCCTTTATTCTCTTTTGTGAAATTTCAATTTCAACTTCACTATCTCTGACATCTTAACAATCATATTTCATATTTGATGTTTATAATGCTATCTTTTTCTTCTACAATGTTTTTTAAATTTTTGCCTCTTCTGCTAAAATCTCTGTGATATCATAAACTAAAACAACTTTCGTTACTGTTATTTAAAAGTTATTATCTGATACTGCATAATTTTAAAATAAATTTGTCAATTCCCATCGATAATTAACATTCAAAGTTTTTGGAATATTTGTCACTATAATTGTATAATCACTTGGTGTTAATTATGATTCATCTATTTGATTATCTAATTTTTTTTGATGTCTTCTAAATATTTATAATAGAATGATCATTATAATTAGCATAATGAGATTGGCCTTTTAGATGAATACCACAACTTCTGAATTGCTAAATTAATATGTATACAATCACTTTAGTTTATTGGCTATAGACAATTTAAGGAACATAGATTCTTGACAATTAGGTTCCATTTACTATGATATTGGATTCAAGGTTTTTTATCTAAATAACTATTAGATTTACTGACAAAATTCACCATGATAATTACTCAAGATATTGAAAAGGGCTACAAGACTTTGCAAACATAATAACAGGATGCAAAATTTCAAAAAATTATAAAATAATGGAAATCCTGCACCTAAAAACTTTAATGATTTGATATCATCACAATATGGTATTTCCTTTCTTTCTATTTCAAAACCACAACAAGGACATGTTTCAGCTGAATAAAAAATCATAAATACGTTTTTTAGGTTCTTCATCATCATCATCATCAAGACGAGCCTTAGTATCAGGAGCAGTTCGTCTAGCCAATGCATGTTTTCTGGCTACATTCCAATCACAAGGCATCTACAATGGGTTATAATCCATTATATATATATCTTAATTAATTTTATGTAAAAATGTTTATTATATACTCTTTTTAACTAATTATTAATATAATTTATGGAAACCGACGAAGTACCAAAACCAAAGAAAGCACCCTACAAATCAAAAAGATACTTCCTAAGTTCATTGAATACTTACTTTGGTTATCAATTAGTACAACTATGTACTCATTTAGATTTAATAACTTCGCAATGACAATGAGCATCCTGAAGATCCAAATCTTATTGTAGGCACCACAATCTTATAAAACAAATATCCATTACATCCAGCAGTTAGAAAAGTGATTGATGTATCATTATCATTCAATATCAAAATAGCCATCTAAAATGTCATTCTTAGAAAAAGTCATCTTAGATAGTGATGTAATAGTTTATGACATTAATACATGTGATCATAGTGAATGTGAATATGCCATTAAAACATTAAAACTGGGTTCTTATGATTAAGAAAAAATTTTGATTCTTGTTTCATCTGTAATGGCATGGTCTGCAACAGATCCAAAAGAAAAGAAAGCTGGAGAAGAAGATGAAGATGGTGGTTATCCTCCAGAATCAGGAGAAGAAGAAGGCAAACCATAAGAGGATGCTGAAGATGCTCCTCCTAAAAAAGAATATACACGTTTTAATGAAACTGATTATCCTAAGAGAAAGGCTTTACCTTAATATGAGAGTTTATGCTCTCTAGAAAGTTTATGCTTAAGTATTAATAGACCTAATTTAAAAACATTTATTCTTTGTGCAGGTATATTGTATGGAATGGGAGAAGATCACTTTTATACTAAATTTAAAGGGGCTTGGTTATAAAATACAATTACATTTTATAATAGAAATAAAGTACCATGCATTCATGTCAAAGATTTAGCTTTATTTGTATAAAAGTTGGTTGAAAAACCAGTTAATTAAAAATATATCTTTGCTATTGATCACAATCAAAATCCCTCTCATAAAGCTATTATTGATTCTATATCAAAAGGTGTTGGAAATTAAAAAATATAGTAATCTGATGTGGCTATTCCAGAATTTTAAATTGATCTTCGTATGAAACCAACTAAAGTATTTGATGCTTTTCTTGAAGAATAAGGAGATCAAGGGGATGAAGAATAAGCAGTTGATAAATTTACATTTAATTGGTGGTGTAAAGAAGGTATAAGAGCTAATATAGCAAAGATAAGATAAGAATTTGTTGATTATCATAACTTAAAACCAATTCGTATTGCAATTACAGGTCCACCTGGAATTGGGAAAAGTACTATTGCAAATTAAATATCTACATATTTTAGTATTCCTCATATTACCATCAAAGAATTGATATAGGAATATTTAAATTAAACTAGTGAAGAAGTTGAATCATTAAAGGCAAATTTAGAAGAGAATAGAAATTAATTAGTTGAAGAAGCAAAAGCACAATATGATATTTAAAGAGAGAAAAGAAAATAATTAAAACAACCTTACATTCCATTTGATGATAGTAAAATTGAAGCAAGATTAACAGATGAATAATTGATTACTATATATAAATGGAGATTGATGTAGAATGATTGTTAGAATAGAGGTTTTATTTTGGATAATTATCCAAAGACATATGCATAGGCAAAATAACTATTCTATAATATTGAAGGAGAAGGAGAAGAATAAAAAGTAACTCTTAATAAATTAATATTACCTGAACATTTTATTGTACTTAGTGGTAGTGATGAATAAATAATTGACAGGATTAAATTCTCAAAAACTCATAAATATGATGAAGAAGTACTTCTTAAAAGATTAAAGAATTATAAAATACTTAATACAAAAAAGGGATATACAATTTTGATTGATTTTTATAAGGAATTAAAAGTGGATATATGTGAGATTTCAGTATTCAATAAATAAACTAATATTTAAGATACATGTAGAAGTTTTATTGAAAGGGTATTTTTTAATTTCTTATTTTAGAATGGAAAGTATAAGAATTATAAACATATTGAATAGGATTTAGAAGAGAATAGGTTGAAAGAGAAGAAAGAATAATTATTGAAGTAATAAGAACAACATTAAAAATTGAAAGAGTTAAGAGATAAGAAAGAAGATGAATTGTGGAAGATTTAAGAGGAAGAATATAGGATCAAATAGGAACATAGTGTTAATTATGAGAAAGAATTACTTGAATCAAGATCTCTTCCATTAAGGTATAAGATATATGATTTAATAAAATAGATAATATTTGAATGATAATGTAGTACCATTTATTACAGAAGGTTTAGTAGAGATTGTAAAATAGAATCCAGAAAATGTGATAGACTTCTTGTCTGAATTCTTGTTTAAGAGATCATTACAAGTTAGATTCCCAGATCCCAAATTGTATTTTGAGAATTCTGAGTGATTTGACATCTAATAACAAGAAATCATATATTTATTTTTTATAGTCTTTTTTTCAATTTTAATGAATTCCATTAATTGTCAGTCTAATATTTTTATTCTTTATATTAAGTAGAGTATTCTTTCGAATCCATTCTGATGTACTTACCTTCAATTTGTGATGGATATTGTAGACTGTAATTTGAAAATCCTTTATTCAATATATACAAATCAAGATAATATAATTTTGGATAGACATTAAGGTGTCGATCAGTATTTCTTATTTGTTTATAACTAATACAATTATTTTGATTAATTACATTTAAACACTTCTCTTCTCTGAGAATTCACAGTATAGTACAATAACTGGTTTTATAGTAGGAATTTATTTAAAAAATATAGACTCTATCTCGAAAGGATTACAAAGATGAGTTGCACCTTATATATGACCACCCTCAAACTCAAATTTATAACGACAATCAAACAATGTTATATCATTAGCATTTTTATACTAAATTATTAATTTCTCATTATATACTAAAGTTTCAGGAGTGATATAATTAACAGCATCTTTTTCAAAGTGTTATAATCTATTTGATCCCTCATGCTCATCACAGAAATTAATTGGAACTCTGAATGAACTAAAAAAATCTTATCTTTCAAATTATCTTTCAGGACTATTAGTTTCACTCGAAATTGAAACACCTCTTCTCAACCAAGAATCATCTCCTATTACTATTTTCTTGTTTGGGTTTGATAATTATTGGCTTCGTGTAGGCCTTTATAAAAATAATTCATCTCCAAATCTCTTTGTAGAATGATTTGAATCACAATCAAAGGAATTAAACGAAGCGCAAGTCTTAAATAGTTGCAAGAAATTAGGTATTTCTTATGATGAACTATTATTCATCTTATCTTTGCACTATTTTAGTTTTAATATAAATATAAATATATGTATAAATCTCTATGAAATAAAAATGAAAATATTTTCAAAGATGTAGTTAATAGCATTCTAAATCAAAATATATTACACAAATTTTAATTAGATTTGTCATTAAATAAATGAAATAATTATATATGTTAATCAATAGTAATTATAAACAATCTAATTATTACTTTTAAAATGTGTAGTGTATTTTGGTAAATCTAATTAGCCTTAATTTAATTATCTAAATTTTTTGTAAATAGTTTATTAATTAAATTATGAATATCTATCTCATTAATTATCTATATATAAATTTGCTTTGTCATTATCCTATTTTCATTTGGATTTATAATCTATTAGAGTTCTTAAATTAATTAATCCAAAGTAAAATGTAAAAAACTTTATTTTTTTATATTTAGATTATCCATAATATATTAGTATCATAATATTATGTTATATTTTGAATAATTTATATTATGATATCTTTACTTTTGATGGATATATCAATTATTCATACTGAATATATCTTTAATCGAAATTAGATAATCAATGAATAAAATAAAAAACTAAAAAACCTTCTTAAATTAAATTAATCTAAACCATTTGTTCTAGACATAAAAATTATGAAAAAATAAACATTGCTTGTCAATATTCTGAGAGACTCTCTTCATCAAAATTCCTATCTCTATCCAATTAAATTCATTTTTGGGTAATTAAAATAATATAATTTTTATTAATTAATTATTCCAAAAGGAATTTGTAGTTGAACATGATTAATATCCTGTATATATTAATTATTAGTTCTTCTTATATTTATATAATTTTTGTGAATAATTCACAATTATTTTAAAAGTTTATTAAGTAGTAAAATGAATTCTATTTATTTAATTATTGTATATAATATATAAATACACTTTATTTATTCATTTCGAAAAGTAACAATTTCAAGAGCGATAATCTTGGCACTTAAATGCTAGATTTCAATAATCACTCAAAGTTTCTTATCCAAGATTAAATCAATCGTTTTAAATTAACCTTTATTATAATTAATGAGTACAAGTAGATATGTAGCAAAGAAGCTTCAGCCATTTATCACTTCTAAGTTAGAACTGACTTAATAACTTGAAAACTTAGAGAAGGAATAAAAGGAAGAGGAAAGACTGAATGATTAATACTTCGATATATTAGGAAGAATGGAAAAAGTAAAAATGAAAATCATCTATAAATTTAGGAATATGAAACTCTTGTTCACATTTTAGAAGATTATAATCGGAGGACAGTTGTAAAATAGAATGGAGATACTGATTAAGATTAAAATTTAGATTCTCGGATTGAAAAAGCAGTTATTGAGACTTTGAATTTATACTTATTAGGAAATAGTAGAAAAGAATAATTAGAAGCATTGTAAGAAAGAGAAGTAGCTAAAAAATAATCTGCCTTGAATCTGACTCTTGGAAAGACTGTCATAACAGAATAAAAATAAGTCGAAGATGAGAATGAATTAAATGAAGATGAATATGGTTATTATGTAACATTGAAATCTGATCATACTTCTATGGAAGTTAAAATACCTGCAACAATTAAAACATTTAAAGAATTGAAGTAGATTGTCAAATCTTGTCTTATGCTTGAAGAAAATGAAATATTTTGCACAGATCTGATGGGCAATCTGTTTTAAGATGATATGAATTTATTAAATCAAATTTATCCTCCTCTTTATGATTTAATGAAAAATTATTAACCAATTATTGGAATTGAAGTAGTAAAGTAAGTTAAATTAAAGGAACTTATTTAAAGTGGAGATGAAAGTTTATTATCTGATGATGGAGCAAGATATTTCATTAAAAGATTAAAAACAACTAAACCTGTTTAAAAAAAAATTAATTGGAGTTTATATCTAGGCTATTTAAACAATTTTAAATATTTTATTGAAACTATTTTGTTTCTTATGGTTTTAGGATTATTTTTAGTTGTTCAAATTGATTAAGTTAAATTTACAACAAGTTCTTCTGTTTTAACTTCATTTGGAAAACAAATGTAAGTTTCTAAATCACTTATATCACCAATCAAAAATATATCATAACTTATAAATTAAACACTTACATACAATAATGATAATCATTAATATCCTTCATATCCTTTAGTAACTGGATTACTAATCTAAACTTTAGTCAAATAAGTAATTATAATATTGATCTAGGAAAAATTAGAAGATTGTTCTATTTTGAATAACAATTAGAAATAAATGTTTATTGATAAAAATTAAAGTTGTTTAGATTTCTCCACTATTTTAATGGATAATTTAACTGAAGATTATTAATTTAATAGGTTTAATCCATCTATTTACAATGAATAATTTGGTGGATATGTATGGGAGTTGAATTTAGGATCCAAAGAAGAATTTAATTAAAATATTGAATTACTATTTTAATAGAATTGGGTTAAATATAATATTAAGTAATCTAAATTTATATTAAATTATTTCAATTCTCCAACGAATAGACTTATTTAAGTGGTTATTACAACTATTTACTTATTTAATGATGTAGCAACTTATATTAATTTAGATGTTATTAAATTATAATACTATTACCTTAGATTCATTTGATCTTAGCAAAACTTCAGAAACTGAAGATTTTTATGATGAAATTATATTTTATTTATCCATTCTATTATTATCATCATCATTACTAGGTAAGGACAATATAATAAATTATAGATTTCTTTGCAATATATTTAAAGACATCTGACAACCCTTTTATTTTCTTATATCAATCCTATACTGATTTAAAAAACAAATAAAAAAAGTTATAATCTAGAAAAAAAGAATTGTCAAGTGTAGAATAATAAGAATTACAATAGAAAGAACTAATAATTGGAGATTATTTTATAATGAAAATATCTGTTGTTTATCTTGTAATTAAAATTCCTTTAATATTTGACTTTGTTTGTACAATTTAGAAATATATTAGATATATTATCAAATATAGCCATAATAATAAGAGGAACAATATAAGAAGTATATATGAATGCTTTAAATGATATTTAAATAAATTCAAATGAATTTTAAGATGCATCTTAATTAATTGTTCCAGCATTTTTGTTGAGAATATTTACAGGAGTTTTGATTATATTTTTGATGGCTTCAATAATTAGATTTTTAGGTAATTGGAGTCCATATCTAAAATGTTATGGTTTAGTGATGATAAGAGTAAACTATTTGATCATCATATTAGTTCAATAAATAATCTTCATTTTTATTATTAGTTCTCATATTTATTATTAGTATCAGTGCAATGTCATGGTCTATAACAATTTAAGGAAAGATAATAGGATAAGATAATTTCTTCTATGATTTCCTTGGTTTATTACGTTGTACTTTAAAATACGGTATGCATAATGACATAGGAGATTAAGGACTGGAAAATAATTATTAAAAAGAAATTAGTTATTCTTTTGAAACTAGATATGTATTTAAGATCTTTAAAATTAAGCTATAATATTTGATAATTTTAGTTATAACTTTTATAATGATTCCAATATTCATCTCCTTAATGACTTAACAAGTTCACAACACTAAAGTAGAAGCAAAATAAAAAATGATAGAGATGGAAAAAGAGAAAGAAGAAAATAAGTAAAAATAAAAATGAATTTTACTCTATATTTTAAAAGTATACATTAAAAGTCTACAAAAATAATCTAAAAAAATATAATTTTTTTCATAATTTTTTAAACAATATCTAATTTCATTCCCATACTATAATGCCTTATTATACTTAAATCTAAGGATATTTATCAAATTTAATATGAGCATTTCTTTTATCCTTTTAAAATTCTTTGATCAAATACTATAATTAATTATTAAATAGAGTATTTATCATTTATTTATTATCCTTAAGTAAATTTAGAATTATTTTCTAAGCAATTTTCTTGTTACATAGACAAAAAAATTTAGTATTACCCGATGTTATATTCTTAGTAATCATTTAGTCCAAACATTCTATATGATAATAATGAGAGCAACACAATTAAAATAAATTGTATTTTGATAGTCTCATACAATTATTGCACCTTTAATATTAGGTTGATGATATAGTTTAAAAAATTTCATCTGAATACTCATTAGGAAGTGCAACTTCAGAAATCGGTTCAAACTGCTTGAACCTTGGTTTTTTTTGGATTCTATGAATCGTCTCAATTTCAGTTTATACGGCTTGAACTATTTGGCTTTCTACTAATTTGAGATACTAAAACTTACTTTGTTGATAAATAAAATTTCTTTATGATTTTTCTATTTCTTATTTAATAGGATAGTTATTAAGACTTATATTTTAATTTATATTCTAGAACCTATTTAGCCTATAAATTTTTTTAATCAATCGTTATTCATTAGGTATGTCTATGACTCCTTTTGTTTATATAATAGAATTCAAGTTAATATCAGGAGTGTTTTATTCGGGTTGATGGCTATCAAGCTATCTAAAATTTTAATTAAAAATAATTAATGAATCCAAGGATTAGGTTTAAGGATTTTGATCTTTTAAAGTATTAAATCTATTAACCATTTATTTGGATCCTTCTTTGTTCTAACTATTCAATAAAATATTTGATGGAGATTTTTTTATCATGTTATGTTAATCTTCTCTTATAATTCTGGCTTGATGGTAATGATTTCTTTCTGAATAAAAATCTTGATGATTATTAAAATCCTATTTAAATAATAATAAATTTTTATTTTTACATTTAGATGTGGATTTACTTAACTAAAATTGGGTTTCATTTTTGCTTCCTTTATTATAATTTTTTTTTTTTAAACTTCCTCTCCTGTTATTAATTTCTTATTTTAATTGACAGGATTATTCTTAGATCTTGTTTGAAAATCTTTTAAGATATCAACTTTAAAAATGGTTCTTTTTTATAAATCTATTTCATTATCGATCTACTCAAGTTTTTTATGATATTTTCTTTTCATTAATTGAAATAAATATATAATAATTTTTATCAAAGAAATAGCAAAATCAACCCATTATAAAAAGTACCTTAAAAACTTGAAACACAACTATTGCTTGATAAAACAAATAAACCCATAAAATTAGACACAATAATGTCCTTTGACAGTTAATATTAAATACAAAAAATATTCTGGAAAAAATAATAAGCAGAATAAACCAAGAATATTTTTAGTATGTTCCACTATAAATCTGAGTATATATTACATCGTTAATTTTTTTTAAAAACATCATTATATAGAAATTTACACTAAGAAATAATGCTGTAAGAAATCCATGTTAAAATATAATTATTAGAAATGCTAAATATGCTAGCTTATTTGCAATTTTTTATGTTTTATTTTGCCAGATAATATTTTTTGCTCCAATACAACTTAGTATTCTTCTTCCTAAACAACTATAAAAACTTAAAGGCAAAAAGGATTTTTCGGAAATAGTAATTAAAATACAGCCATTATGAATGAAAATATGAAACATATTCATATGGTGCTAATTTAATAAAATCTAATTTGTTCTCAGTAGAGTTGAAACTTTGATAGTATATATTCGGGATAGTATCGGAGACATCTATCTAAAACAATAATTTTCTTTTATTAAATTTAAATTAAAAAAAAATGTCAGAAGAACAAGTTAATGAAAATAAAGAATCTCCTGAGATTTAAAAACCGGTTGATGTACAAGAGGATCCACCTGTTGAACCAAAAATAACTCAATCTACATATGGAAATGATGATGTACCTATTGGAAAATCTTAAAACAAATAAATGCTTGAAGAATTTCCACCTGAAGGTTTTGTCCCTAAAAAACCTGCACCTAAAAAGGCTACCAAAAAACCAGTTCCTCCTCCTGTTGAAAATGATGAACCTAAAGTTATAATTAACCCTGATGATATTCCTATTAAATAAGCAGGAGCAAATGTAATAGATGACCAACCTGTTGGAGGAGGCAAAAAATTTGCAATTAGTGAATATCCTGAAGGAATGGAAGGGGGAGGAGAAGATCTTTAATAGACTGTCCTCCCACTTGGTTAGCGTTTGAAGTCAAAAGCATGGAAATTAAGACAAAGTGCTTTTGAAGAAATGGCAGAACTCTTTCAAAAAGATGAATCTCTTGATGAATATTATGATGAATGGCCTAAATTAATCAATGATAATAATCCTGGAAGTTAAGAAAAAGCATTGATAGCCTTATAAATATTTATTGTAAAGTGTAATAAAAGCCAATTTGCAGCTAGATTTGATGCTAAGGAGACTATTAGAATATTAATTGATAAATGTATTGCACCAGGAAAAAAACAAATAGTCAAACTTAGTTATGAACTTTTATTTGATATATTTGAAAGAAGAGATAAGTAAGAGATGTTTGATGTTGTTAATGAAATGTTAAAAAATAAGGTGTAAAAAGTTTAATGTGCAGCAATTCAAAGTTTAGTTGAACTATTGCTTACATTTGGTCCAAAGAGATTGGATTATTTGAAACCTTTCTTTCCAGAAATTGAGAAATTAGCATAATCTACAGTTTCTTCAATAAAAACTGAATGCATGAACTTTTATAAGGAAGCACATAAATGGTTAGGTGAACCAATATTAGCACCTTTTATTAAAGGATTAAAAAAATTGTAATTAGAAGAGTTAGAGAAATTCTAAAAAGAATGGCAACCTGTTCCTATGGTACCAACAAGAGGTGGAGATGCTGTAACAGTTGGATAAGGAGGTGGAAACAATAATGGATTAGATGTATATGATTTAGTTGATGCAGTTGATATATTCAATAAACATAATGAAAAATGGTGTGATAAAGTATTGGCCTAAACTAAATGGAATGAAAAATAAGCTTTATTAGATTAATTATTAAAAGAGGCAGCTACTCCTAAAATAGCTCCTGGTAATTATGTACCAATGATATCTATGATTAAAAAGTTATTAGTAGATTCTAATTAGGTTATAAATGTATGTGCTATTAAATTATGTGGAGCATTTGTTAAAGGTCTTAGAAAAAACTTTACTGCTTAAGCAAAACTCTTATTTCCTCTTTTAATAGTTAAATTAAGAGAAAAAAAAAATATTTGTTAAGAAGCTAGAGCTGCTATGGAATTATTCCATTATTCTTTATAAGTAGAAGATGTTGTTGAAGATTTTAAGGAAGGGTTAGCTGATAAAAATCCTTAAATGAGAGCATAATGTCTTTTATTATTTGCTAAACTTGTTTAATTGAAAGGATTCCCTTAAGGAGCACCTAAACCTAAATTTGTAGATTGTGTCAAATAATTATTGCCATTAGCAAAAAAATTAATTGAAGATAGTGTTCCAGAAGTAAGAGAGGCATCAGTACAAAGTTTAGGCACTCTTAAACCTTATTTGTCAGATTAATTAATTAATTCTTTTTATTTAGACATTGCATAATAAAAATTAAATAAAATTAATGAAATTTCAGGTCAAATTGAAGAGGAGAAAAAGAAAGAATAAATAAAAAAATAACCTTAATAAACTAAAGAATAATAATAATAAAATTCATAAATTTAGTAATCTAATATATAAAACAATTCAATTTAATAAGGAACTGCAAAGAAACCTCCACTTTCATAGAAGAGTAATATTGTAATTACTGAACAACCTGAATAAAGTTTAGATTAATTAGAAGGTTTATTAAGGAGTTATGGAATTGATGATTAATTTTTTGAAAATATAAATGGTATGGCTAAATTGAAAGCAGAAGCTATTAAAATGCTTGAAAATGAAACAGATGCCATGTAAAATCATTTTGAAGACATTTTAAATTTCTTAAGATTTAAATTAAAGGATTGGAAAGAAGCAAATCTTTCAATCAATAAAGAACTTTTTTCTATTTTAATCTATGCTAATAATTTAGATCCTAAACCTTTTACTCAAAAATCATTTTAACCTTTATGCAAATTATTGGTTGAAAAAATGACAGATTCTAAATTCAGAGAAGACATATATATAATTTTAAAGGGATGTTGTGAATGTGTAAATCCAAAATATATTGTTTTATATTTGATTACTTAAGCTACTCCAAAGGATGACAAGGAAAGTGGTAAACCTACTATTATGCCTCCATAAAAGATTGGAGAAATAATTAATAATATTTCGAAAATCATTGATATAGTAACTATTAAGAATGTCCCTACTAAAGAAATAATAGATTTTGGTAAAGAATAATTACAATCAACAAATGCTATTATCAAGACTTCTTGTGTAGAATTGTTCAAAACAATTTATAAATATATTGGTTAAGAATTACTCTAATTTATATAAGATGTATAACCTCCAGTAATGAAAACCCTAAATACTGAATTTGAAAAAATATCAATATTAAGTTCTTATGAACCAACAATCACTTTTACAGGAGATGCAGCCAAAGAATGTGGAGTGATACAATCTCAACCACTATCTTAATCAATTATGTAATCTACAGTATCATCAATTAATGATAATTTACCTAGAGCTGACATTTCAAATTAGTTGTAATCTGTCTTAAAGAAAATGGCTGATATCTAATGGAATAAAAGGAAGGAAGGAATGGAAGAATTAGATAAATTATTAACACACAATAATAATAGAATTTAAATAAATGGATTAAATGATTTAATAAACATGTTAAAATAAAGATTGAGTGATAACAATAAATAATTAGTTAGACCTATAGTATAAATTGTAGGAAGAGTTGCTGAAGCCTGTGGAAAAGATTTTAAATCATCAGGGAAATAATTAATTTCACCTTTAATTTCTATACTTAGTGATAAATAAGTATTAGTTAGATAGGATGTTGTTGCTAGTTTAGATAAATTTTGTATAGCCATAGGTATTGATTAAGTGATTTTGTAAATGCCTTCTTATTTATAGATGGAATCTATTGAATTGAAATAAGAAGTTTTATTATTTATTATGAAATATATTGAAGCATTGCTTAAAATAGATTACAAACCATTTATTTTACCATTAATTAATTGTCTTTGTGATAGAGTGAAAGAAGTTAGATAGGCAGCAGAATAAGTTTGTGAAAGAATGGTTGAAGATGTAGGAATAGATCCATTTTTAAATTAAATGAAAGATTTAAAACCAGCTGTTGTTTAATAAGTAAAATAATTCTTTTCTAAATTTGGAATGACAGAATTTGAAGACACTTCTAAAAGAACTGGTAAAACACCTAAGGGAAAACAATAATCATAATTGATTTAATAATAAGATATAAGAAATATGAAGAGAAATTTAACCATAAAAGATTTACAAAATGATTAAAATACATCTCAAGAACCTAAATAAAGAAATGAAATAACTCCAAATAAATCATTACATTAAAAATCTCATAAAACTTTACCTTAAGATAATACTCCTTTAAGATAATAAAAAGAAAAGGCAATCTTCTAAGACAACAATAGTTTAATTGCAAAAAGTTCCAGTATTAAGGAATTGAAATAACTAAGATTACAATCAGATTAAACATAATCATGGGCTAATGATTGTTTTCCAATCAGTACATTTAGTGATCTCTATGTATGTTTAAAAGAGGATCTCTACAATAATCTGATGTCATATAATTATAAGGATGTTATGAAAGGTTTATAATAATTAATGACAGTTTGGAATGATCCTGAATAAAAATCAGATATAATTGAATTAAGTGACTTACTATTAAAATTTGTACTTGTTAAAATATATGGTTGTTCTGCAAATCAACTATTAATTAATGCCTTGATTAGTTTTTTAGATGCATTTTTTTAAACAATCTCAAAATAAAGATATATCTTAAATGAAGTAGAATAAATTGTAACAATATCCTTATTAAGAGAGTTGATCTATGCTGGAGTTGATGTACATCCAGAATTAATATTTAATCTTTAATATGTATTCCCAGTAGAAATAATGATTAAAAAACTTTTACAATTATTTAGAATCAATCCTTAAGGCTTACATCCATTTTTAGTTGATTAAAAAGATAGAATTGATACTTAATTATCCAATTTAATCATCTAAGGTTAATTAGTCAAATTCTTTCCTTTAGATCTATTCACAGAATACTCATAATATATCACTAAAGAATTACAAAATGAACTCATAGCCTTATTTGGAGAAAATATTATCAGACTATAAAATAAATAATAGTAGTCATATTAATAATAATAATAATAATAATAACAATAATAATAATAACCTTAATCTTAATAATAACAATATTAAACAGGAAAATAACCAATTGTCTAGGGAACTATTTAATTATAATCAGTTAAAGATCCAAGATCACAATACTTTTTGTAAATTTTAGATTCTCTTTTAAGTTAATAAACATCTCAAAATATAGAATCTTTAATGTAAATCAGTGATTTACTTACATAAAATATTTAATAAAATTAATAATTGTTTGTTGATAATGCTGAGGCAATTTGCAAATGTTTTCAAACTCTATTATAGAATACTTTTACTTAAAGATAAATATACCCTGCATAATTTATATAGTTCTTTTTATAAGCATTAAACAAATTGTATTAGCTAAAGCCTTATGTAAATTAATTACCATATGAATTATTATGTGGATTCACTGAAGAGATTATGCTTAGACTATTATTAGAAGATGAAATAAAAACTCAATAAGAAAATGGTGATGCTATTAAGCAACTTAATTCTACCATTCTTAGGATCTTAGAAAACACTAGCTAAGATATTATGTTTTCTATTTTATTTGATATATTAACCAAGCATAGACGTAGAAGTAATGCACAAAAAATGATAGATTTGCTTGTTAAATGCATAGCTAGGTTAACTGTCAAAATAGAGTAAAATAGTAATATTAAGATTGAATTACTGCTTCTTAAATTTCATAATTATTTAAATGAGTTCTCGCTCTATCCTAATTTTGCACTTGATGAAAAAGGAGTTAAAACTATTAAAGTTGTACTCTAATAATTAGTTAAGGTAAGAGGAGAAAGAATTTGGGAAAATTATCATCTAGTTAGTAGAAGCACTTAATAAGATCAATATCTAAATAAATGGATTTAAGCATATTTAGGTAATCCTTCTTTGTAAAATACATAACAAGAAAATAATCTTCCTGATCAAGAACTATTATAGATAGTTGAAATGTTAAGATCACCTACTTTATTAGATAGTGGGATACAAAAAATGGTAGAAAAAATTAAAAGAAACCCAAGTATAATATTTTATTTTATATAGCAATCTAATGGTAAAAGTATGTCCATGATTAATAGATTTAATTACTTATATAGTAGTAATTGACAAATGGATAAACAGTGATTCAAGGAAATTATATGAGTAATCAACCTTCGTTATAGTATTCTTAGTTATAACAACTACCTTTACAATAATCATAATTATAATAATCTTAACTCTCTGTTAGACCTTAGTTATAATAGTAATAATAATAATAGTAATAATAATAATAATAGTTATAATAATAATAATAATAATAATAATAATAATAATAATAATAATAATAATAATAATAATAATAATAATAATAATCAATTTTACAATAATTACCATCTTATCCAAGAACAACAAGAGCTGCTGATCAATAGTAATAATAATAAAATGATTCATTCGGTGGTTAGTAATTCAATCAATATCTGTCAGTTAATTAATACTAAATGAATTAAAATTAATTAGGTTAATCACAATAATAAAATGTAAAAACACCAGAATATTTAATGCAAAAATTAACTGATATGAAAAATAAAGTTCAAACTCTTGTTGGTCCAAATAATGTATAACAAGCATAAAATCCTAGATAATTTTAAAATAATCGTATGCCTTAATGAATATCTATTATATTAAATAATTCATTATTCTAATGTTTACATTGGCTATTTTATTCTAAAAATTTCTAATACCAACAATTTAATCGTTAAAAAATGAAAAATTAATATATTCCTTCTCCTTATACTTGCTTAATAACAATTGTAAAAGCTTTTTTCTAGTAAAAATAAATAGATTAAATTTATTAATATTGATAAAATAAGGAAAAATAAAAAAATTGTAATTAAAGTTGTGATTTACAAGATTATTATAATCTAACTGATAATTCTTTTTCTATTTTGATAACAACATTATTTAATCCCCTTTAATATTAGATCCAGAATTAAATAAAGTATAATGAATAGATTATTCTACACTAATCTTAAGATATGAATTTGCTACAGTTTTAGAATTATAATTCATGACATTACTAATTGAGATTTTGAAGTAAGTTAAAATAACTGGAATGATATATAATTTTAACAATTAATTTTAAGTAAACAAACAAATAGTTTAAATTGAATAATTTTTGAAAGAAGTCATCAATAAATTATTGGCAACCTTAAAATCGTAATTACAAAATAATCACTATATAAATAATCCAATTTTTTAGATAAGAGAAATTGAAATTAATAATATTGACAGAAGTAAATGAATGTTCAAATTAAATAATCAGACTATATTTAATAATATGTTTCATATTTATTTCACTTTTAATAATAATTGTAATAATCTTTAAACTAAATTATTAATAGATATTTTGATTAAATATTTATTTGATTACTTTATTTGAAATCTAAAAAATGATTTTTGAATTAATAAATAGAAGTATAATAAAAAATGCTTGTATTCTTTTAATTTTTACTTTCTTAATATTTTTTAAATTTTAATAAAATTAAAAGAACTTCTTAATCTTTTTAATTTTAAATGTTATAGATTTATTATTTTCGAAATTATAAACTGTTTTTGGATGTTTATTTGTAAAGTAAAGTATTTATACAAAAGAAAAAAAGATGAATTTTAAGGAATGATTATAATTATTAAAATAAAAATAACAGCTTAATTATGACTTAAAATCTACAGGACTATGCTTAATAACTAGTGAATATCTCAATATCTGATGATGAAGATATAATCGATTGTTCACCTATGAGATAATCTAATTTTTAAAATGTTATTACATAAGGTTAACCCTCTGGCAAAAAATCATTAGCAGCTTCTATCAAACCAAAATCTACTGCTTCAAAAACAACTAAAAGTATGATAACCTAGTATGATTTAAGAATCAATTGGAACTAAATCAACAAAGGATAAAGCTAAAGAAATGAAAGAGCAATTTGAGGAATAAGCTAAATAACTAAAATGGTATTAAGAAGAGTATTAAAGATTGAAAGATTAAAAGAAATAATTAAAGGAAGAGAAAACCCAATATGTATTTATTATATTTATAAACAATAGCTTCTAACGATCAATACTTGTAAAACAAAGTTAGAATAGAGTGTAGGAAATGAAAAGAAACTTCATTAATAATTGAATGAATAGATGAATGTTACAAGATAAGCATTAAAATAAGCAAGTGATGCCTAAATAAATCTAGAATAGAATAAATAAAATTACTTATAATAATAATAGATGGATGATTTAGTCAAATAGAGATAAAAAGAGGAATTAGAATATTAATATTAAAAGAAACTTGATCAATCAGTTAAATAAGCAATTACTGATGCTGAGAGTAAATATGAATTGAGAATTCATTAAATGAATAAGGAACTAGATATTTTGAGATAAGAAAATATTGAACTACATAAAAAACTAATGTAAAACGAAACAAATAAAAAACATATTTATGTATAAAGCGAATTAGATTAGTTGAAAACTAAATACTTGACTACAAAATGATGATTGATATTTATTAGCTATTATTATTTAAACATTAAATTCTTGATGGAAATATATATATATTATTGTTTTTTTAATATTGACAAATTAAAATTAATAATGTTTATATTAATAAATAAAAAATATATGAATTTATATCAATGCAGGAGCAATTAAATATTCTTCTAATAGAGTTCATTGATATATTGATAGAATAAGAGAAAGAAGTATTGTATTTAAAAAAATTTGATAATTGAGTGTGAATTGAATATTGGAAATTTATTGAAATAATACAATAAGTTAATTTAGTTAATTTATTTCTATTAAGAGTAGAATAAGTGACTAGTAAATAGATTATGATTTCGATTTGATTGATATAAATAGGTTAGCCTTATTAAACTCATTTTCTTATTCATCAGAGTATTTTATTAAATGTATTAGTTGAGGATTCAAATATTATTATAATAATTATTTGTATCCATAATCTCATTTTTTAAATCCACTTTAAGGTCTTCTAGCATTCTTCTTAATTGCCGATTATAATCGAACTTTATTAGGATTGGATGGAGGATTCAATATAGCTTCCTTATTGATTATTGAAGGATCTTCTATATAGACATTAGCTTATTTTTCATTTTATATCATTTATTATTCTTCCTAAATATTTTCTAATTAAAATTTTTACTTCATCTTCATTCAAAGCCACATTTAAAACTTCTTATATTTTTTATGAAGGTTCAAGAGAAAAATCTTCAGTCATTCTTTATGGTAAATCTAGATCAGTTTATAAAATGTTTTCTGGTCTATATCTAGGATTAGCATCACCAAAATTGATTGCCATTCTTGAAAAATTACAGATAGGTCTTTTGAAACAAAATGCAGATGTTGGTTTTTTTAATGGATTTGCTTCAAATTCCTTAATAATCCAATCATCTTACTCTTCTGAAAATTCTAATTTATCTTTTAATCTCTTTTCTATATTAATAATATTTAATCAAATACCTTCATCTTCAGGAATAAAATGTTCAATTATTAGATTCATAAGATTTAATTATCTCAAAGATTCTCTATTATCCTCTATTAATTCTTCTTTCTATCTCTATCTAAATTAAGTCTATTCTTAAGCTTAACTTTTTAATTCTTTAATTTTTTATATTAAATTATTTAATTTTTATGTTTTGGCTTCAATCTCTTCTTTGGTTGAATTATATTTCTATTCTTATTCCATTTACATAGCTTCTTTTTTGGCTAATTCTTCTGCTTGTCTTCTAGCTTATTATGATCTCTCTTCTAATTCCATTCTTGCTTTTAATAATTCTTTTTCTTTCTATCTTGATTCCTCTTTCATTTTATCACCATGTAACAACTATTCCTAAAGTTCTTAAAGTTTCTTATGCATGTTTTCTTATTCTTTCTTAAGATTATGCTCTAATTTCTATTTCTCTTTTAATTTCAATTATAATTATTTCTTTTCTTCTTCTTATAATGTACTTTATCTTCTCTATTACATAATTTATTATTCTAAATCAGCTTTCTCTTTTTAAGCCTTTTATTACAATTCAGTTAATTCTTCATCATCTTCAACTTCAATTACTTATTCTTTAATTTTTTAAATTTATCCATTTGGTCCTATAACTCCTCCTGCTTTCCTTGCTAATTCATCCTTTAATTTATTAATTTATTCTTAAAATTCTCTTATCATAGCATCCTTTGGATCTTCATTAATTTTTGGATTATTTTAAATTTTCTTAGCTCTACTAGCATATCTTAATGTTGACATTGTTTCATCAAAATTATAATCAGCTGGTCCAATATTTGCAACCATAACAGTCTTTGTATTACCTCCTAAAGAATCTTATAAAAGACGAGTCAATTTAGAATCTCTGTATGGAATATGTTAACTTTTTCCATCAACCAATGATGTTATAACATTACCAAGTGTTGTTAAACTTAAATTAATATTAATAGCTTCTTCAAATCTTACACCAACTGCTTATGTCTTTGATTATCTTTCACTACCAGCTAAATCAACTAAATTTAATTTTCCTGATTTTATGTGTTATTATTAATCTGCTCCAAATTCACTTGATTCAATAGTAAGTGTGAATATTGAGTGAGATCTAGATGATTCTTAATTCATTTTAGTTTCTCCAACCTTTCTATTAGCTCTACCAGCTTTTAACCATTCATTTAATTCAGCTACAGATTTTACAACTATTTTAGAGAGATCCTTTACAAAAACACCTTATTCAGGTTTTTCCCTTAATTCTAGTTTAGTGAGATGATTTGGACTTAATAAATCTCTAATTTCTTCATTATACAATTCTAAATAAGAACATCTAACTAAAAATTGTATATTTGGTGTTCCTTCAATAACTTTGATGATATGATCGAATGTTCTTGGAGTGATACCTCTTTCATGAGGAGGATCATTCTTACCTTCCATTGTATGAGTTTTTCCTGTACCAGTTTAACCATAAGCAAAAACTGTACCATTATAACTATAATATATTCTAAATTTACCCATCCATGACACTTTCTACAATAGGCAAAGCTGTATTATGATATACTTGCTCTTATTGTGAATTCATATCAAAAACTTCATCAAAAACGAATGTTCTTTGTGCTTCATTTCCATCACCTTTTATATTTTAAATAATGATTTCTTTTCTTGTTGTATCAACTTCTACTATTCTCTTTCTACCTTCTTCTATCTTAAAATAAATGATTTATCATACTTCTTTACTTGACAATGGTCTAGCTCTTACAACCACCTTCACACATTCTTTTCTTTTCATAATATATATATATATATATTAAATAATTATTTATAGGATTCAAATATAAATAATATTAAATAGCTTCCTAAAAATTCATTAATAAATATATTTTATTAGACTTAATGTGATATTTAAAAAATTGTCAACTTTATGTTTCACTAATAAAATAATTTAAAAAAAGGTGAAAATATTTTAAAAGTATTTAATTTGATAAATTTTTTTATCATATTATATATACATTTATTGGACGATTTCTAAAATCTTAATGCATTTAATAAATTTTAAACAAATGTATTATGATTATATGTTTAAAATTGCTTTATTGTAAAATAGAAACTACTCAGAATTCAAATTGATTTTGCTTTTTTGCAGATCCAATAGCATTTTATCTGATTGATAAATACAATTCCAAAGCATTATTCAAGACAGACATGTTTAATTCATTAAAAACCATTAAAATTTATGATTTTGAGATTATTATTGTCTATTGATTATGGTAGGTAAAAGTTTGAAGAACAACTGCTTAAAATTCATGTGTAGCGTTTTTATTGGCTAATTCTAAAAGAATTTGGATTTTTTTTTATTGAAATTTTAATTAAAACAAAAGTATTGAATCTCAATTTAAATAAGAAAATACATTAGCTTAAAACAAATGACAGATAAAAAGGTATATATATAAATTAATAATTTGTTTAGGAAGCTCCACCAAAAAGACCCTAATGTGCCTTCTTTATTTACAAATAGGAGGTGTACTAATAAGTCAAGGATGCTCATCCCGGCAAGAAAATGACCGATATCACAAAAATCATTTCTGAATAGTACAAACAACTTCCAAAAGATAAAATTGATTAATACGAATAAAAATACAAAGACAATAAGGCTATATTTGAAAAAGAAAAGAAGTTCTCATTTCTTAATATATTTTAATAGAACCTATGAGGATAAATACGGAAAAATTAAGAATGAAAGAAAGAAGAAGAAGGAAGATGGCAAGGGATCCAAAAAAGCTCAAAAGAAATAAAAGAAATAGGAATCAGATGAAGATGAAAGTGGATCAGACGATGATTGAGAATTCATATTTAATATAAATAATTATTTTTTATTATTTATGGGAGGTCTAAATTTATATCTAGAAAGAAACATACAAAAGTAGCATTTACAGATTAAGAACTTGAAATCCTTGAAGTATATTTTTGAATTATTGAAATGTCATGATTCTATGTGAGTAAAAATCCTAATCACATAGAAAAGGATTACTGACATAGAAATCAATGCTTACAGAATTCCCTGAGAATCCAGACTTTTCTGTTAAATTATATAATTGAATGAGAGAAAGATGAAAGAATTAATAAATCGATTATACTAATTTTGTCATCACATATAACATTATAATTTATATGTTAAGTGGAATTCTTATTAAAAGAATAATAAGAATATTATCTAAGCGATTACAAGTTTAGAATACTTGAAAAATTTGAGTTATTTACTTTAATTAGTTAAGGGTGTTTTGATAATAAAAAGAATCAATAAATAGGTATTAAACTATTATATATTCTAGATTTTAAGTAAGTTACTTATAAGGAAGTCTTGTATTCAAGAATTATTGAATATGTATTATTATAATCAAGACATAAAAAACAGCTAAAGAAATATTTAGCAGCAAGAAGTGTTGCTATTTCTATATTTTAATAAAAGTCAGCTATTCCATTCAACTAATTTATAGGTTTAGTAAAATAGTAATTGATTTATGCAAATAAAATGTGTAAGAAATATTTTACTAAGAAATTCAATAATCCTTATTTAAATTTTGCAATTCCGAAATTAACTTCATCTAGTTTTATATTAAATGATTAAGTACTTGCTTTATTGAAAAAGAGTTTTTCTGATTTTAATGGGACAGTTAAATAGATTTAAAATTCCCATCCTCAATTACTGAAATCATTATAGTCTCATAATAACCTTTACTATTTTTGTTTAAGAATAGAGAAGATGAAACATAAAATGATACATTTTAATAATAAATATTTGGAGCATATATTAGTATTGATGAAACTATTTAAACTCATTTTATGAGGAAAAGATAGAAAGATCCTATGTGTAATTATTTTTTTATATAAATAGGAATCTTATACAATCCAAAGATTAAATATCTCTTTATTTTGGAGATGAAAAAAGTTTTCTATTCTCTTTGTTACCAAAATATCAATTATTTATGAGTGCATTTGATATCCAATCTAAACAATGTTTGCTTACATAAATAATAGAGCATTCAATCTTTAATTAGATTAACCTTATGGACTTGGATTTGGGGGAGATGGCAAAGGTAATTTTAGGATTTAGATTGATGAAAAATTAAAGGAAATGCAACAAATAGAATAAATTATTAATGTAATTAAACATATGAAATGGGATATTTATTAGAACCTCATGTAGAATTTCTTAATGTAATTAAATTATTCTATCTATAGTTAACAGCGATTTAAATTTAGAGGAGTTAATTATGAAAAAAAACAAAAGAAACAATGAGTTAAGCTTTTCTTTAATTCTTAAAAGTATTCTAATAACATAGTAATTTAATGAATCCAATTAAATTTAATAGAATATTTTTATCATTCTCTTATTCAAATACTTAATTTTATTTAAGAATCTAATATTTTTTATTTAATATTTTGATCAAAAAAATGTATTAAAGCAATATAGAAGAATATCAAAAATTGCCTCCATAGNGTCAGCTATTCCATTCAACTAATTTATAGGTTTAGTAAAATAGTAATTGATTTATGCAAATAAAATGTGTAAGAAATATTTTACTAAGAAATTCAATAATCCTTATTTAAATTTTGCAATTCCGAAATTAACTTCATCTAGTTTTATATTAAATGATTAAGTACTTGCTTTATTGAAAAAGAGTTTTTCTGATTTTAATGGGACAGTTAAATAGATTTAAAATTCCCATCCTCAATTACTGAAATCATTATAGTCTCATAATAACCTTTACTATTTTTGTTTAAGAATAGAGAAGATGAAACATAAAATGATACATTTTAATAATAAATATTTGGAGCATATATTAGTATTGATGAAACTATTTAAACTCATTTTATGAGGAAAAGATAGAAAGATCCTATGTGTAATTATTTTTTTATATAAATAGGAATCTTATACAATCCAAAGATTAAATATCTCTTTATTTTGGAGATGAAAAAAGTTTTCTATTCTCTTTGTTACCAAAATATCAATTATTTATGAGTGCATTTGATATCCAATCTAAACAATGTTTGCTTACATAAATAATAGAGCATTCAATCTTTAATTAGATTAACCTTATGGACTTGGATTTGGGGGAGATGGCAAAGGTAATTTTAGGATTTAGATTGATGAAAAATTAAAGGAAATGCAACAAATAGAATAAATTATTAATGTAATTAAACATATGAAATGGGATATTTATTAGAACCTCATGTAGAATTTCTTAATGTAATTAAATTATTCTATCTATAGTTAACAGCGATTTAAATTTAGAGGAGTTAATTATGAAAAAAAACAAAAGAAACAATGAGTTAAGCTTTTCTTTAATTCTTAAAAGTATTCTAATAACATAGTAATTTAATGAATCCAATTAAATTTAATAGAATATTTTTATCATTCTCTTATTCAAATACTTAATTTTATTTAAGAATCTAATATTTTTTATTTAATATTTTGATCAAAAAAATGTATTAAAGCAATATAGAAGAATATCAAAAATTGCCTCCATAGATTCATGAACAAATTCATTAAAAATACTTTTTTTAGAGAAGCCCATTGAGTAGTATTGAGAAATTTTTTTATCGATACATGCATCAAGTTTATCAGGAAATCTAGGATTAATAAATAATAGTTAAAGATTTTTTGATCTCTTCCTATAATCCTAATTCTAAAGAAGAAAAAGCAGCATAATAATAAATAAAAGTTTGCTTTCATTTAAACAAAGATATTTGTATTACTTTATTTAGTATTAATAGTTTATTTAATGGGTTCTCTTAAAGAACTTTCATATATGAATGAAAATAATGAAAAAAAGTCACTTTAAGTATGTGATGTATATAATGAATATCTCTCTCCACTTCATTTTGAAATAAGTTTACCTTAAACAATGGAAGCTATCAATTAATAAAAATTAGAATAAAATTTTAATCATTATTATCTTGCTGAAAAATTAATGATAAATAATATAGAAGTACTAAATAAGCATAATGTCCTTTTCAGAGATATATCAGAACAATCCTTTTCAACATATGTATGTTTCATTTATAAATTAAGTTTATGAATTATGATATTATTAAATTAAGTGAGTCTAATAATTTTGCCTTTGAAACATTAATGGAACCTAATTTGATCAGATATTTCTCTGTGAAAAATAATAATAAAAGATATTTTTTTGATAATAATCAAAATACATAATTTGACTTGACTTTTGTTGTTGGAATTTAATCCGATGAATAATAGACTATAAACTAAAATATCTATAAATATTGTTTAATGGATGAAGATGATCCTAATTAATTATAGGAATATAATAATACTAAAGATTTATTGAAAACAATATAAAAATAACTTTAAAAATTAAAAAATGCCATAAGAATTAAAATATTTTCATGTGAATTTGATGTAATTGTTCATCCCAACAATGAAAATAATTATAATTTAAATTAGGATAATAAAATGGATATTTTTAATGATTACCTATAATAAGCTTCATTATATGATTCCATTATTTAAAAATTAAAATATGAGAATGATTAATGGACATTGAATCTGGAAAAAGATAAATTAATATTTTATAAACATGCTAATCATTATCCTGATCATTTTTATTTATGTACTCAATAGACAGCTGTAATAAAATGCAAAAATGCAAATATAAAAATATCTTAAAACCACGTTGCACAAACAGAAATTATATAATAATCATGATTTTTTATTAATTTTTATAATTAATTAATTATTAATCATTATATAAATTATGATTCAATCCCTTTAAATCGCTGAACTATTTTTACCTTAAGATATACGAAAATTTATTTCAAATACAAAGTAAACAAATAAATCAGTGATGGATGCAGAAAACTATTCAATAGATAATCATTAATAATACTCTTAATTATTTAAAGGATAAGAAAATTTAGAAACTATAAAAAGAAAATAAATTTTATTAAATTAGTTATGCTAAAAGCAAATTTAAGATTTCTTATCTAAATATCAATTCACATAATAATTAAATATAACAAAGATATTTTAATAATTTTATTCTGAAAAATATAGATGTTGTTTTATAAACTTGAATGAAATATCAAACAACTTACCTAATTATCTATAGAATACAGAAATTGAATAATTCAATGATTAAAAACTTAATTAAACAATTGATGAACTTTCTTCACTTTTTATTGAATATATTAAGGGATAATTTAATTAAGAATCAATTATCTAAGAATTTATTAAAAACTATTAAGACATTTTTAGAAAAGCCTACGATTCTATAATTCAAGCTTGTACAATAATTAAAGAGAATAAAATTCCTTTATTTTAAATTAAGGTTTTGATAAATAATCTTTTTACTTAAAATTATAAATATTTGCATGATGAATTATAAAACTTCTACAATTTTAAATTATCTTATGCTATTTTATCAAGATATGTATAAAAAACACTTGATCATTAATTATTTTAATTAAAATCTTCTCTTCAAATCTTTATGAAAAATGAAAAGGTTCATTAAGAATTAAAATTAAAATCTAATTAACTTTTCTATGAATATTTTTAGAAGAAAGACTTCCTCTTAATAAAAAATAAAGAATTTGCTACCTAATTGTTTTACTTATTGTTATAAACTGATTTGGAATCAAAAGAAATGTTAAATATTTTAGATTTGTTATCTTAATATACAGAAATTGCAAAAATAAATAGTTCATAAGATGCTTAATACACTATAAAACAAATAAAAAATATCTATTTTAAATAAATTGAATAGGCTAAACTTTTTTGGAAAAATGTTATTACAGAATAATAAAATTTATAATTAATTTTTGATCTATTCATTTTCTTAAATGATAATCTTTTTGTGAATGATTAATTATTGTTTTCATAATATTAACCAGTAAAAAAAAATATTATGATGAAGATAAGTAATTTAATGAAAGAAGGATATTATGGATATTTTAATAGTAATTTAATTAATAGATTTGAAATTATAATAGAAGATATTAGAAATTAAATATTTAATCAACTTGAAAAAAGGAAATAAAATATGGAATTATCTGTAATAATTTAAGGTCATTAATTCTTCATAAAAATTTATGATTAATACAATTACACTTAAGAATTTCTTTAAGAATAATTTTATTAAAGGAATACTTTATTTTATAGGATATAAAATTTTTAAACTAATAGTTAAATAAGGTATATTAAAAATTTACTGAGTGAAATATAGAAAAATTATTTAAATGATATTTGTATTCCAGAAAGAATTGAATTCGAAATACGGTCATCTGAACTGGAGTCATCATCTGTAGTTACTTTATTCATTTCAGGATTTACTGATTTAGAAGTATAGAATACTATTTTAGAAGGATTAAAAGATTAAAATATTATAATTTTAAATTGGAATAATCTTAAAAAAGAAAATAATATAACTGTGAAATTGATGATAGCTGTTCAATAAATTTTATAATTATAATCTCCTTTGAAAACAGTTGTAAACGCATTAAAAGCCTATGCTAATGCTCCATTTTAATAATCATGTTAAGAAGCTAAACTAGTTGGAAAATACTTAGCACATTTATTAATTGAAAAAAAGATCAACAGTAATGTATGAAATGATGAAAGAACTAGACAATAGAACTACAACATAAATTATTAATGAAATACTGATATTAGGAGGAATAGTGGACATAAGGAAACTTAAAAAATGAAGATGGAATTGTGTTGAAGGTAGGATTTACAATGTGTATAGCAAAAATGATATGATACTGAAATTGATATATAATTCATTTAGATGGATTGATTAACCTTGTGGTAAATTGTTAATTATAATTAGGATTGAATGAATTTTAATTAGGATATAGAAGAATTGAGAATTATAATATGAGCAATTTAATTAAAGGACATAAAGATTATGGAATTCACATTAAATAAATATTAATTCAAACAGACTTTTTATAATATTTAAGATTTTTATATGAATGATAAACTATATATTATATTCAATTTTATTGAAGAAATAATTTGAGATTATTAATATATTAATAACTTTTAATATTAAATCAAACTTTGAAGGATTTTAAGTCATCTGCAACTGTTAATTCAAATCCAGTATTAGCTCTGACCCACTCGAGTGTAGTATCACCTGCTATTTCAGTTAATACTAATTGTCCATCTCTTTTAACAAAGACAGCCTTGTCTGTAATGACTTAGCTAACTTTATTCATTCCTGTGGCTGGATATTGTAAGTCTTTAACAAATTTGACTTCTCCTTTGGCAGTGTGTTCCATCACAACAAGTACTTTTGATCCTGATGCAACCAAATCCATAGCTCCTCCCATTCCTTTAACCATTTTTCCAGGAATAACCCAATTAGCAATATCACCTTATTTAGTAATTTGCATAGCTCCCAAAACAGTCATATCCAAGTGTCCTCCTCTGATGATACCAAAGGATTCACTACTTTCAAATGTAGTAGCTCCAGGATTAAGAGTACATGATTCTTTTCCTGCATTTTAGAGATCTCCTAATTCTTATCCTAATTTAGGATAGGGACCAACTCCAATAGCTCCAATTTCTGTATGAAAATGAATAGTCATGCTTTTATCAAGGAAGGCTGGAATGAGAGTAGGAATTCCAATGCCCAAATTGACATACATTCCATCTTTAAATTCTTAAGCTGCTCTTTTAGCAATTCTATTTCTGGTTTGACTCAATTTTCCTTATGGTTTGATATCTAAAGAATATTATGAATATCATACCCTTATGTTTGTCATATACACTTTAATCATAAACAAGTCTTTCAACAGTCTTTAAGTAATTATTTCCTTGATAGAGATAATCCACATAAATTCCATTGACATGAGCTTCATCGAAACCAAAACTGCCTACAGGTACAATAGTGTCAACTTCAGCAATGACTACCTTAGCAGCCTTCACCATATCTTAATTGAAGTTTCTAGCTGTCCCTACGAACTTGAGATTACCATTTGTATCAGCCATGTTAGCTTTAATAATGGCATAGTCTCCCCAGATAGAGTCTTCTCTGATGTATTTCTTTCCATTAAAGTATTCAACCTAATATTGAGAAAATCATATTTACAGGTTTTGGTTTAGATTCTATTTCTACACTATCTCCACCTTTGTGGTATTTGATAGGAATTCCTCCTTTTTCAACAACTGTATCTGTACCAGTATGTGTGTAAAAAGCAGGGATACCAGCACCTGCAGCTCTCAACTTCTCAGCCAAAGTGCCTTATGGTACTAATTCCAATTCTAATGTGCCATCAAAGTATTATCTATTTGTTAACTTATTAAATATTACTTGGCTAGATTATGATTCTCTCCTGCATATGATGCAATCACTCTCTTCAATTATCCATTATTCAAAAGTAATCCTAATCCCAAATCGGTTGTTCCACAATTATTACTTACTACAGTCAAATTTTTAGTTCCAGCCTCTTTCAATGCATTGATGCTGCATTCAGGTATACCGCATAATCCAAATCCACCGACAAGCACAGTGGATCCAGCTGGAATCTGTTTAATGACATTTAAGTCCTTTATGATGTGCACATAATATCTGCCTACATGAGTGAGAGAAGATATTGGTTTTACGTACATGAATTTAAATATTTTATTATAATAATTTGAAGATATTTTCGATAGGATATGAATAATTATTATAATACGTAATATATTTATTGCATAATATCTTTTTATAATATATATAATAATTATTATAAAAATTATAATAATTAATTAATTTTTCATATATATTAACATTATTAATTATAAATAATATTTAATATGGTAATTCATATTATATATAATAACCTGATGTTTTGAAATTAAATCGATTCTGATCATCATAGTCTTTTGGATTAAGTATGAAAATTTAAGTTCGCTTACTTAAAAGCTATTTAGCAGATTAATTAATGAAATTCATAATAATTCATTTGTATTTTTTTCTCCATTCAAATTTAGACCTCTTTTGTATAAATTTCCTTAATAAATCAGTTAATGAATTCTTTTTTTAATATATATAACATCATTACTATTAATTGATAGATATATCATTTAAATTTCATTTCTCAAAATACTACCTCACAATAATTTCTAAATTTTAAGTGTATACTTAATGATAACACTTAGAAGATAAAACTATATATAAAATATAATATTTAATGAGAAGATGGAAAAGTGATAAAAAATATCCAAAAAATAAAAGTTAATTTATATACAAAATTAATAAAAAAAATTGCGCTGTACGAGACTCGAACTCGTGTCACAAGGATGGCAACCTTGCATAATACCCTTATACTAACAGTGCTTAATACTGTTTCCAAGTTATCTGTCTATAAAAATAGGAATAGAGTTTATAGATTGTCAAGATTGATATAGAGAATTTCACAATAAAGTAAAATTAAATATATAAGAGTACTTTATTAAAAAAGTTGAATAGTTAAAATATGCTTTATATTTACTTCATGTATTATAATATTAATAATAATTCCAATAAGGATAAGTAAATCAATTTATAAAATAAGATAAGTTGATATACTAAAAAATGGAAAGATATCTCTTTACAAAATAGTTAGAATTTAAATTGAATAAAAATAAATCATTATAAAAATTGAGCAATTCAATTGATAGCATAATTGATCAATCTTTTAATGAATCTATCTATAATGAAAATTTATGGAGTAAGTATATAGAAACTTATGATGGGTTGGTTATTGTTTGATAAAATAATTTAAAATTGAATTTGTTTTAGCATCATAAATATTAAAAAATTGATATATTAATATGACAGAGAATACTACAGTAACAAATGTTAATTGGGCAGATTTCTCAGATGATGAAGATTAAGTTTAACCTATTGTTGAGAAAACTTCAGAATAAGAAATTAAGCCAACTGTTCAATCATTGGAATAAAATAAGGAGTTCAAGAAATAAACAAAAAAGCCATATCACAAAATAATAAACCAGAATGGGTTAAGTTAAAAGAGTTATAAAAGAAATAAGCAGAAAAATATAAAAAGAGTAATAAGCAGCATTAGAGGCAAGAAGAATTAAACCAAGTGTAATGATGCATTTAAATTCTGAGAAAAAAAATTTTTAAGGTCTAATGTATAATAGTGATGATGAAAATGAATAATAAGAACAATAGATAATATAAGAGGAAACTACAACCTAATAAACATTAGAATAATAAGCTGAGTAAAAAAAAGAATAAGTAGAATAATATGAAAGTATTTTATTGTTGTTAATACAAAGTATTTAAATAAAAACAGTAATAGGTAGATAAATAGTAATAACCAAAAAAGTAATAATAAAAAAAGAAAGAGACAGAAGATATAGATGCAATTTTAAATGAATTAGGTTTTACTTAAAAAGAAGATGTTAAAGTAGAAGGAGTTTAAGATAAAAAAAAGAAAAAAGAAAAATTAAAATAAAGATTTAATACATACAGAAAAATAATCAGAATAACCTTAATAGTAATAATAATTAGTCTTATAATAAACTGATTAAAAAAATAACCATGATAAGGTTGACATAAAAAAGGTTTTAGCAGAAAAGGCAAAAAAAAATTAAATTGGCACTTATTAAGTTGATAAAGTATAATCAAAGAAATATTATAGGATTTAGAGAGAGTAAAACAAGAAATTGAAAAGAGAAACTAAAAATCGAAAAAAAAACAAGAAATAAGATTTAGATCTTTGATGGGGTTATATACATATATATACATTAAAACATATTTATATTTTATTGTTTAATTAACGAATAATTGTAATGCATTTAGAGAAACATGCTAAAGCTCTTATAGATTACTAATATAGTTCAGATGATGATGATATTGTAGATTATAAAAAGAAAGCTATAAAATATAGAAATGATTTTAATGAAATAGATGAATAAGTTCGAAGATTGAAAAAAGAAAACTCACATAATGTAATTTATATTATGAAATATAGAAATAAACAATAACTGAATTATTAGCAGATTTAGAAGTACATTAAAAAAGAATTATTTTGTTAGAGTAGGAACTATTTAATTAAAAGAAATTAGCATAAGATTCACAAGATCAATTAAAGAGAGCAAAATTGTAGAAATAAGAGGATAGAATTTTAAGGGAATAGAAAAAATTTCAAGAGAAATTTGCTTTGTAAACAAATGATGCTCTTGAAAAATTAAGATAACATTTTGATTAAACCTTATAACAACTTACACCTAAACCTGAAAACAGATGAATGTAGTTCTATTTAAATATATTATATCATGATAATTCAAAATGATTTTTTCTTAAATTATTAGCTTATTATTAATTTAATACACTAGGTTTTCCATCTAAAGGTCTATGTATATCATGTGTTTATGATATTAAATCTACATTATTTTGTCCTAATGTAAAATGATGTGATCTATCTCAATCAAATAAATACTTTAGATTATTACTAGTATGAGAATCTAATTAATTAGGATATCCTTATTATTAATTAAGAGATTCCATTTATTTTGTTGTCATAAACGTATTTCTACCATTATAATCATTAAATCCAAAATGAGATGATCTTAAATCCTTCAAAACCTTTTCAGATAATTGAGCAGCCTTTCCAGAAGGATTTTTGAAACTTAAACATATCATGAAAATAAATAAATATACTTAGATTGTGTCTCCGATTAATATAGTATATTCTCAGTACCAACTTTGAAATTAGATCCTCTGTCCATCTATGAATCACGAGGTTAAGAATTTGACAATTTTTGAGGAGGTTTCATTGTACTTGTGTAATAAGTTTAAGTTTTCTGATTCATAAATCTTGGATCTCCTATTGTAAAATGACTTCCTTGAAGTGCTGATGTATTATTTTCAAAGTTGACTTTATTTTCTGAATAAGGTCTATAATGAGACATAGTTTCTGATGAATAAGGTTGATTATCTTTACCTAAAATGAAATGAGTTGCTAATATGAAATTCATTTTGGGTTACCTCTCAAATTATATCTATTCTCTTCAGAAAAAGGATTTGATTATATTTCTTATCTCTAAAAATATTCTTAATTTATTGTTTGATAATCAGGATTAACTGTTCCTAAATTAAAATGTGTTGATTAAAATCCTGGTTTAAAAGAAGCAGAAGGTCCTCCTTCTTTTTTATTATAATATTCTTGTTAGGCAGTAATCATAGGAAGTTTCTAATTGGTTTAAATAGAGTTAATACTTCTTTTCCAAGAAATATATTTGAAACTCTTAATTATCTTGCTTTTTCAACTAAATCTTATTTTAGTTCTAATTATTGAGGTTAATATTGTTCAAAGTAATTAGTTTACATCATTTTATGAGAGGTTTCTGCAAAATTGTGATGATGAGATATCATCTTATTCTTTTGAACTCATAATATTAAAATAAGTGTACTTTCTTATTCATTTTATAAACCTGGCTATAATGGTTTTTCATTATAAGTTGCTCTATTTACAGAGACTTTACGAACTTCTTAATGACCAAGTACAAAATGGTTAGTTCTTAAATCATTTTTCTATTCTTAATTTAAAGTAGCAGGTTCTCCAGTTTACTTTCCCTAAAAATCAGTTTTAAAAATGGTATTATATGATGCTTTAATCTTATTTTACATTATAATTACGTTTAGATTCTCCCAAATGAAAATGAACTCCTTTCAAATTTAATTTATCACCAACTCCATTTATTTGATTATTTGCTTAATCTCCTTAAAAATTCATTTTCATAATTGATGTAAATTGATTCTCTAAGGGAATTCTAAAATCATTTACTTTAATCTGTCTATCCTAATTGAAAATGAGTACTCCTTAACTGTTGCATTTATATAAATTATAATATTCATTTATTTTTGGAATCCTTTATTCATTGACTATAATTTGAGATTGTTTAATAATTTAAGTAAATAAAACAAGAATTCTATTAATTTAAATGGAGTTATATTTATAATATATATATATATATATTTGAAAAGTAATTCTAGTTATATAAGTTCTTAATTGTGTTAATCAAATAAATTAATACTCATTATTTTATTGGATCATTCATACTATGTTAAGGTTATGCTTTAAAACGATATCTTCCATTAGGCATTAATTTTCCTGATATCAAATGATTTTCTAAGAATTCTCGAGCTTCTTCTCCAAAAAATATATGATTTTATATTTTGATTTAATCAGTCTCATTTGCATTTTCTTTTATTTTATTTCGACATTCAATTCTTACTCTATGAAACATTTCTGGATCTCCATTAAAAGTTTTCATCATAGTTTTAAGCATCCTTCTATAAAAAAGCAAAGTCCCTTTATAAATATTACTCATTAAATTAATTAATAAAGAATTATGTAAAAAAAGAAAAACAAGTAAAAATATGAAAAACATTAGTAAATGATGAAGGATAAATAATAATAAAGATAAACAAAAAAGTAATTAAAAAGATAGAGAGGATAAGCTCGTTCACTTAAAGGTATGATAAATATAACATTATCATTATAGGATATGCTAAACATTTTTAAGAGTTTTAAGATGAAATGAATTAATTAGGACTATAAATTAGAGATGTTGAAGGAGATGGAAATTGTCTTTTTAGATCAATAGCAGATGTATTACATGGAGATGAAAAATATCATAAATAATTAAGAAGATTAGCAGTTTAAACAATGTAAGAGAATTAAGAATTCTTTGCACTTTTTATTGAAGATGATATGACATTTGATTAATATTTGAAAGAGATGTCATCTGATGGTGAATGGGGTGGTAATTTGGAATTGTAAGCTTTGTCTTAAGCTTTGGATGTGAATTTTTTTATTCACATGAAAGGGAGACCATGTATGATTATCAAATCAATGACTGATGAAAGACCTTTAAATGAAGTAAAGTGTTGATTAATAGCAATATTAGAAAGATTCACTTCATTTAGCTTATCATTTAATAGAAAATGTTGCTGAACATTATAGTTCTGTAAGAATGTTAGGAGATGATAGTAATAAAAGAGCAGAACCAATCCCATTAGATATTTTTGAAGGATTATTGGATACATTTTAATAAGCTCCTTTAGGAAATGAAGATAACTATGAATAATATGATGATTTAGAGTAATTTGAAGATCCTGAAGAAAGAGAATATTTTTAGACCTTAAAAGAATAAGAAGAAGCTGAAAAGGCTGCAAAAGAGGCTTTGAGAAAAGCAGAACTTCAAAATTATTAATTAAAATAAAAAAAAAATAAGAAATGTAATTGTGGATCAAATAAAACATATAAAGACTGTTGTATGAATATTGATATAGAGAAAGCAGAGAAATAGAAATAACCAAAACAGCAATAATAATAGCAATAATAATAATAATAATAATAATAATCTTAGTCAGAAGCACCTATGAAAAAATAAGCTGTGTTTATATGATATTTTTTGGCTATTCATACTATTCATGAATTATTATAAAAAAAATATAGCTGTAAAAAATGATGAACATATATCTCTACCTCGAATTTATAATTACAGATCATTAAGTTTAAATAAAGAGATTACAAGCTCTTCTGAAGTTAACAATAAAAGGTACTTTTCTTTCATTAATTCAAATCAAATATCATCAGATAGATATTAATAGAAACCTTAACATATGAGAAATATACAAAGAAAAAACTAGATGTTAAAAATACAATTAAAAAGGGTATCTAAATTATATAAAGTAGGTTTCACCACCTCGTTTGTAGTATGAAACTTTAGAAGAGATATATTTTATTAGATACAAAAAAATAACATGATCTTTATTAATTTTTTGATATTTTATTCACTTCTTCTTTTTACTTTTCTTCTTCTTCTTTGGTTTTCTCTTCTTTGTTAATGATTTTAATTTATCAGTAAGTGGTTTGGATATTTAATCTGAAATTTCAATAAAGAAAATGGATTTATTTTTTTCTATTAAAGGAATTATTTTAGTGGCATCTAAATGTAATTTATATTTATGTATATATACCCTCATCACTAAGTAAATTAAATTTAAGATCATAATATCCAAGTGTTTTATTTAATTCGAAAGTAGAAAGTATTTTATTTATTAAGGTTTAATCACTTGGATCAGAATGAAATTGATTATCTGCTAACTTAATTCTTTCTAGGGTATTATTAATTTCTAATGCTCTAAATAATTCATATGCTCCTTCATTTTTTAAACGATTTCCACTTAATTTTAATTTATACAACTTGCTATTAACATTAGCTAATATATCCTATAGGTATCTTGCCCCATCAGCTTCTATGCCACAATAATTCAATGCCAAACTTTCTAAAGTGTTATTCATAGCTAATCCTTTAGTCAACTCAGCCAAACCTTCTGAACCTATTTAATTGTGATCCAATTTCAGTTTTACTAATTTACTTTCACATTTTGGATGTAGAATATCTGATAAGAATTTGCATCCTACTATATAAATGCTTATTACCTAAAACACCAATTTAATTATCCAAAAGATCTAATACTTCAAGCAATCGTACTTTATCTATATATAAGCATATTGTTCTGACACCTTCATCTTAACATTTAACTCTCCATAATCTTAATTATTTTAAATGTTTATAGCCAATTTCAGTAAATGATTCCATCATTGCTCTAACACCAACAGGTCCCATTTCTTCCCACAGTTTTACATTTTATAAATGTTCTCCTTCTGAACATACAGCTTCTAATCTTTCCTTAAATATTTTGCAGAGAGGAACTCCATTAATTTCACATCGTTTCCGATATAATTTATTTAATTATTCTGTTGAGAAATCCTCTACTTGATCTCCCTTTTTCTTTTTATCTCCCATTTAATATAAATATTAATACTAAATTTTCTATTATAATTTTCTGGATTCTTTTAAGATTTCAATTTGAGAGTATTTCAATTTTAAATTTAAAGAATTTTTACATTTATTAGAGCATATATATATTTAATGACTTTTGATAAAATAAGATTACATAAGGGATATATTAATAATATTAATTCAATAAAAGAATTTATATGAATTATAAATTAATACTTATTAGAGAATACTTAGTTTTATGATAATAGAATGATATTGGCAATATATATATACATTTAATTTATTAATAAATAAGATTTTTGTAAATAAAAAATAAATTGAATTTATTCTTAATCTACATGATCTATCGTATAAGTGATATAGATATAATTCAAATTAATTTAATTTTAATGGGTTCTAAAAATATACAAAATTATTTTTGTATAATGATTATAAGCATTTAGTTTAAGAATAAATTAGGTTTTAAAAGGATTTATGATATTTAAGAATTTATTTTATTAATAATATTATTTAATTTAATAAAGAAAATCATATAAAATGATTTGAATTTTAGTTATTAATTTTTTTTAAAGAATTCTATAGTATTAAAAATTTTATTGAATGAAGGAATAAATTTGTATAGAATGAAATTTATGCAATTCATGATGTTTAATTGAATAATTGTTAAATAAATAATGGAAATTAAGTATAAATGGATATATTCTCTAATTCTTAGCACTAATGTCCTTATAAATTTAGATCATGGAATCATTCCTGCAGGTATATAGATGATATAATTTAAATAGCAACTAAATAGATTGAGACATCATTAGATTTAAGTGCTGAGGAATTGGGATACTTAGGGTCACTAGTTTATGCTGGTATTTCATTGGTAGGATTATTTGGTGGGAAGCTATTTCTACATTTTAATGCAAAGTTAATAGTTTCAATTAGTTATTTTGGAATGTTGGGTTCTTTGTTAATGTTTCCTCAACATTATAAAAGCAGTTGGTTGTTTTATTTAAGTAGATTTTTAACTGGTTGTGCATAAGTAAGAATAGGAGATATATTGATTAGGCACCTATGATGATTTATTTTCCAGTATGGGTAGACAACTTTGGAGGAGAATCTAAGACAATTTGGTTAACAATATTATAAGGAGTGATTCCTTTGGGTATATTTGTTGGATACGTATTATCAAGTGTAATTTCAAGTATATGGAATTGGCAATTAGCATTTTATGCTTAAGTTGCATTGTTGATTCCATGTGCAATTAGTTTTATTTTTTTTGTAAGAACAAAAGATTTCGAAATAAAGAGAGCTAGAAGGAGTAAATTAGATAAAAAGTCAGTAAACCCTGATGATTTAGGATCTTCAATGTTAAGTGTAGGGTCTCATAAATCATATTGGCATATGATGGGAGAATTATATTCTATAAAATTATGGTTATGCTGTACAATAGTGATCAGCATATTATATTTTATAGTTACAGGTATATAATTTTGGATGACTGATTATATGATAACAGAGATGCATCAAAATTAGAAAACAGTTAATATAGTTTTTGCAGTAGTTTCAATTACAGCACCTGTTTTTGGTTGTATTACAGGAGGATTAATAGCTTAAAAATTAGGAGGTTATGAAAGAACTAAATCACTTTATATATGTGTAATATACTGTTTTATTTGTTGTTTGAGTGCTGTTCCAGTTCCATTTACAGATGTATTTTGGTTTGGTGCATTATGTGTTTGGTTTTTATTATTTTTTGGTGGAGCAATAGTTCCACCATTAATTGGAATTATGCTTTCATCAGTTCCTAAACATTTGAAAGCATTTGCAAATTCAAATACTACAATGTTTTAAAATTTATTTGGATTTTTACCTGCACCTTCTATTTATGGATTTCTCATGGAAAGATATAGTGCAAAAGTAGCTGTTTTTGCATTGATGTATTATTCTTTTGCTGGATTATTATTTATGTTGATTGCAGTTTACTTTAAGAAATAAGAAATAAATAATAGAAAGAACAATCCTAATGCAATTATAAATAGAACAGAATCAGTTCTTGAAGATTAAGAAAATTTCAATATTACAGATAGAGTACTTTAATATGGTGATATGCCATTGAGTGTTTCATTGGCTCAACATATTGATGATTAAATACCAAATTATGAATATGAAGGCAATAAAGAATAAGAATGAGAATTGTCATTTTGAATACCTTATCTCATATATATTTCATTAATATATTTTATACAATTTATTTTAATGTCTGCAGATAGTCCACAAGTTTTCATTGTTGGTAAAATAGCTGGGGCCACAAATTTTAATAATTCTTCTATTTATGTCAAGTATTTCTTCAGAGTAGGAGATCATTGGAAAAAGATTTCAGGATAAGAAGAAGGGGAAACATTTTAATCTTCATCTTAACATTCAAAATTTGTACCACTTGAACATCCTATTGATCTTAATTATGTGACTAAAGCTGTTAGAGGATGGCCAAAATTACTAGTGGAAGTCTGGGAAGTTGATGATCATGGAAGAAATTCACTTGGAGGTTATGGTCTCAGTTCTCTTCCCATAGAACCTGGAGAATATTAATTTGATATTCGTAATTAATTTATATATCTTTAGCATGTTGGAGACCAGAAGCTAGTTTCTTTGATAAACTTATTGGAGCTTATCCTGAATTAGTTCATAGAGATCTATTATTTTCAGGAGAAAGTAGATTTGGTTTTAAAGTTGAATCAACTGGAAATATCCATATTGAATTGGCTATAATAACAAAAGATTTTCATTTACATGGAGTCTAAATTTCTAATAGAAATTATTTGAATTAATGATTTATATATATATTCAACCTTTTTCACTCTAATACCTTATTCAAATTATAATAAGCAATTTTTAGATTTCTTTCTTATCCTAAAATTGCCTAAAACACTTGATCATCCTTTAATTTTTACTCATCACCTTCTTTCTTTCTTGTTTCCAAATAATCAATAGATTATTGTAAATCTTTTTAATATTGTTTTAATAAAGGTTTCCATTTTTATTCAAATATATTATGTAGATCTACTTTTTTCAAATTCTATTTAATTTATAAAAATCTTTACCAACTATTATATTAATAGTGTTGCTGAATCATATAATAACACTTTAGCATCAATATTTCCTGTCTCTTTCTTAAATATTGCTTATATCAATATATCATAATTTTTTATTAAAATTTTATTGTCTAATTGTGAATAAGAACTCTTTATATTATTTACTAAATATGATAACAAAACATAATTTTGAGATTTATTTATACATTATTCTAGTATTCTTGTCCAAACTTCAGGAATGAATGAAGATTATGCTTATTTCCATGCTGAAATATAAGGCTATTCATCAACTAATCCAGATCCTGCTTTTTCCATTATTAACATTATTATTATATCAAAGGGAGTAATAAAATGATTAGCTGTTTTCAATTTTATTGAAACATCTCGTAAATTTAAATACTTCACTATTAATTCTATTAATTTGCTCTAAATATCACATTTCAAAACTGTTAATTTTTTTTATTCATATAAAACTCCAATTAAGATTTTCAATTTATAATCAACTGTTAATATTGATTCCAAACTATTAGATGTTAATAATTCTTTTGTTAAATAACAAATAAATGCAGGAGTGTATGTTTATTCATTTGAATAATGTTAATATTATTATGGTAATTCTTGATCAAATTAAATGCTAAATCTTATCCAATTTATATAATTTTCTATTATCTCCAATTTATTATCATGAATATCATAAATCATTTAATTTGTTTATGTTAGTAAAGTCTAAATAACATCTGGATCTAATTAAGAATCTTTCATTGATTACTCAATCTCTAAAATTCCTTAAAGTAGATCTGATAAGAATAATAAAATATAATGTTTCACAATTAATTTAGGATCTTCAGGTTTTCTACTTAATTAATTATCAAAATAATCGTATTTGGTATCAATACTATATAATTCACGTATAGCTATAGATTAAGTCTTAATTTCAGGAAATTTCTTTATTGAATCAAATATTCTTTTGAAAAATTAAACAGTCCAATTTTGAAAATTGTTCATATACAATTTAGTGAACTTATTATCTTCATTCAAATCATTTTGAATTTGTTATTATTTATATTTCAAATATTTTTGTAATCCTTCATTTATAACAATTAATATAACAGGAAATATAACTGCTAAATGAATTTCCCTTTTCTCTATTTTTGGAAGTATTTATACAAATATTTCTAAAAGAACAAATTTCTTTTCAATTGTTTTTTATTATCTTAATATACTAATAAATATATCAATAGTAATTTTTACTCATTTAAAAAGAGAATAAGAACTTTATGATTTTCAGAATGATATACACGTTTAATGATATATAAACCTAATAGATTTGCATCTGTATTATCCTTTTAAAATAGTATCTTATCCCAACTTAATTAATATAATAGTTAATAAACTCCTCTATTTGATAAATAAAGTGCAAATTTAATGAATAATTCAACATTAGAATTGAAACATAAATCATCAATTTTATCTATTTATTAATTTACTTAAAGAATTTATTCAGAAGTTAATGTGCTTTTCTTTTATATTTTTGTAGTTAAAGTTTATAACTATTCTACAAATTATTCTTCTGTAATTTCCTTTTTATTGAATTATTCAAAAAACTCCATTAATTTATTATAATTAAATCAAATTTATCAAATAGCTGGATTACGATGCAAATATGGCAAAGTATTAGGATCTCGAGGCATTTTTTCATTTTTAATAACTGAAATAACAGGTCCTGGTATAGATTACTCTTGTAAAGTTTTCTTAGCTTCTCTTTCCAATATTTTTCGAATAGATGAATTAGAATGTACATTAGATATATTCTATTAATAATAAATTTATTTTACTTTATATTGATTAAGGATCTCATCAGCAACATGTTTTGCAATTCGATCCTCTAATGATGCCTTTTGTTCTCCATTTGTAGTTGTCTTCTCCCAATCTTATTTACCTTATTCAATTAATTCTTATCTTTTTCTTAATTAATTTATTGAATCTAATCAATTGAATTTTTACTTTAAGTTTTTTCAGAGTGTACAGATCTAGCGTCATCATTTTTTCCTAGAGACTGACTAATTTTATCATAAATATCAAGTTCTCTTTATTCTTATTTCTTTTCCCCTTATTCTAATTTCTCTTTCCAATTTCCTTCTTTCTTTATATCAGAGACTCTTTATTATAATGCTTTTAACATCACATTTACCTTTTTTATTCAAATAAATACTATACTTCTAAATCATTAATATAAGAATCATAATCTAAATTCTCAACAAAATTTAGTAACTCATCTTCCTCTTATTTAATATGTTCTTCCTCTTCCTTTTAATATTATGAAATGAATAACTTCTTTTGTCATAGCCCAGACTGGTTTGGTTTTGTATCTCTTCTTCTGATCTCCTTACTTTATATCCAATTTATTATCAGTTTTGACTTCTTATTGTTTAATGGTATCTCTCTCTTCTAATTTCTTTAGGTTTTCGGCAGTCAATTACACTCTTGAAATTAAGATAACAGCCTCACGTTTTGCTTTTAGGACCATCATCTTGTAACTCTTTCTTGATGATATCGTTTATTTATTTGTATTCTTCCTTCATTTTCTTTGTAATCTCTCTATCTTTCTTGGCTAATTCTCTAACTCTTTCAAATTTTTCATCTTCACGAACTTATTATTCCTCTTTCGCATGTTTTTTAAGTTAATTTTGTAATTTGAATTCTTCCAACCATTTCTTATGTCTTTCTAAAACCGGATTCATGGGAGCTGGTAATACTTTTGTTTCTTCATATTTTTTTGTTAACCCCCATTAATCATAAGGTTAAACTCTAGAACAGAAAGGTCTGATTGGTTATTTTATAGTAATACTTTTCTTTGATTATCATCACATTTTCATTTGGTCTATTGCATAGCATCACTCCCTTGAAGTTATTTATTGGAACGTCCATTATATAATGTAATTATTATAAATTAATCAAATTTAACTCCTTTCTTTATTGAAAGTAATTAAATTCTTTGATATCCTTTCAACTAAGTCTAAATTATATAACCTTTAAATTATTGTAAATATTCTAAGTTAATTCTTGCATAACTTATATACAATAATATTAATATTTATACATACTAAACAAAGACATTTATCATTTTGAAATGTACTATTATTATTTTTTACTTCATATGATTTAATGTATATACAGTAATATATTAAGAAAGAATAAAATCAAGATTAAAGTTATTATGTACTTATATATCAAAATTTTATATATATGTATATAAATTCATCTAAATACAATCTAAAAGGCGTTCTATACTATTTCATAAAATTTTTAAGCATCTTAATCAATTGTGTCTAATCTAAACCCAATATTAGCTTAATTTCCAAATGGATGTTTGTCAATCATTTATTTCTTTTTTAGTATAAATTGTAAGATGGCTGTAACTTTGTCATTTAAGTAAATAGGTGCTATAAAAACAGGTAATATTGATGATATATCTGTATTTTCATCAAAATGATCTTATCTTGTAATTTAAGTAAAGATTTGAGGCTTACCTTTTAAATAAATTTAATAAGCACATCCCGCCTGTAATTGATAACTTCTACCTGATATCCAAAATTGATTATTCTCTATAAATAAAAGTTTAGTTTATGCTATTTGAAATATTTACATAGCAGATTCTTATAATGCTGAACAAAAGTGTTCTTTATCTCTACATTATATCAATCTATTGAAACATCTATAAAATAGATCTCTGTAATTTAACTCTTTAATTAAAGCTTCAAAATCCAAAATACTCTAAACTACTGACTTACTTAACATATTTATTAATAACCCATAATATTGTGAATCTAAAAATAAATTCTCTTAAATATTTTGAATCTAAAAATATTATTGTAGTATACTTCCAATATTCCACATGGTTTTGAACTATTACCCATTATAGGTAGTAAGAGAAAATTTTTTCCAAAAACTTCATTGTTTTCTGTTATATAAAGCAATTCCTATTTTTTTGATGGGCTTCTTATACCATAATCTTCAAATACTAATTAACTAAAAATTCCATCAGTTAGTAAAGCAACATGTTAAACTCCATTACAATCATAAGTTTAAGCTCTACATGTCATTCCATCTATAATCCATAAATGAACAATTTCAGTTCCAAAAATAGGTCGAAATGCTTTGCTTACATGAATTTGAAAATCTTGTATACTCTTATAACTGATCATTGTAATAAATTCATTCATAATTTAATTTATTTTTTCAGAGAAATCTCTTGCACTTATAAATTAAGCTATTTAATTAAATAAAAGAGATACATACATGCAACTAAATTAATGAGATCCTTTTTTTGTTAAATAGAATCAAGTGTTACTACTTAGTTTGTAAAAACTTCTGGTCCATGTTCTATTAAATCTAATAAGAAATCACAATCATCATTATCAAGATCATTCAATCTAAATTCTAGATTACTTGGTAATGAATTTGGATTGAAAGCATAATTTGATATCTATTAATTTTCAGTTATAATATCTTTAACACCAACTTTCTTAGTTTTTAATGAATCTAATTTTTTTGTTAATCTATTATTTTATTATAGTAATTTAGAATTTAAATCTTTAAGTCTTTCATTTTCTTTTTCTTTTTTAACTAAGTCCCTTTTGAGTTATTCATTATCTCTAATCAATTCTGATAATGTGTTCCTAAGTTCTTCAGAATGAGACTAATATTTTAATATTATATTGATATTACATATAGATTTTTCTCCAACATCATTTCTATTCTTTTTTCTAAGAATTTGATTTTCTTATATTATTCTTCAACCAATTTTTTTTATTACAATAAATCTCTACATAATTTATGTTAATCTTATTAAGAGAGAGTTAATTGTTTTAGATATCCTTCATTATCCATTTTATAATGATTCTAAATTTATTTACATATTAATTTACTTATTAGTCTTTTAATTTTTGTATTGTCTATTTTTACATAACACTTTCCATGGTCACATGATCAAGTTGTTTATTCTTTTAATTTAATTCAATCTCAGTTTTGGAAATACTCTTTAAAGTTTTTGCAATCTCTTGTAAACTACTTAAAATTCTAGTTTATTCAATAGAAGTGCTGGACTTCAATGATTCTGCTAATTATTCAATATAATAGAGTCTATTCTCAAGAGCCTTTTTGATAAGTGAATATAGTTAACATTATCATTACTAGATTGTGATTCCATTTTTCGAGATTGATTAAAAACTGTAGTTGTTCTTTCATCAGGCAATGTTTTAAGTGGCTGATCAGAAAACAATCTTGGACTCTAAACTTGTTTCATTCGAAAGGCACGATTTGTATTGCTCATTTAATTAAAAATGTTTATATTTATTTTTCTTCAAGTAGTCATTTCCCAAATACCTTAAGGATTTGTTCGTTTGAGAGATATTGATAATACAATTTTGCAAGATATGCGATATGCATAATATCATAATTTTGTAGGGAGACCAATACGAGGTTACTTACTTGAAGAGTGTGTATTAACTATTGAAGCTGCTTAATAATTATCATTGAATCAACGAATTGCTATGTCTATGGGTTATAGGATAAAGGTTTGGGATTGTTATCGTCCTTAAAAAGCAGTTGATGATTTCTATTAATGGAGTCTAAATGATGACACTACAATGTAGTAAGAATTTTATCCTGGAGAATAAAAGGATCTTCTATTTGATCATGGATATATTGCCAAGAAATCTGGACATAGTAGAGGATCAACTGTTGATTTGACTTTAGTCCCATATTATCCTGAAGAACAAGAAGAATATAAACCAGGTGATTAATTAATTCCATGTTTCTAAGATAATAGGTAATATTAAATAAAACAATTATTAGATTTAAAGATAATACCATTGATATGGGAACTGGATTTGATTGCTTTGATGTGAAAGCCCATACCTATTGTGGTGATTTAACTATTAAATAGAGAAATAATAGAGACACTCTTTTATAAGTAATGGTGAATTTTTCAAATTATATTGATGAATGGTGGCACTTCACTTTAATAAACGAACCCTATAAAAATACATATTTTGATTTCGACATTAAAGATTGACGATTATTTGTTTAAATATTTTTCAATTCTCTTTCTTATGATCCAACTTATTTTCTCTATTATCGTAAATATTTTTATAACGACCCGATGAGAAAATGCCCAATCCTACTTTAATCATAAATATTGTCCAATAAATATGCATACCAAACAGTAATACCATCAGTCCAATTTAATTATAATAGGCATTTTTTGTTTGTTCCCTAAAATACTTTCAAAATTTTACCAATATGGCAAAAATTATGGATGATTGACTAAACAATCATTTATCTTAATTGGAAACACATATATTCTTGTATACAACCAAGATATTTATATTGATGAAAATCCAATATAAACTAAAATCTTACTTTTACCAAGATCTCCATAAGTTCTTCCTAAGGCCAAGAATATATCACTAATATCATGGAGTAATAAAACAACAATTCCAATATTCTCACAATTATACATTGTTGAAAAGTAAAGTAAACTAACAGCAAGTGAATGATGCAATAAATATTCCCAATACTTTAGTTCTATCTTAGTACCATAAAACATAAGTAACAATAAGGCATGAACATGACTAGATGCTTAAATCATATAATATATGGGAACCCAAGGATTCTAATAAAATACTAACGTATAATTGTACTTCAGGGATATTAGGAAAATCATATAAAGTCTCTTTAAAATTAGATCCTCCAAGTTCTGTAGGAAACCATTTTTCATTTTTAAATGTAAAAAATGCAAAGAGAGTTGCACATGTGTAGTATACTGTGTCATAAATCCATTTAGCTATTTTTTGTACTCTCAATTATCGATCAATTCCTATATATTTTGAATCTAATTATCTTTCCACATAATCTGTCACAAACCTCTTATTTATATCTTTTGTAATCTATTATTAAGATAGCGTTATATACATGTATCAAAATCAAACCAACTAAAAGCCATTTAATATTTCTCCAATCAAATCTTCTGAAGTTCTTTTCTTAAAGGAATTACTAAAATTTTATGATATCATAACTATATAGGGAAATAAAAACTAAATAAGTTAACAGATGAACAATTACTTACGACAAAAAAGAATAAAAATTTGAAAATGGTTTCATAATGTGTAAATTCTACTAACTTTTTCAAAGAGATATTTTGTTACCCTTCCTTTATTAATTGTTGAGTATTAGATGATTTTTACATCATTATTTGTATAATTATCAATATTTCTTTATAAAATGGATCTTAAGAATTATTTAAAATATTTCATTCAATATATCCTTGAATAAAAATATTGAATTAACGTCGATTTCTTTTTAGAATATATTTTATATATGAAATTTATTTTAATATTAGTCTTCACATTCATCCTGAATGCCTTAATGCTTAGAGGTGTTGAAGAAAAAATAACAGAGCAAGTGATTTAGGTAATTGGATGATATTATGTAAGTCAATAAGAGAATAAGTAAAGAATCCATAAGCTTAACATTACCATTCTGCTTATGATAGATTAGCATATTATGTTGATACATTTGGTCCTAGATTATGGGGATCAGAGAATATGGCAGATGCTGTAGACGCACTCTATAAAGATATAGAGACTATGGGATTTGATAGAATTTGGAAAGAGAATCTTGGAGAGATTACATCTTGGAAGAGAGGAGAAGAAAGTGTTACATTATTTGATCCAAGATAATATCCTTAGAAATTGAATATGATTGGATTAGGATGGACTCCTGCTGGTACTGTAAAGGCAGAAGTGGAAGTTGTTCATTCATTTGAAGAATTGAAAGAGAAGAATGTGACAGGAAAGATTGTATGTTATAATTTTGAATGGAATGGATATGATTCTGGTGTGGCATACAGATATTCAGGACCTGTATTAGCAGAAAAAGCAGGAGCAATTGGTACGATGATTAGAAGTGTGGCCAGTGTTTCAATTGCATCACCACATACAGTATATATTTTTTTAGAATTTCAAGGGAATGACGGCTTATTAAAATATTAAATATCCAGCAGTTGCAATTACTGTTGAGGATGCAGATATGATAGACAGAATGAGATAAAGAGGTTAAAAGGTTGTAGTGGAAATCAAGACAGAAGGGTAATAATATAAAACAACAAGTGACAATGTTTTAGCAGAAATTAAGGGATGGAAATATCCAGATGAGATATTATTAATGGGTGGACATTGGGATTCATGGGATGTTGGATCATAAACAGGAGCTAATGATGATGGTGGTGGTGTTATTGTCTGTTTAGAAGCATTAAGAGTTTTAAATTCATTAGGAATTAGACCAAGAAGAACTATAAGATTTATTGCTTGGAGTGGTGAAGAAATGGGTTAGGATAATAATGGAGCACAACATTATGCTATTAATCATGGCAAAGAAAATCATATTATTGTATTTGAATCTGATCTAGGATCAACAAAACCCTATGGATTTGGAATCACAGCTGGATAATAATTTACGTAATTTTTATTTATTATTATAACTCTTAGTCAATTGGTAACATATTTGGCTTAAGAATACTTAACTGGTATTGGAGCTGAACGCATATACCCAAATGAAGGAGAAGCTGTAGATAGTGGAATTTTGGCAGATTCTACTGGAACTCCTATGTTAAATAATAAAATTGCTGATAATTAAAATCATGATTTCTATTTCACTTATCATCATACTGCTGGTGATTCTATGTGGATGATGAATCCAGAAGATATGGATGATAATGTTATTGCTATTGCTAGTATCATGTATTTAATTGCTGATTATGATGGACCCATTCCAAAAGATTGATTAATTTAAATGTAATAAAAAATAAGAGAATATTATATTCTTCATTAATATTTTTGTTATATCTAATTTAATACAAAAGAGACTAATTCAAAATATCAGAATTATATTATCATATGTTTTTATTATCTATATCTATTAAAAATTACTTATATATTTATATCAAGTTGATTTATCATTATTACAATTATTTGTTTTTAATAATTGATAATTAATTTAATGAGTAAATTAGATTAAGTAGGATTATTTTAGAAATAAAATTTAATTTAAATTATATTGCTCTATTTAAAAATCTAAATTGCTTGCATTAAGCCCTTTGATCAAAATTTTAGCATTTATTGCTAGTTAATTGATAATGATATTTTATCTATATAAAAAACTAAATACAATTTAATATCTTATTTAAAGATTTATAAATAAAATTTTAAATCATTAAAAAAAATATCTATACTTCATAATTTTAATTTTTTTTACATTACAAAGATAAAATTTGAATGACAATTCTGTATTTAGATAATAGTGCAAAGCATTATATGCAGTTTTAGTTTGTTCAATTGTATCTTTTTAGGTTTCTCCTTTATATTTTTCTATATATTTTGTGATATAATATTTAAATATAATTAGAAAAATAACAAATAATTTTTCAATTAAAAAACTTGTAGAGAAATTCTTCTTTAATAGTTAATTTTATTTATTCAAAAATTACATTAACTAATTAAAGTATAAATAACCAATTAAAATGATAATAAAATTGAGCTCAAAAATAGTAGTTAAGATTGAATTAAAAAAAGAATATCTAATTTCATATAATAATTAATATTAATTTATTTTCATTCAAATTCTGGGTCACATAGTTTCATTAACAATTCTTTATCTGGTTTTAAAGTAATATTTTATTATACAGCTCTTTACCTATACTTGGTACATGGCTCAAAATTTTTAATATTTTAAATTTTTGGGAAATATTAATGTCCGAATTATTCATCTTCTTCTAATTGAATCAATTCTCTAAATAAATTTTCTTTTTTCTTTTTATCTATTTCACATACTTAGGTTTATATGAGACATCCAACTGGTCTGTGATCAGAAACTTGAAAATTACCTTAAATTCTATCATACCATTCAACTGAATGAATAGCAACTTTTTAAATCTTTTTGAGAAGAATTCTATCTGTAAAAGAAGGAACTCTTTTTTTGACTGTATCATAGATTTCAGTTGCTATATCAAATTTATATGTTGGTAAAAATTAAATATCAGCTTCATGAAATTATTTTAGAAATTAAGATTTTAATTTTTCTAGATGTAATTAATCATATTCTTTTTATATATAGAGATTTAATACCTTTTAAATGTTTTAAAATAGCTTCTTTTTATTCTTAATTTTAAATATTTTAATAATTTTAGATACTAGCTACAACTTATTATTGGGTTAGATTGATTCTGAAATTCATATCACCAAATGTTATAACCCAATCACATTAATTTAATTCTGCTCTATTATGAATATAATCAAATGCAGCCATTCTATCATCATTAGACTTTTATCCAGCTGGTAGATGTACATTAATAAAACAGATATTACTATCATAAAATCTTAATTTAATGATCTATATATATTTAGATTATTATTACCACTCCTCCTTTATTACCTAATGATTATCCAAATCCATATTTAACAATTTCAGTTTTGACATTGGAAATGTGCAATTTTTCATCATCTTAAACAAATACTAAAATGAATGTTCCTACCATAACTTATTGAGCTGCTAATACATATTTTGCTTTAGTATTTAGACAATTATATAATATCTATTTCCAATTTTCAATAACATCTCTATTTTATCTACCAACTACAGTTAAAGTATTAAGTTTAACTAATTCTTAAAATCCTATGGCAACAATATGAGGAGGAGTTGTAAATTAAAAGAGTTAATTATACAAAGATTTATCATTAGGTTAATGAGCATTAATATTCCAAGTTACAACATAAACACTTTTCTATAATAATTATGTATATTCATTTTCTCTCTTTTTCATTGTTCTTTCTAACATCATAATATTTTCATTGGCTTAACTTTCAGATATAGGAAATCCAAGTACTCTATGAATTACTTCTTTCAATTATTTCTCTTCTACCATATTTTTATAAAATTAATTTAAATCACTATTCTATTATCCTACCTTATAAATTAATCTTAATTGATCACCATTTTCCATCCATTTTGATTTAAAATAAAGAAGGAAAGGATGTATATTATGTATACTTGGAATGTCTAAATCAATATATAAATTTTAAGCATTGAATTCCTCTAAGATATCAACTTTAAAAGATTATAGAATTTTTTAGATTCCCATCATAGCAACTTTAGTCATAACAATATTAGTTTAATCTAAACAATCATAACAATTAATTCTCATTATATTTTACTATCTAAATCCTAAACTGGATGAGAAATCAATATATTCATTTATTTTCTCTAGAAATTTATTTATACTATCTAAATCTTTATTATTATTAAGAAATGCTCTTTTAAAATTGAATTTATAGATAGACAATTATTCAGATTCAGTAAGATATCTATCTAATTAATTTGAGAGTTATGAACCATCATCTACTAAATTTATAAAATGAATTTTTATAAAATTTGACAATAGAATTTGAAAATGTTTATTTAATGCTTTTTTTGGATCTTCCTAACTAATTACAATAGAATTATTAAAAATATTGTATTACCAAAAGAGAGGAATACTACCTCTACATAAAATCTATTTAGCCTTTTCATTATTCATATAAACTATTTATTCAGTCTCAGTGTAATTAGCAACATTACCATCAGTATCTATACCAGTATCATTTCTAATAGAACCTCCTTTATAAAAAGATCTTCTACTAATTAAACAATATTTGATTTGACTTAAATTTCTTAATGTTATTTAAAAGATCCCAACATAACCTTATATAATTTTTAATTGCCATTCAGATGGAAACATTTTACAAAGATTATTGTTCCACCAAAATCGATTATGTTAATAATTTGATTAACTAGTTAAATCTATTCCATAACTAAAATAAAATGTATTAATGAATAGATTCTTCACTTTTTCTAATTAATCTTTTTCAAATATATCATGATCTGGTTCTTAATGTTTCTAAAATAATAAATTTGTAATACTTTATCTGCATATCCTACTTTTGTAATTTAATATATTGGCCATCCTTCCATTACTCCAATAATATCTGCATCTTCTATAAACAATAAGACAGGCTTTCCGCTTACTTCAAATATACCCAAAATACCAAAAATCTTTCTTGGTTAAAAACTCTAATCGAATTTTTCTTTACTTTCCCACATTTTCATATTTCCACGATCAATGATCAACTTGTTAGAAATTCTAGTTAATTGAGAGTCAGGATCTATCTAGAGTTTCTTTAAATTTGTACAATCATCTTATTAGGAGTGAGAGTTAATCTCATAAGTGTTTGATTCATATAATTATCTATATATTTATATATATATATATATTTAAACATCAAAAATCTCTTCTTCAATAACTTTATATAATATTAATTGATATTTACCTAGATGATGATGATGAAGAATCTGAATGAGAATCTGATGATGAACTATTTATTTATTTCTTTTCAACCAGTGAGTTCTTAAATTATCTATGATAAATAACATTATTTAATACTTGCTGCTTTAGATCATGGCTTCTTCATTATCACTAACCACAATAAAGTGACTTTATATTAATTCTTTCAATGCTGATTTTGTTATTTTAACTCGTTTATCATTCTTACATTATTGCTTTTCAATCACTTTCTTATTATAATCTTGTTTCTTAACTATTGTTTTTTAAACCTTAGGAACTGGAGTTTTCTATTCTCTTAAAAGTTCCTTTGTTACTACAGACATCACACCATTCATAGACATTACACGTTTACGTTTTCCATCAACTATTTAAGATTTGTCACTCACTTCTTTCATGTATGATATTATAATGAATCAAAATTATTGCTTCATTAATCACTGAATAATTATAATACCTTATAGTGCATTAACTAATTAATCATAAATTCACTTTAAAATTTATATTTTATTATATTCTAGTTAATTCTCATCCTAAATCCATTCATCTTAAAGTCTTTAGACGTTTTTCTCAATCATTAATTTAAACCTATTTTCAAACTTCACTTTAATTTCAACCATATTGATATCAACAACTAAGGTTTATGTTTAAAATCTCTTAAATTAATAAGACTCTCCAGAATATTCTAAAAATTCTTAACTATTTTCTAATCTTTATAAATGCAACCTCAAATTTGCCTTAAACTTTTTATATTACCAATGTAATTAATTTAACTACTATTTCAATGGTAAATTTAAATTTGTAATGGATTATACAAAAACAACAAAGCATTTAAGATTCTCAAATTGAAAGTACAATACTCATTATATATATTTAATGTTAATTAAAATGATTACAATTCATAATTTCATTAAGTTTTCTTATCTTTAACATTCACTTTATTCATATATTCATGTTTATCTATAGCATATTTTGAAGTATAATATTAAGCAATTGATTTATATCCGATTATATCATTAGCTCTAAGTAAATTAGCTGCATCACAATTCAATGGACTATCTGGATTGGGTTCTTAGAGCATTAATCTAACCGCTCGAATGATACTTTCAATTGTCCAACGTGGCTCCCATTTTTATGAAAGCACTTCTAAACATACTTCACCTGTGTCCATATGAACATTTGGATGAAATATTCTTGTTAGAAAATGAAGTGTAGGTGCTTTAACAGGATAATTAGGTGGAATAGAAACTTTAATCTATATTCATAAATTGATCTTATACTTTAAAGATTCCATTCTCAAATGGAGTGTCTTCAGGTCCGAATAAATAGACATACCAAATAAGTATATCAGTTTCATTGACTTATATAATCATTGTGGGATCATTCAACTTTTATAAGTCATTTTGTTCTTTCATTAGTCTTGGTCTGCAAATCATCAATTTATATAATATTAATGTCAGATTTAAAGAAAACTAAAAAACCTAATTTATCATCAGTCAATTTAACAGAAAAACAATCAATAATGAAATAATAGAAATCTCCTAAACATTATAAAATGTCTTTTGATCCTGAAAAATATGTTGAAAGAGAAGATTATATTAAAATGGAAAAGAAATATAATGAATTAGTATAAAAAATATAAACATTATTTTTGGAGATCAATAATAGATATTATGTAAATATATAAGTATTATATAGGATTTTAATGATATAAATGAAAAATTGAATAGAAAATCAAATGAATTTGGATATACTAGATTAGATCCTCATAGATTAATTGAATTAATTAAAGAGATGCTTGCTACTTATATTAAGTATTCTAAATATCTGTTATTAATGATAGGGGTATCATTTAGACAGAAATAGAAGTTTAATAATATAAATTATGCAATGATGATGAATAATAAGATTATATTTGGTTATTACATAAAAGTGAAATGGATATGAGAAAAATGATAAGAGAAAATTAGTAATTGAAATTATTGATATAAAATTTGGAAATCAAAATTAGTAATAATGAGAAATAAATTGAATTACTTACTACATATACCTAAAAGGCTATGGAAGAAATGAAAAGTGAATTCACATTTGCAATAGATTTACTTTCAGAAAGAGAGAGTAGTCTTAATATACTTAAAGATGAAATTAAGAGATAGACTGAACTCATTACTTCATAAAAATAACAATTAATTTCTGTATAAGTTTTAGAACATAAAATGGGTCATTTAGCTGAAAAATAAAATAAAGAGAAATAAAAAATTAAATAAGAATATGATCATACTGTTAAATAAAAAGAATAATATCTAAAATAATCTTTTGAATTAGATTAAAGAGCAAAAGATAAAAGAATTTAATAATTAGAATAAGAAGTAAAATAATTATAAATTGAAAAAAATATAATTGAAAGAGATTTAGCATAAAAGATTGAATTTTCATAAAAGAAAATAGATAATTAAAATAATTAATTAGCAGAAAAGATATCATAAATATCTGATCTATAAAAGAAACTTATAGATGTACATCATAACAATTATTTATAAGATAAAGCTAATCATTAATCTACTAAAAATTAAGGTTGATATCATATATATATATATATATCATAACTTTAAGTATTATATTAATAATCTATGAAGTGAAGTTCTTTCAAAGCTTCTTATATCACTAAGTTATAGTATTTATTAATTCAATAATTTTTATCTTAATCTTTCCAATTATTCTTTCATACTTGAATTTAAAATTAATTAACTTATTTTCAATTATTCAAGGAATTTCTTAAAGTTCTTTTTTTATATTTAATTTTTATTCATTCTATCATCTAAACTTTTATTCAATAATGATCTATTTGATTCTTTCTCTCTAAATGTAAATCTCATTCTATTTAAATTCCATAATTATCTTTTTTCATAAATCGTCTCTTTTCTTTATGATTCACTTTTATTAACTAAATCCATAACTTCTTTCTCCTTTCTTGATTTTATTGTTCTATTTTATATAATAATTCGATATAAATTGAAAAATTGCATTCTCAAAGGATCTGATTTACAATTTACATCCTTTCGTAACATATCTAATATAATTTTTTCTTTAACTTGCTGCAAATTTAATTATTTCAATGGTTATCTATGACCTTAATAAGAGGAATTTCTTCCTGATTATAAGATTTTTGAACTTATTAATTTTATATTAAGGTTAGGATTATCATTCTAACCAAGAGTTATAAAATGTTCTAGTTCTTAATTTTAAACTTCTTAATTATAAGAACTAAACTTTAATTCATTTACATAAGACTTATGTCTTGAAACTAATTCTTTTTAATTATCTTCTAGTCTTAACATAATATTAGATATTCTCTTTTTATTTTCATGACTTGTTCTTATCATTAATTCTCTTGTTCGACCATCTAGAAATTCCTAATCATCTTTTAAAATTAAAATTATACTTAAACTTCAGGTATATCATCATTTTTTGGAACTGATTCTTATAAATCTCCAAGCCAAACAGAATTATCTCTTGAAACATTTGTTTATCTTCGTTTATTTTTAACTAACTGTACTCTTTATTAATTAATGTTCTTACTCATGTTCTTACTTTTTGATATATTTCAATAAACTATTGTTAGTTGCTGTTGAAGGCAATTAAAAATCCTCCTGAAAATTGAGAGCATCTTAAATTTCCATATTCATACTAGGCTATGTTTTGATTCTCAAATCATTTGACTTTTTATTTCTTCTTGTTGTTTATTTACTTTACAATTATTCATACAAAGCTAAATATAATTTGAATCATTTAATACGATCATTAGTTATATCTATGTAATAACTTCTTTTCATCAATAATAAATGAAATAAAATTATTATAGATAATAAACATGATTGATTAGTTACCTCTGTATTCTAATATAGTGTCTCAAATATATAATTAACAAGCAATAGAGTTTCAAATTAAATTAATACAAACCTATCTATATGAACTTATTATATTTAAAATGAAATCATAAAATTAGACATTAAAATGTTTAACATTTCTTTTGAACAAAAACTAAAATAACAAAATGCTAGATTTTATTATTACTACTAAAGCAGTTTATTTGATGTTTAATTTTTTATAATTATTTTTGCATTCAAAAATATAAGTGAGAGAATTTAAGTAATTTTATAATAATCGATAGATTAAATCATTTATTTATTAATAAAAAGAGATTTAATTATTTATAAGATTTAGAAAATTAAGAATATAATGAATAAATTTGAAAAATAAAAGAAAACTAAATTACCTAAAATAATTATTAGAATTGTAGAGAATTTATTAATTATCTAAATCTAATTTTACAATAAATAATATAAATAAAGAAATTATTATAGAAAGGCTCTATATTTATCTTGAAATTTGATATGTATTTGAATGATTTTTTTTAAAAAGAGTAAATAATTTTATTAAATTTATGAATATGAACAATATATAATTTGTTTAAATGCTTAAGTTGAATTGCTAAATTAAATTAATATTTTGCATAAATCATAGTTTTAAATAAATCGATAATATATGGAAATAATGACATATAAAATTATTAGAAAAAGAAATTTTAATTTATAATTACTAGAATAGTATCAATTTTTCATGAATAGATGTTTAAAAGCATTTATATAAGGAATGTTTAAAGTATATAGCTTATAAAAATCTTTAATAGGTTTAGATTTTCTTTAATGATAATTTATTTAATTTATATTCAGTTATATGTTTCAAAATAAAATAGAGTAATCAAAAACAGCATTCTTTTGGGATGTATTGAAATGATTTCAAATTTAGATTTTATTAGGCACTTATTCACCTTAATTACCACATCCCTCATTTAATGAAATAAATAAGACATCAGTTGACTAACCATAATATCGTACTTTGAAAATGGATATTCCACGGACTCGTTCTCAATTACTATAACCTTAAATGCATGGAATTCTAGAAAAAATAATTGTTTTCTTTTGTTAATAGGAAAATATTAGTTACAAATAAGGAATGAATGAAATATTTGCTGTTGTAGCGGTCTTTAATGAAAGTGGACTTTCATGGGAAAAAGTATATGAATATGCTCGTAAAATCATACTTGATAATAACTTCTTTAAAGATGAAGAGTTCTTATCATTACAAGTTGCATTCTAATGGATTAATTAGCTTCTTAAATTTCATGATTTCTAATTATATGATTATTTGGATAAAAATTTACTCTCACCAGAACTATATGCTACACCTTGGTTGTTAACTTTATTTGCAAATAAAATGTCTTTAGAATGTACTTATTTACTTTGGGAGATGTTATATATCAAAAAGGATTAATTAATGATATATTATTTTGTTATTGCTGTTCTCATTTTCTTTAGAGAGAAATTACTTTCAATTGATTCATCACTTTTACCATAAACTTTAAGTGGAATCTACATAGATAATGTTGAAATACTAAAGAACATTTACAAAAAGTATACATTATATTTATAAATAGAGCAGTTGATTTAAAATTAAATACTCCTTCTTCTGCATGTATTCCTTCTAAAATATTTGATTTACCAAAAGAAGAATTAAAGATTTTAATGGATTATTATTAATAACTAGATTGTTTGACTCTACATTATACAGAATCATAAAAACTAGAAACTAATTATTGTAGATTATGTTCAAATAATGGATGTGTATAATGTAGACTTATAAGAATGCCTCCTGAAATGAAATGCTTTATCTATTCTAACAAACATTTATAAGAATTAGTTTAATATGTTGGAGGACCTATTAAATAATACAAATTAGTTGACAAAATTTAGAATAATTAAAATTTCATATAGATAATTAAATATTCTAAGTTTTAATCTGAATAATAGATCTAACAGAGTTATATATGTTTTTAATAATAATAATCATACTATTAGAATACTGAAGAAGATACTACAAGTACAAGGTCTTAAAATAGTTTATATAGTTCTTAAATTATAGTACCATTTAAATTTAATAAATTACAATTACAATAATAATTGTAAAAGTAACCAGATGATCAATTTGATTCTATTAGATCACAAGAATAATCAAATAGATAATAATCTGTATCATATAGATAATCATCTATTATTGAATGTAATATTTTACAAAATATACATTTAAATAATACATCTCCTGTTGAGATTTAACCACTCATTTTAAAGAAGGATTCTAGAACTAATTCATTAAAATAAGATCCAATAAAAAGATATGAAAATAAAGGATTATTTAAAAAAATGATAATAGAAATAAATATATTGAATAATATCAAATTTAATATATTCAGATGCAAATTAATTGGTACTCAAAAATAAAGAATATTAATATTAAATCAAGGATTTATTTGTTTAGTTAAAGAAGATAAATAAATATTTTAGAAATTGTAAACAATATTATAATAGAAATCAAAATTATTATAAAAGACAGAATAATAGAATTAAGGAATTTAGATTTAATATCTATATTATATGATATTTTTAAAACGAATTAGTAGTAAAAGATTAAATAGTAATATAATTTCATTTTATTTTAAATAACCAATTGTGAATGTAATAATTTGTATATAAAATAGTCATAACAAAATATTAACCATAGATTTTTTAATTTGTTTAAGGAATTTCATATGAATATAGATAATGATTACATAAATGAAGCAAAAAGAATGATTAAAACAGAATATAAGATAACTTTAGAAATGTTAACAACTTAAGAAGCTTAAAATTGTATAGAAATGGGTAAATAATATTACAAGCAATGCTAATTTTGATAAATAAACCCATTTTCAATTTAATTTTACTCTCTTTTTTTCTTCTATTTCAAGTTTCAATAAATCATAATAATCTACTTCTTAATTACTTTTGTTATCTCTTTATGGAGATTACTCCTTACCTTATTATTTTGTTTAATTCCTTTCATCTTTAATCAATTTCTAAAATTTTAAAGAAGCCATTGTTTAAGGTCTATATTATGCTTTATCATTTCTATGTTATTATAATCTAATATCATTTTTCAATAGAGTTTCATGAAATTCTTTGTCAAATTAAGGCATTTCATTTTATTAACAAGGCTTTGGATCTTATTTAAAAAATTCATGATTTAAAGCTTAAGCTGCATTCAATCTTTTTGTAGGATCAAGTATTAATAATTATTCAATTAAATCTAAAGTAACTTAATCAATTTATTTATTTTATATTTAACAAAGTTCCTTGATATGTTTAGTAAGTAATCTTTCATAATTTCTTCTAGGTTTGAATTCCTCCCATTATCTTAAATTGACACAATTAGGCCAATTCTATTCATTAGCACTTCCACATAATTCATAAATCTTTTCCATTTAACGATACTCAATATCACCTTTAAAGAGTACATCTCCTGTTATTAATTCTGTAAATATGCAACCAAGACTCCACATATCAATTTAAGTATTATAATTTGTTTATCCTAATAAGAGTTCTGGAGCTCTATACCAAAGTGTTACTACCTTATAAGTATATTTTGGATTGCTCACATTAGATAATGTTCTTGCCAAACCAAAATCAGCTAATGTTACTTACCCTTTATTATTCATTAAAATATTTGCACATTTCAAATCTCTATGTATAATTTTACTATCATGAAGATATTTAACACCTTCTAAGAGTTGTTTAAAAATGCATTTTAATTATGGTAATGTGAATACATTTCTTTATCTATGAAGACCAGCAAAATCATGATCATAATAATCAAAGACTAAAAATGTAGAACCTCTGAAATTATTTCTATGAGATGCTTTACTCACAATAATCTCTCTTAATCTTAGAATATTTTTATGATTCATTATTTTTAACAATTTTATTTCTCTTATAGCTGTTATAGGGAATCCTACAATCATATGATATAGTAAATAATTACCCTCTGCCATAATTTTTTGATCCTTTGTATCAATTTTCTTCAAAGCCACAAAATCATTTGTTTTTAAACACTTAGCTTTATACACTTTTCCATATGTACCTGAACCTACCTCTGCAATCACTTTATAATATTTATTCACGTTTTTTGTTCGACAAGGTACTTGCATTAAGATAAAGAAATTAATATAAATTAAAATAATGATAAAAATCTCAAATTAGATTCCCCTCTATTATTTTTATTGATATTACTATTCTAATTATGGTTATGGAGTGTCAAAGATTGATTTTATCAAGAAATGCATTTCAAAAAATACCTTATACCAAATGATGCAACAAAATATTTAATACTCATTCTGTTATTTTAATTAATATTATGTCTAATTCCCCTTTAACAAAAGTACCAACTTCTGCTTTATCTCCTGTCTCAGCTTTAGCATTTAAAAAGCAAAGCTAAATTCCTTAGGCATTATCAAAATAAGCCATAGACTTATAGAATACGTTGAATAAACTCAAGGAAGCCAAATAAAAGAAACAACAACTTTCAAATTCTAATATTGTAGTATAATCAATAAGTAACTTCTTTTATGAACTCTAGCAAATCCAGTTAGCAGTCCTCAAAAAAATAAACACACAGAAGAAACAGAACCTATACAAATTTAATACAAATCTTTATTTAAGGATATTGAATAGCCTTAGATTAGTTAACCTAAAACTTATAATAAAATGAATGATTAAGAAGCTGAATAAAAGTATGAGTAGAGAAAAAAATAAATAAAAGAATAAATAGATAGAACCAAATCAAACAGTAAAATAATTTAGAAACCTAAATAAAAATAAAAGAAGACTGTTGAAAAGTAAATTCAAAAAATTGATCTCTCTAAAAATTCTAATAAAAAATAAAAACAAGAATCTATTCCTGAAATTTAAAGCATTTCATCTTATCCTAAAGAAATTTTACATGATTAATTAAAAGTTATGCAAAATAAATTAAAGTAAGACATTGCCAAACTAGATAAATAAATTAAAGGTGAAAATCAGACCTGTCTTTTTGAAATTAAGAATAAAGGACATGATTTATATTAATAAGGGTTGTAAATGGAAGATAGGAAGTATCTACATTTATAACTATTTAAGATAATTTAAAAAAAAGGTTCATGAAAGGGAAAAACAATAAAAAGAGATGTAAAACTGTACATTCAAACCATAAATAAGTTAACCAAAGAGAATGAACGATCAATCTAGATAAATATAGTCAAGATTACAATAAAATGATTCGAAATTATAACTTAAATGTTAAAGTAATAGAGATGGCTAAATAACTTCTAAAAGATTATCCTGTTCTCCTTCATAAGATTAAATTAATAGTACAACAATTACATAAACACTTAATAATAATAATAATCATGATATCAATTGTAATTTGTATAATTAATATTATTTTAGCTTACTTAAATAGAATTCAAGATAAATATCAATAGATAGTAAATAGAGCCAATGCTTTAAGAATTAAAGGACTTTGACTATATATATATGAATAAAATATATCAATTAGATTTTAATAGTTTATTTCTCATAATCATTAAGACTTTGAGTAATTGATTAAATGTCATCATAATATTTTTTTTAAGATTTATTTAAAACATTTATACAAAACTACTAAATTAAGGATAAAATTAGGAGCCTCTTTAATTATATTGCAAAATTGTCATTAAAAAATTATGCTTACGGCAAGATTTGATTTGAACTTGCATCCTTGCTTATTGGAGCCTTAATCCAACTCCTTAAACCTTCTTGGCTACAACTAATTTTTTTATATATTTTATCAGAATATAAAATATGAAAGTAAAGTAGCTTTGTATTAGTTCATATAAGCCTCCAGTATAATCTTAAAACTGGGCTTAAAGTCTATTTTTGAATCTCTATAGGTGTAATTCATAACAAATTTCTCGTCATTTGCATCGACTTAAAGTCAATAAAGTAGTGAAGGGAGGGTAGAGCTTTATTTTTGGAGAAGAGAAAGTTGGACTAGCAGTAGGAGTAAAGGGTTCTTGTTATAATGCAGGAGGAGAAGTAGCGAGGAGAGCAAGACAATATGGATTTGGTACAGTTGTATTAAGTCAAAATGAATTAAATCTGAAAGAAACATCTTAAGTAATTTCTGGATTGATTCAAGCAAATTATAAGTACAAGTTATTAGGAGATGTAGCATAAGAGAAGTAGTAAAGTGATGAAAATAATGATCAATATAGTTATATATAGGAATTACATGTTTAAGAAAATATATTTGAAGATCCTTACTTTTAACAATTGGTTCAATTAGCTTAAATAAAGTTATATGCAAGAGATCTGGCAAATACAAGGCAAGAAGGAACACCCTAATTTTTTATTAATGAAGTTAAAAAGCTATTCAAAGATAATCCAAATGTTGAAATATAAATTTTAGAAGGCAAATAATTACAAGAATGTTAATTGAATCTCTTTTATGCAGTTGGATAAGGATCAATTCATCCACCTACATTAATCAATTTGACATATAGAGGAAATAAGAATTCACAGGAATTACATGCATTAGTGGGTAAAGGGATTACATTTGATACTGGGGGTTTACATTTAAAATCTTATGGTCATATGGAAAATATGTATCTTGATAAATCTGGAGCCTGTAATGTATTGGCTGCTTTTAAAGGAGCTGTAGATATGAAATTAAAAGTAAATGTTACAGTTACTTTGGGAATGGCTGAAAATGCAATCTCAAATACATCGTATAATCCATCCAATATTTTGAAAAGTCATAAGGGATTAACAGTAGAGATTAATAATACAGATGCAGAAGGACGTTTAGTTTTAGCTGATTGTTTAAGTTGGACATAGGCTACCTATAATCCAACTACAATTGTGGAAATATCAACATTAACAGGGTCATGTAAAGCAGCTTTAGGAGGAAATACAGGAGGATTATTCAGTAATAACGATAAGTTGTCACAAGAACTTTTAGAAATAGGAAAAGAATTGTAAGAACCATTTTGGAGAATGCCTGTCACTGATGAACATCAAGATATGATGAAAGGTAAATTTGCAGATTTATGTAATACTGGAAAATCAAAAATTTGTGGAGCAAGCAAGGCAGCAGCATTTTTATTCAATTTTGTCGATGATAAGGTATTAATTATAAATAGAATAGATTCCATTTGCTCATCTTGATATTGCAGGACCAAAAGAAAGTAAGACAGATAAAGGTATCTATCCTTTAGGAGCAACTGGATTTGGTACTTAGGTTTTATTGAAATACCTTTTGAATAAGTAAGAGTGATATATTAATTATATAAATATATATGGTATTATGATATTGTCATTACTAAGAATCTAATAAGAACTAGATTAAAATGATGTATATAAAATTATTAAGAAATAACTAAATATCTAAGGGATTACAATAATATTTTTTATTTTTATTTATTTTCATTTGTTTCTATATATCTCTTATTCAACTTATCTTCTTTAAACTCTTTTGCCTAAATATTTTTCAAATTTCTCTTCTGAGACATCTTCAGCTTCATATCCTGCAACATTATGAATAATTTCTTGAATATCTTCTTCATTCAAATTGAATCTTAATTCTTCGGATATTTTCTATAAATCTCCTTTATCTAAAGTTCCTTTACCATCTACATCTATAAGTTTGAATAATTAGACTCTTCCCTTCTAATCAAATGGGTTACCCTAAGAAATATACCTTATTAATATTACTAATTTAGCTGTCAAATCTGAGATGAATGTTTCAAAATCAATTGCATCATCATAACTAGCAGCCAAATCATCAAGAGCATGTGCAATAATTGGAAATTTGTCAGTAAGACCAAGTGTCTTGGCTGTGACAAGAATATCTCTCACATCTGCTTTCTTTGTTCTGGGTTCAGCATAAAGGATGAACATTTCATAAAATTCTGCAATATGATCATATGTAAAGATGGGATGATTCTTAACCCATGGCTTAGAAAGTAATGCTTACTTATCTTAGAATAATTTCTTTATTTACCTTTCTCTATCTGATCTCTTCTGCTCATTAAAAATAATTAATAAAAGATATGCAAAATAACCCATAGCAAATTTATAATCAAAATGCCTCTTTTTTATATTTATTCAACACAATAGGAGTATAACTCTAAACTAAAACGATGAGAAATTCCATTCTAAAAAGTATGGAACCAAAACTTACTCCATTAATTAATCAATTAATGAATTACAAAAGCCAAATTTGTTGATCACTTCTTTATCAATTATATTCCAAAAATATATTAATATAATTATATACTTAATATACATCTTCTTTAATCAAATCCAATATTATTGTTACCTTCCTTTAAAAAAGAACTTAAATAATTTGTCCTTCATTAATTCCAGTATTTCTAATACAATTATATAATTGATTATCTAAGTTATATAGTTAATTAATAGATAATTTTATTCAGATTTAAAGCATCTTATAACACAACAAATCTCTCTATCTACGAAAAATCATAAAACTAACAAAATAATTAAATTCCTAATTAATATTCAGAATCCAAGCACAAATATTTAATAATTTGAACTCACACTCTATAAGTACTTCATTTTAATACTGCATTACCTAGCATTTAGAGAATTTACATGCATCTCAATTTCTGATTTTCAACTTATATAAATATATTAATTCCTACTTCATATAACAATCATATTTTTATAAAAACATTCTATTAAATTTAAGTAATCTAAATGATTAAATATTTTATCAATTAGTTAATTTAAGTTATTATTTTTATATAATAAAATCATATTATAATACTAATAATGCATTTGAACATCTTAATCATAATAAATTGATTTTAGAAATGTATATTTACAGCATTAATATATATATTAATTTATAATATATATCAATACTATATCAAAAATCAAATTAATATACTTTTAGTAACATAAACATTATTTTTTCATTCTTATTTTACTTTTTTGAAAATTAATCCTACATACTCTAATATTGATAAGAATCTTGAAATAAGTTGTTCCTTTACTTCATTCATTCTTACTTATTACAACTAATTTGATTGATATATTAAATCAATTGATTTTTCCATCCTTTCCATTCCTATTTTTATCTTGAATTTCTTTTATTGAGTATTGTGTAATTAAGGTTATAATGTTTTTTTGCTGTTATTTAGGTTTCACACTCTAAGTTGATTAAGTTATTCAACTTATTGGAAGAAGGTTTCCAATCTGATGATTTCTTAGTATAATCTATATTATTATCATTAAACATCATTTTGTAATCAATATAGGTTAAGGAATGATGTTTTCTGCATTAGGTTCTTACATGTATGTTTTCTTAAGGTTTATTTAATGTAGAATCTCAATGATAACACATAAAAGTCACCATTATTAAATAGGAAAATAAAATTTATAAATATAATTATCAATTATTCTGCCAATGAAAAGTTTCAGATCTGAAGAACCGGTGAGTACTACTTCAAAAAATAAGGGATTCACTTTTGAAACAGGGAATTAAAGTACAACTAGAGTACATAAATAGTTTAATAGCATTAGAAATAACATAAAATACCATTTCAAATGAATTCTTTAAACACTGAAGAATGTGATAATGATACATATAGGAGTCAAGAGGCCTTTAAAAAGATAAAAAACCTTGAATTTTAAAATGATTTATTTATGATGGAAATGCAACATGTTCAAAGAAGAAAGGAAGCTGAATAAAATAGATTGAAGTTTTAATTATCTTCAATAAAATCAGATATTGATTTAATGAAAAGTTAATTATAATCTCCGGTTGCAAAAGTAAAATCAAAATAAAAACGATCATAATCAATTGATAGTGAATTGTCTTCAGATGGAAGTAGCAGTAGCAGTAGTGATAATAGTTATGTCAAATGTCCAATTAAATTTAAACATTTCGAACCTATATAAAAAGAATAGATAAAGATAGATAGGTATGATATATATATATATATATTTAGTTATGAAACAATAGAGAATAGATTTAAAAAATTATTTCAAATAAGTGATGTTAATGAGAAGTTGAATTGGATGGTAAAATAATACTTTAATTCATTTCATTCAATTTAATTGGATTTATAGAATAATTTATTACCTCTATTATTAGAAAACACTTTGAAATTGTTAATTGAAATAATAGAGAAATTAAACTCTATTAAATTAGATACATTATAATTTAAATCATATGATCCATTTTAAAATGGTGATAAAAATAATAAACGATATTCAAGTGATTTAGATATTGAAACAATCAATTAAGAATATCAATCATAAGTAAATCATACTTTAACAGATTATTGTTAAAAATTTAATGAGTAATAGTCTTAAAAGAATTAATTTTCAACTCCATAATATAAATAATAATAATAATAAGATTAGTAATAATCAGCTAGATAATTATAAAATATGATGAAATCAAAACCTGATTCAAGTTGTTAAACTAGTAATAATTAAACTTTGGATAAAAAGGTAAGTATAAGTGAAAGAAGTTAAAAAAAAACAAGTAATTATTTTTGATATTTTAATAGCTTAAAAATGTTAATTAATGCCTAGTTTAAAGAATAGACAAAAATGAATGTGATTGTTTAATATATTACTTATACATATATATAAATAATGATGTGGAGATAGTTTTTGATATAATTTTATAAATAAATAATAATTAAAGAGAAAGAAAAAAGAAAATATTAAAAAGCAGATTTTAATACACATATCATTGCCCTTTAGTATTATTTAATAAATGAATGTTATCCAACAACAAATAAAGTTTTTCAATATATGATTCATCAATATCTTTGGTGATTCTAAAAAATAAATTAGAATATACCTGAAATTGTTGATAGTGATTATAATGTGAGATGTCATCGTTATTAGCATTATCTTGTTATTCAATATTTACTATTACTTGCTTTAAATTCTTTGATAACATCTTTCTGAATTTTTAAAATGAATTCAGTCATTCGTGGATTCTCTGAAAGAAGTTTCTCCAACAATTCCTCTCTATTTTAAAATGTATGTTTCAAATCAATGACAATTTCTAATTTTTTAGTGGTTGTAAGACTAGTGTAAAATTCTTCTAAAGGCAAACTCATACTATATGTATTCGATGTTTTATAATTCACTTTCTCGATAGCATAAGGTACTGTAATAAAAAAACATATAATAAAGAAATCATACATATTTTGTACGTGCTTAGATTTGTATGTAATTTCACTTTTAATTCTCTTCCCTAAAATTTATATCCATTTAATGTTTCTACTGCAATATTTGCTGTAAATTCATCATAATACTCAGCTGTACATGAGAATTTTACTTCCCCTTCTCGTCTATTTATTTTATTAACTCATATACTTTGGTGTCCATTCTACCAAGGGTCCAATACTTGATAGCAACTATTCTACTTCTTCATTTTTAGCCAAACTTTGAATATTGCTTACGTGAATTTGATTTCCTTTTGGTGGCATATATTAAATTAATAAATGCACGATTAAGGTATGTGATTTATTGGAACTAGGTATTTCATAGCCCATACCCTCAAACCACCATAGCCAATCTTTCGTAAAACAGTTTCTATAGACATATGTATTAATATATCCCACAATCTTAGAAAGCCCACTTTCCTAAGACTAAAAAGAATAATTTTTCAAAGAATCCAAACTTACCGTCTCATTTTCTTCTCCACCAAATTCTGGAAGAGATAACTGTATTCCTGATGAAGAAGTAATATCGTACTTCATTCCAGATGATAATTACTCTTAAACTAGCTATAAATAGGTTCGCTTCTCTGAACCTCAAGAAAAGTAATTTGATGACATAAGTAGAGTAGAACTACTAATACTATTGGATATAAATATAGAAGACAGAGATCCATTCCTATTCCAGAAAAAGTTTAAGAAGATCTTATTGGAGAGTCCTCTTAGCTCTCTCCATACAATAAAAGTTAAATCCGTATTAAAGAACGGTAACATATGAATTAATCAACTAATTTATTGCATGACAATGAAAATTAATTTGGCATAAATGCTATCTAACTAGAAAATAGTTTTGGTTGGAAAACAATATCTTCAAATGATTATAGTGATCAAATTATTCAAATGGCAGATGAATTAGTCAATTTAGTCAAAAATTACTTAAATAATATATCATTTCATGAAAGTCATTTTACTTTTGATGAAAGAGAAGTAGATAATAGAAATAGATTATAACTTTAAAGAAGAGTACTTTAAGTATATTAATTAATAATATAATCTAGAAAGCTTTAGAAAACTTAAATCTTAAATTAAATTCTCCTATTACAAGAATATCAAATACATCATCTTGTTTGGAAGATTATAATGTAGATTATAAAGAATTATAATTAAAAATAGAAGAATTGACAGATCAAAATGATATATTAAAGGATAAATTAGAAATATAAGATTTAAAATTATTATAATAATATGAAGAAGTTAAAGAATAATAAATATAATTAGTAGATTTGGAATTGAAAAATAAATCTTTTTAACTTGATTTAGATTCTAAATAATAGGAAATTGTTACTTTAAATTAATAATTATTACAATTAAAAAAATAATTAGATGAATAAATTAAAATTTGTTAAATTTAATCATAAAAAATTTAATAATTGGAATAATAATAAATGATAGAAAAATAATCAAATTCATTTTATTATACATCAAAAATAAATACTAATAATTTGAATAAATCATTTAAAAAAGAAAAAAAACATACAAATTCATTTCATGAAGTATGTTCATCACCAAATGGAAAGAAAATTATGATTGTAAACAGTAGTACTAATAGTTCTTAATAATCTCCTAGAAATTTATAGATTTCAAATAGTAAAATATTAAATTTAGATGATACTACTTATTTTGGATCAGTTTATAATGAAAAAAGATAAGGATATGGAAATTTAAAGAAAGGAGATAAGAAATTATATATGGGTATTAATTATATATTGATAATAAGGATTTTGGAAAGATGATACATTTAATGGATTTGGTCATTTAAATAATGAGACAGTAGATTTTGGAATTATAGATTATAGAAATTTAGATTCAGTAGGAAATAAATGGTTTAGCTATTAAGGAGAATTTTAGGATGGTTTATTTCATGGTTATGGAATATGGACATTTAGTGACAATTCTAGATTTCATGGAGTATTTCAATTAGGGAAAGCATGTGGTAGAGGGTATTATTTTATTAATGATTTAGTGCTTACTATACAAATATTAATACTATTTAGGGAATATGGAATAAAAATATTAAAATGTGATAATATATATTTATATCATATCATATCTTGATAAATGTATGATAATTTTTATGACTGGTAGCTACATAACATTTCCAATCATCTTTTTTAAGTACATAACATTCTTCACAAAAATAAAATCCAAAGCAATTTTCACATTTATAAACACTTACAGATTTCTCTAATTCACAACCTTAACATTTATAAGTTTTTTTTTGATAATTCTAAACTTCATAAATAGGTTCAAAACGATGATCAGCTTTATGTCTTTATCCATTTAATTCAGATTATGTTCTAGTAAAGAAACAATTTTAACCTATATATTAAATAATAATAATTACATAAACTAAAATTTGTACATTATTTACAAACAAATTACACACCTAGAATTGGTTTTTGAAAACATCCATTACATTTAGAATCATGACAGGGTATACCTTCAGCAAAAGTTGGTAATTCTATCACTTTGAATTCATGATCTTTATGAATAGGGTCTCCATTTATCAATAGATTATCAAAACATGCTTCACAAAAATCATAATTATCACAAGTGATGCATTCAAATCTAGCTCCCCATATAGGATTCTAATCACAACCATTACATTAATGATATTAATGTAATACTTCTTCATCTGCTTTATTAGCTAAAAAGAACATATCATTTTCTGTAAGTTCACCATCACTAAATTATATAATTAAATCTATACTTAATCTTTTTATTGTAACAATTCTAACAAATGTCAAAATTTGAAATTTTTTTAGATTTATATCTACATATACCTGGTTGTAATGAGATCCCACATATATTACAACTTATCTATACTAACCATTTTTAAAAGGTTTCTCCTAATTAATTTCCAATAGAAAACCATCCATGTCTTAGATTATGATTTCTAGCAAATATTTCAACTTTCTTAGAACCTGGCATCATCAATTCAATTATTTCATATAATTCAATTGGTTTCTATGATTTATTTCTTACTGAACTAAAAATAATATTGTTTGATATTTTTGAATGATATTCAACATGTTCACCTGGAGGACATTTATAACTATTTTAATATAATCATAATATATATATACCCAACTAGACATATTTCAAATGAATGCATAAAGTAATATCCTGTAGAAAGATAAACGTTATTGCCTTATGGATTTAATTTCACCCAAATAATTTGATCAACTATTTCATATCCCCATTTACTAGCCATTTCATAAGCTATATTAAGTTGAGTATTGAGAATCCAAAGAAATAGAAACCCTTTTTTACTTAATTTCTCTATTTTAATATCCATTATTTCTTGATTACTCATAGTGTTATAATCTAGAGAGAATTTACTATTGGTGAACATAAATGAAGAATCATTCTATTATCCTCCTTTAATTCTCCAGGGAGGATCCATTAAAACAACTAAACAATATACTCCTATAAATTACCATCAAAACCACCCACTTTCTCTACTAGAAAGTCAATGTTAAAATATCTTATATCACAATTAATATAAGATTTAATTTCTCCTAATTTTGATAATATTTCTTAATTTTCAATTCCTAACAGTTTCAAATTACGTTTTGTTTCAAAATCTGTTCCATCTTCAGTTAATATTCTCAAAGGTTCTTCATCTTATTTTGGTTCTTCTTCCAGTAATTTGCCATCACCTTCTTATCCTGTTGAACACTCAGGTTAAGTTAGTTATTTCAATTCTGCTGCAGTCACAGGAATATCTTTTTTTAAAATTGTTATTGTACCTTAAAATATCTTTACATAAATATTCTTAAATAGTTCTTTGACTAAATTCTCTTACTCACTACCTGAAGATAGGATTAATTTTTATTCATAAGATTTTTTAAATATCTTATTGACTCTCTTGAGAATAAGTTTACTTTTGTATTGAGCTTCATCAGAAGAGTCTTCTAAATCTATATGTTTGTGTGTCCTACGAAACTTTTTGGATTTCTTAGGTTTGATCTTGGGATCGAACTCAGAAAAGTTATCTGATTCGAGAACCAATTATTCACAGGATATTGGTAATTATTTGATTTAAGTGGGTTCTTAGTTTTGTTTTACTTCTTCTCTTGGCGGGGTCTGCAATTCAGTATTCTTCTTTTTACGACCTTACTTATTATGAGTGACTTTGTTGTGCTGAATTATAGGCATAGGTTAAAGTGCTAAGAGTAAGAGATCTTGTTACCTTGTGTACCAGTTTACTTTCTCTCTCTCTTATTGTACACCAGATTATCAAGATTGATCTACTTTAATCCTGTCTTTTGTTTTTGAACATTTTTTTAAGCGTCAGAGGTTAGTTTGACATCATAACTCTTTTCTTGGTCAGTCATTAATTTTTAATTTTTTTATTCAATCCTCACATGGAAGAGCCATTATAAATATTTATAAATAAAATAAATGGATTCTGAAGACTATCATTTCAAGTTCCGCATCGTCATTTTAGGTACCATTCTAATGTATGTTAAGGTGAGAAATCAGTTGGAAAATCAACCTTTTTAGATGGTAAATTAAATCATAAAATTTAAAGTATTGGCAATAACCTTTGGTAAGATAATAGAATAGGAAGCATCAGATGAATTAAATTTGAAGGTATAATTCAATATAAATAATTAAGACTGTTGGTTATATGGATGATGACACTCTATACAAGATAGCATATTGGGAAATCCCTGGAAAACATCGTAGTCCTGATACCTTCTTTCGTTTTTGTCTTGGAGCTACAGCAGCCATCTATATGTTTGATGGTAATTGAATTATTCAAATAAATAGTATCAAAGAGATAGACATTTGAAAAGATAGAACATTGGATAACTGAAAATGAGAAAACTGAGATCCCTGTTAAAGTTCTTATTGGAAACAAGATCGATCTCTATGCCAGTAATAAAGGAGGTGTATCAAAGTCAGAAGCCATAGGTATGGCTCGTAAATATGGGATGGAATATTTTGAAGTTTGGTACATTATATAAATTGACAATAGTTCGATTGGAGATACTTCAATTGCTCCAGTTTTTGATTATCTATTCTCTACTATCATAGGGTAGATTCCAAATCCACCTACTCCTTTGTCTTTAATGGGAAAAGGCATCTTGATTGGAAAGAGATTGCTCAACTCTTCTAAATATCAATTGGTATTAAACAATAGTAAAAGTAGGCTCTTTGTGATATAGCATCACTTTATGAATGATATTAAAATAATTATGTATTGCGGTTTAAATAACTTGGGTAACACATGTTACATGAATTCTCTCCTTCAAACTCTCTTTATGACTCGTCAATTTAGAGAAGCTCTTTTTAAGTGGAAATATGATGAAACAAAGCATCCAAAAAGAGAAGATTGCATCCCATATCAATTATAGTATCTTTTCACCAAGATGCAAGAAGGCTATGAGAATAGAGCTACAGATGCAAGAGGTTTAGTGAGATCATTTTAATGGGATCCATAAGAATCATTTGCATAACATGATGTTTAAGAATTTTGCAGAGTACTTTTTGATGCAATTTAATAATCTGATGATTAAGATTTCATCACACGATTATATCAATCTCATTCATAATCCTATGTGCAATGTCTTAAGTGTTAATAGGAGAGTGTATCGAATGAAGTTTTCTTGGATCTTTCACTTACTGTAAAAAGTGATTTTTTAAATGTTTACAATGAATCTTTGGAAAGAGCATTATACTATTATATAAAACCTGAGAAGTTGGAAGGTGAAAACAAATATTTCTGTTAACATTGTAATGAAAAAACAGATGCTCTTAAAGGATTTAGATTGAAAGCATTATCAGATATTCTCACAATTCAATTAAATCGTTTTGAGTTAGATATGAATACATTTGAGAGAAAGAAGGTTAATGATTATGTTTCCTTCCCTTTTGTTTTAGATATGAACAATTTTCTTAAACCTTATGATTAAATTGTTATTGAAGATCATCCAGATTTATTAGAAGAGAGAGAGAAATTAAAGTTATAATATGAATAAGAGAAATTATAAGGTTGTTTTAGTGATCCTTTAAGAAGAAAGAATAGAAAACCCTCTCCAGATGAAAGAGTTTCAAAAGTTCATTTTAATGATACTCCATAAATAGTATAACCAGATGATAAATTGCAATTCAAAAAGTAATTATTAGAAGCTCATTAAGAATTCTAATAAAAATTTTAAAGTTTAAAATCAACTAATACATCTTAAACTTAATTTACATCTTAGACTATACCAAATAATCCTAATCTAATTTTAACAGCTGATGAAGCATATGATTTTGATAATGATATTTTATTTGGAGGCAATTTAGATAATTTAGGTGATTTAGGAGAAGGTACTACTGCTAATACAGTTAAAACTATTAAAGAAGTATAAGGAAGTGCAAAAACTTAGAATTATGATGAAAAAGAAATTTAAGAAAGAATTGAAAATGAATCTCATAATTTATCAATTAAATAAAAAATCTAAGAATTATTATAAAATGGACCAAATGTTTATGAATTATATTCAGTTATGATTCATTCAGGAGGAGCATTAGGAGGACATTATTATGCATATATAAAATCTTTTGAAAATGGAGATTGGTATTGTTTTAATGATTCTACAGTTTCAAGAATATCTTGGAAAACAATATTAACTATGTTTGGAGATAAATATCCAAAATATAATATGGGAAGTAGTGCTTATTTTTTAATGTATAGAAGAGCTGGTGAAGAACTAAGCACTTAAAAGCCAACAATTTAAGAACATTTAAAAGAAGCAATAGTTAAAGAATTATAAGAATAGAAAGAAAGAGAGGAGAAGTGGGAAAGAGAAAAGAAAGAAAGAGAAATGGAATTAAAAATTAGATGTTTTTATAAAAATAATGATGCTGTTATAAAAACTAGAAAAGATACTCTTTTGAAAGATTTCAAATTATAAGTCAGATAAGAATTGAATGTATAAGAAGATGAGGAGAATACAAGAATAAGATTTTATAATCATATGGATAACATTCCATAAGATACATTTACAAATAAAGAGAATGAAACATTGTAAAGTTTATATTTTAATGATTTTAAATCTGTTCTTTTAGAAACAAAAGCACCACATGAAAAATTTGAAGATTATGATCCTCATTTAATGTTGATAAAATTATGTGTTTGGAGGAATGATATTGAATCATTAGATGAATCAGAATTGAAACCTCTTAAAATATTTATTCGAGATGATAAAACTGTTGAATAATTTATGGATACAATTACTTAAAGATTAGGAGTACCTAAAGATAAATAAATAATCTTATAAAAGAATTGGATAAATGGAGCAACAAATTATTCTATTAGAATGAACTAATAACATTAATTAGATTTTACACTTTATGATCTTAGAATTGGAAGAAATGTAACATTATATTTAGAAGAAAAATAAGATGATATTGATCTACCATTAAATTGGGATTAAAAATTTGAATGTGAAAAACATAAATGTAGAGTCACTTTTAATGATCCTAGAAAATAATTATTACCATTAGAATCTCCTGATTATTGTTTTGAATTATAAATTGATAATAGAAAAACTATGTAAGAATTAAAAGAAAGAATGAGTGATTTCTTAGGTATAGATATTGATTCATTCATTGTTAAAAAGAGTAATAGATATGGTGAAGAAATTAAAGATTTAACTACTACAATAAAGAACAATTAAGCTATTGGTAGAGCAGCTTTTTGTTTAATGATGGGTAAGCCATCAACTAAAGGAATATACAAAATTAAAGTAGGAATGGGAGGACTTTCACCAAAATATTCTGATACTATTGAATTTGAATATTAAGATTTATTTGATATGGAAATCAATTCTGAATGGTATGTAAAAGAACTTAAGGAAAAATTGTGTTAAAAGTTGGAAGAATTAAAATAAATTACATTGTAACCAAATCTTATAAGATTGAGATATAAATTAAATACAAAACTTAGTCAAGTTTATCATGATGATTAATTATTAAAAAATTTAAGGCTATTTGATAATCAAACAATTATTATTGAAAAATTAGAAAAACAAGATGAAATCAAAGAAAATTAATTATTGGGATATGTGAGATTTTATAATCCAAAAGATTTTACTCTTTCATTTCCTCCAAAAGAGATCTTTCTTAATAGTACAGACACAATGCATGATGTATCCATTGTTATATCAAATTAATTTAACATAAATTAAGATGCTATCGAAGCTATTAAAATAAATAATATATTCAGTTTTACAATTACTGATTTAGTAACTGCAAGTTTTGATTGGTAATTGCTTAAATTCAATTAAAATACAGTTAGCAAAGGTCCATGGTTCCTATTAAAGGATTCTTACTTCATTATGTATTATTATATCTCTATTATTTTAGTGTTCGGGATGCAAGAGAAGTTCCAAAAGATATGACTGAATTAAGATAAAAAGTAGATGAGATTCTAGCCAAATCTTCTGATCCTTCTAAAATATAATAAAAAATACCTGTATAATCAACCAAACCAAAAGAAAAAGCATTAAAAATTACAGTTGTTAAGTATTAAAATTATTTATTATTATAGAAAATAAGATGAATAATTAAAATAAGAAGAATTATAAAAATAATAAGATGAATTATAAAAATAAGAAGAATTATAAAAATAATAAGATGAATAATAAGATAAGGTGGAATAGTTAGATAATTAAGGTAGTATATAATAAAATATAAATGAAATATCCCAAACTGAAAAATAAGATTGAGAGTTTTTTTAATACAATATAGATAAAATTTAATTCATATTTCAATTTGTTTAATCATATTAAATTCTTATTCTAATTAAAAGTTAGTTTCTGCTTACTATTCTTAAGATATTAAAGTTTGAAAAAAAGGATGCTTTAATGCATCTTCAACTTTAATTCTTTATTTTGGATGTAAACAAAGCAATTTTGATAACAAATCTTCAGCATTATCATCAAAACCTTCCATATTAATTATTTATTTCCATTTGATAGGTTTTGTTGCTGATACTGATGGTAATTTTAAATCATATTCTACATTAATAAGTAATAATACCAAACAAATCACAAATCTATCTAACTTATTCAGATCCAAATAAACTTGCCAATTCCAAAATAAAGTTAACATAAAAAAAATTTTTTGGACCAACAGGTTTATTAATCATTCTAACATTGCTAAATAAATTATATTTCTTAGTTAAAAACTATAAAAATATAACTCCAACTGCCCACATATCAACTTCATATGATTAATCCTATTTTATAATTAATATTTTTTATACATGATGATGCAAGATACTTTCTAATGGCATAAAACTTTCTGTGCCTATTTTATTTTATCCAATTTAATCTATCGTTTTTTAAATTTCGTTATATAAATTAATTTTTCTTCTAATCTCTTAGACTTCATCTGATTAAGGGTTCTTATATATATTTTTTACTTAATTTTTACATTCTTAGATAAATCCTTCTCCTTTTCAATCAATTTTGCAACAAATGACCTATCAATTTCACTAAGTCCATAATCAATAAGAATTCCCTTACAAGTTTTAGGATTGTAAAGAAAGTTACCAGGTTTCACATCTCTATGATAAATGCCATTCTATTTTAAAATATTTAATGCTTTCAATAATTCGTAAAGATATTTTCTTATTTACATCATATCAAAATTTGCAAAAAATGTCTTATTAATACAAAATACATACAATAAATGGCTTATAGGTAAAGTATTCTATTACTATATATATTTTTTAATCCTTCAAAAATAAATTCACCAATTAAGGCATATTCTCTTTACCATAAACTAATTTTAAAAATCCTATTTCTGCAAAAATTAATTCTGGAGACACTGTTGAAAAATTAACCTTTATAGCATATTTTTTAGTTTTCTCAATTTAACCTTAATTAAGTCCTAGACTAAGATATATGATTAATTTTATACGCCTTATAAACAACTCCATAGCCACCTCTTCCCAATTCCCTTACAACTTTATAATTTTACTTAAGGTAAACATCTTCATCTATTTACTAATCCATATAATAACGATCATTAGAACAAGGAGTTACCTTGATTTTTGTGGTTTAGGATTTTTTATTATTTTTTTTCATTAATTATAAATTATATATAAATCATTATTATTTATCAAATGAAGTCATATCGTCTGTGTTTAAATGATAAAATCTTATTTAAGACCTAGGTTTATTCACTAATTAAGACAGACCTGCATTAGTACTAGCAAGGTGTGATAATTTATTAATTTCTAAATCTCTATCTTTTATTGCATTTTATAATTGGTCAACGGCTTTTAGTAGATATTTAATTTTCTCACTATCAGTTATCTTTTAATTTGAAGGAATACCTTAATTTATTATAAAATTTAATTACCTTAAGGTTAAACTTAACTAATCATTATCGATTAAGGTAATTAACTAATATTTGATTATTGTTGCATTTATTGAGACATCAATTCATTATTTTCTTTTAATAATCTATTCTCTCTTTTTAATTATTCATTTTCTTTTTTTAATTCATCCCTTTCCTTTTACATCTATTAACATAAATCTAATTTATATTCTATCTATTTTCTAACATCATCATCAAATCTTATAATGTTACCACTTTCCATTTATTGTTTCAATTCATTCAATTCTCTATTCATAGTTCTTAATGATTCTTAAAGTACAAAATTCTAGGCTCTCAACTCACTCACTTAATTATTTTTTTCAAACATGGTTAATTACGTTTGGTTCATTAAATTTTATTTATGAGTATTTATCAATAATTCTGCATTTTATAATTACAATTATAAAGTATTCACTTAATTTTTCAATTAATCGATAATTGATTCATAATTCATTCTTTCAGCCTTATATTATTCATCATATAATTATTTATAATTTTCAATTTCCTATTTGATTTAATTCTAATAATATTATATAAATTTTACAGCAAATTTCATCTCAGCATCTTCTACAGTATAACCATGCATGTCACGTAATACATCAATTTAAGCCTCTAACTCTTATTTTTCTTATAATTTTTAATTCAATAGATTTGAATAATTGACTCTAAGAACATCTAAGTCTATTTTTAATAACTCATAAGCATTTTTAATTTCTAATAATTCATTTATTTAATCTGCTTATTCTTTAAGAACTTTTTAGAGTTATTAATACTCATAAATATATTTTAATTTCTCTTCCTTAACTACTCTTAAAGCTTAATCCAAATGATAGGTTTATTATAAACTTTACTATAATTCTTCTGTTTTTGTTATAAATTATTGTTTGCCTGCTTAAATTTCTTGATCTTTGATTTCAATAATTTAATTAGTCTATTCTAATTCATTTAAGACTTTATTAAGATTTTGACTAAGTTCCTTTGATATTATTAAAAAATATACTTATTTCTGAAGAGTTAATTTTTAAACTTAAAATGCATATTCTTCAGACTCAATACTTTTCTACTTTAATCTATCGCATAAATTATCATATTCTTAATTTAACTTAATATATTATATAAACTTACAATTTAATTAGATTACTCCATTTCTTATAATTAATTTTATAAATCTCTATTATGTTCCTTGAGAACTTCCATTTCTTATGAGGCTGTTCCAAGTACATCAGTAAGTTTTTCTACTTCATTAGTAAGTATGTTGACTCTACTATAGCACATATTATGAATATCTGTAGATGTTGAGTCATCAAGTCTTGATATTTTAGGTTGAGGAGTGTTGCTTAATTTCATATATTTTTTATTTATTTTTATTTGTTTTAATTAATTTGGTTTATTTTTATTTAAATGAAATACTCTTTTTATGTATTCATTTAAATTTTAATTATAATAAAATTATAAAAATATATACTCAAAAATAATTACCTATTCCATCATCCCATGTATTTAGTAAATAATTATATTTATATTTATTAGGATGATAACCTTAATTTTTACTCATTAATATTTCACTCTAATATATGAACCATTCCCAAAATTTCATCTTTATCCATCTTAAAGGAGTACCTGTTTTCTTGTAATCAATTTATCTAGTCCTTAGTTTAGTTTCATTATATATATCCATAAACATTTTGATTTCATTCTCATCTTCTGTAAGTATGTTAAATTCATGATTTAATTTCCAACTCCATCTATCATTATTAAATGAACCATAAAATAGTTAATTATTATCAAATACATATCCTTTCATATGTAATAATTATTCAGGGAATTCATAAACTTTAAGATTTCTGTGAATAACACCTTAAAATAATATTCGATTGAATGCATATCTATATACAGGCTAATCTCTTTTGTCTGCTGTTATAATTTCCACTTTCACTCCTCTATCCATTGCTTCACGTAAATATTTTTCAAATATTCTAACAGAATAATAATAAGCTTAAACTATTTTAATATTGTCTTTAGCATTTTTAATTGATTCAATAATTTAAGTTTAAATTTACCTATTAAATGGAGGATGTGTTTTAAAGAATTCATAATAAGGAGGGAATGCATTAAATGTATAAAGTAAATCCTCATTAGGTGTAGGTTTATGAGGATTCAATTAAATTTTATATAAACTAGCCAAATACATAAAATGTTTTTAAAGATTATAAGATAAATGTCTCCCTTCTGTATAAGTATTGATATCATGAAATGTTTATTTTCCCCATTTAACACCACCATAATGAGATTCTATATTTGATGTACCAAATATTGCCTTATGATCAGCTACTGCCATTTTCTCATGATGTCTACGAAAGAACTCTTATCCATAAATCTTAAATGCACTTAAAGGATTCAAATTTAAAAACACTCCTCCATAAGATTAAAATAATTTAGTTAATTTGTTATTATAATGTCCTTAAAGATCATCCACAAATAAAACTACATTAACACCTCTTTACTATGCATTAATTAATTTATAAAGAGTTATATTGGCTGCTAAACTCTTATCCATTGCATAAGTCAATATCCAACAATATGTTTTTGATTCGTCAATCATTTACCATAATTTTTCTATTATCATCATTATTTATACAATAAAATTCATCACCATCTGTAAATAATCTCAAATGAGGAAATTAATATTCTTAGATTTCAGGTGATAACTATTATAATGTTTTCAATGCATTATCATAGAATTCTTAATTAATCATTATTATAATTATTATGTTATTTTAAAATATTAATGAATTGAATAATTACAATTTATTTAATTTTTTAAATAATCTTATAATAATGATTGAATTATTAGTATATTGAAATAATTTTTTATCAAGAATTATTAGATTGTTGCTTTAAATTAATTGAAAGTAATATAAATTATTTAAATTATTTATCTTATTATATTTAATAATTGATATAATTATTCTTGAGTTCTAATTTATAATTAGTATTTGTAAGAAAAATATTAATGATAAATTTATTAAAATGAAGAATCTCTTGATTATATTATATAATTATAATTGAATATTCATTCTATAACAATAGATTTATGATTGTTTAATTTTGAATTACTTTAAATCTCAAAATCTTCATTATCAATATTAGGAGTACTTAATTTTTCTAATTATGGTATTCTATTATAATTTTATTTTGCATTCTCAGGAATTGTATTGAAATCAATAGATTTAGAAATTACTTCATCTAAAATATTTCCTTAAAAATCAAATGATATACAGGAATACTTTTCTTATAAACCTAATTATCTGATTGATTTTAAAATTGTATATTAAAGTGCATCAATTTATAATTTAAATATTTTAGCTTTACAAATTGGACATCTCCATTTTCTTGGTAGCTATTAATCTAACATTAGTATATAACTTTCTAAAGAAAAACATTAAACATGAGTACAATAGATTCCTCTAACTGGAGTTAACATTAGAGAAGAACTAAAACAACATAATAAAGATATATGCAATTTAATTATTTTAATGGCAGGACTATAATTGATTTAGAGAATGACAAAATCTCGTGATTATTCTAAACTCATCCAATTTTAAGGATTATCAATGATTTTATCAATTAATTATTTAGCTGTGTATTATTTTGTTTTATAAATTGCAAAATAATAGAGTTATTCACCAATAATTCTAAACTTTCTTTTTTAATCAATTCCTGGTATAGTTTCTTTAAATATAAGAGTGCATTCTTCATTTTTAGGAATTGAGCAAAAAAGTTTTTCATCTTTTCTTTTATGTAAACAGCTTTATTAACTTAATGGAACAAAATCAAATACTTTTTTACCATTTAATTAAATTTCTCCTAAATCTGGCCAAGTAATTTCTTATGCAGCTTAAGGAGAATCAAGCCTAATACATCTTATGTCAACCATTTCACAATCAGTTTTAAATCTAACTAGTTTAGAATTAGTTAAACCATTTTTTTTAAATGGACATGGATCAACAAGAGTTGATATAACTTCACAGAATTAATCCATATTATAAAGAGTACATCTTGGACATGTAAAATTATCAACATATCTTTCATCATAACTTTTGTCTAAACAATTAACATGATAGTATTTATCACATAATTAACATTAAACAATTTAATTGTAATGTAATTAATTACCACAAAAACAATTATCACAAATAGGTTATGTAGGTATTTTGTAATATTTTTTCTTTAATCTAAGACAAATTTCTTTCATATTTGCAGTATCATATTCTAAAACTTTATTTTAATCTATTTCTAATTAAGTTAATTATTAGAATTATTACTTACTTTCTTTATTTGCTATTGTTNTATAACAATAGATTTATGATTGTTTAATTTTGAATTACTTTAAATCTCAAAATCTTCATTATCAATATTAGGAGTACTTAATTTTTCTAATTATGGTATTCTATTATAATTTTATTTTGCATTCTCAGGAATTGTATTGAAATCAATAGATTTAGAAATTACTTCATCTAAAATATTTCCTTAAAAATCAAATGATATACAGGAATACTTTTCTTATAAACCTAATTATCTGATTGATTTTAAAATTGTATATTAAAGTGCATCAATTTATAATTTAAATATTTTAGCTTTACAAATTGGACATCTCCATTTTCTTGGTAGCTATTAATCTAACATTAGTATATAACTTTCTAAAGAAAAACATTAAACATGAGTACAATAGATTCCTCTAACTGGAGTTAACATTAGAGAAGAACTAAAACAACATAATAAAGATATATGCAATTTAATTATTTTAATGGCAGGACTATAATTGATTTAGAGAATGACAAAATCTCGTGATTATTCTAAACTCATCCAATTTTAAGGATTATCAATGATTTTATCAATTAATTATTTAGCTGTGTATTATTTTGTTTTATAAATTGCAAAATAATAGAGTTATTCACCAATAATTCTAAACTTTCTTTTTTAATCAATTCCTGGTATAGTTTCTTTAAATATAAGAGTGCATTCTTCATTTTTAGGAATTGAGCAAAAAAGTTTTTCATCTTTTCTTTTATGTAAACAGCTTTATTAACTTAATGGAACAAAATCAAATACTTTTTTACCATTTAATTAAATTTCTCCTAAATCTGGCCAAGTAATTTCTTATGCAGCTTAAGGAGAATCAAGCCTAATACATCTTATGTCAACCATTTCACAATCAGTTTTAAATCTAACTAGTTTAGAATTAGTTAAACCATTTTTTTTAAATGGACATGGATCAACAAGAGTTGATATAACTTCACAGAATTAATCCATATTATAAAGAGTACATCTTGGACATGTAAAATTATCAACATATCTTTCATCATAACTTTTGTCTAAACAATTAACATGATAGTATTTATCACATAATTAACATTAAACAATTTAATTGTAATGTAATTAATTACCACAAAAACAATTATCACAAATAGGTTATGTAGGTATTTTGTAATATTTTTTCTTTAATCTAAGACAAATTTCTTTCATATTTGCAGTATCATATTCTAAAACTTTATTTTAATCTATTTCTAATTAAGTTAATTATTAGAATTATTACTTACTTTCTTTATTTGCTATTGTTTAGATATCTTCTAATTCCATTTAAATTTTCACTTCTCTTTCAAGTAACATCATTTTCTATAAAGTAGAAAAATGAGTTTCAAAATATATATGGATAAAATCATTAATTATTTAGATATCATCTTCTAATTGTGGTTATTATCTGGATATATGAGGATCTAATCTAAGAAGACTTTGAGAATATAATTCTTGGATATTATTAGGTTTAGATTCTTTAAATAGACTTTCAAAGTATTAAGAATGACAAATATCTTTTGTAGCTTAATTGATTATTTATGGTAATGCTAATTTAAGTTATTTTTGAAATGCTTCTAAGTCTTTTTAGAGTTATTGATTTTTCATTTTTTTCATTAAAATATTTGGATTTGTTAATTGTAGTTTGTTTATATGTTTGAAATGTATGGGAATATTTGATATTCTTAAACTTATGTACACTTATTTTTTATATTAATGAAAATAACAATCACAGATTTGAAAAATTTATGTAAATTTAGTCTAGCTAGTGGGAATGCAGTGATTCCCTTTATTTCATTTATGTATTTAGGAGATGACAACTTAGTCTCATTGAAGTCATTCTCTGTATTTTCAGGATCACTCTTTATGGTATTTACTGTATTATTATGAATAGGCTATGGCAAGTTAAGCTTTCAATTAAGTTATTGAATGGAAATAAGATAAAATTATGACACGTACATGTAATCGTCCTATTCCAATTCAACGACTTACTCGTTTGTAAGGTGGATTGATAGGATTTGCATTCTATACAGCTTCTAATGTCCTGATGTATAATGTATATTTATTAGTGATTTAGTGTTTGCCAATCAATGCCTTAGCAATTAACAATTTTATTTTCTTCTCTTACTTAGGAATCTATACAACTTTGAAAACAAGATCTCCTATTAATACTTTGATTGGAGCAGTCATTGGAGCTCTTCCAGTAGTTTTAGGAGCAGCCTGTGTAAACAATGATAGTTTGTATAATTTGGGAATGTGGGGTAATTTTGGATTCATGTTTTCATGGTAAATCAATCATTTCTATGGAATTTATTGGAAATATCAAAAAGACTATTTAAGAGCTGGATTCAAAATGGTAAATGACAGTGCTGCTGCTAGTAGACATATGAAAATTTGTTTAGCTATTAATGGGTTGAGTTGGTTCGGAACTGCATCTCAGCATTCTTAGCCAGAATTAAAATTTATCAGTTGTATCTCAGGATTATTGTCATTATACTTTTGGAATTATAGAGCAATTAAATTATTTGAAGTAGATCCATCAAAAAATGTATGAAAAACAAACTTATTAGTTAGGCAAACTATCTTAAAAAAGCCTCCTACAATTTTTTCTTGGTCTACTATACTTTATTATTAATCGATATAGGAATCAAGAGATATTAAAAATAATAAAATCATTGAAAAAACAATTATAAAATAATTAATATGATGAATAATTCATTTTCTTAGTGTTTTTTGACATATAACAAAGGCCTCATGGTATTGTTTTAAGTCGTTCTTCATCTAATGATAATCAAAGTTTTGATGGTCACATTCATCTTACATATATTTTGTAAACACTAAATAATACATATAAACAATTTATATACCATGATGTTATTAATATGAAGACTTCTTAGCATTTGGATCAGATTATTACATTTGATGCAAATCATTAATATGATCATATTAGATACGTGCCTTCATGTTNTGTACACTTATTTTTTATATTAATGAAAATAACAATCACAGATTTGAAAAATTTATGTAAATTTAGTCTAGCTAGTGGGAATGCAGTGATTCCCTTTATTTCATTTATGTATTTAGGAGATGACAACTTAGTCTCATTGAAGTCATTCTCTGTATTTTCAGGATCACTCTTTATGGTATTTACTGTATTATTATGAATAGGCTATGGCAAGTTAAGCTTTCAATTAAGTTATTGAATGGAAATAAGATAAAATTATGACACGTACATGTAATCGTCCTATTCCAATTCAACGACTTACTCGTTTGTAAGGTGGATTGATAGGATTTGCATTCTATACAGCTTCTAATGTCCTGATGTATAATGTATATTTATTAGTGATTTAGTGTTTGCCAATCAATGCCTTAGCAATTAACAATTTTATTTTCTTCTCTTACTTAGGAATCTATACAACTTTGAAAACAAGATCTCCTATTAATACTTTGATTGGAGCAGTCATTGGAGCTCTTCCAGTAGTTTTAGGAGCAGCCTGTGTAAACAATGATAGTTTGTATAATTTGGGAATGTGGGGTAATTTTGGATTCATGTTTTCATGGTAAATCAATCATTTCTATGGAATTTATTGGAAATATCAAAAAGACTATTTAAGAGCTGGATTCAAAATGGTAAATGACAGTGCTGCTGCTAGTAGACATATGAAAATTTGTTTAGCTATTAATGGGTTGAGTTGGTTCGGAACTGCATCTCAGCATTCTTAGCCAGAATTAAAATTTATCAGTTGTATCTCAGGATTATTGTCATTATACTTTTGGAATTATAGAGCAATTAAATTATTTGAAGTAGATCCATCAAAAAATGTATGAAAAACAAACTTATTAGTTAGGCAAACTATCTTAAAAAAGCCTCCTACAATTTTTTCTTGGTCTACTATACTTTATTATTAATCGATATAGGAATCAAGAGATATTAAAAATAATAAAATCATTGAAAAAACAATTATAAAATAATTAATATGATGAATAATTCATTTTCTTAGTGTTTTTTGACATATAACAAAGGCCTCATGGTATTGTTTTAAGTCGTTCTTCATCTAATGATAATCAAAGTTTTGATGGTCACATTCATCTTACATATATTTTGTAAACACTAAATAATACATATAAACAATTTATATACCATGATGTTATTAATATGAAGACTTCTTAGCATTTGGATCAGATTATTACATTTGATGCAAATCATTAATATGATCATATTAGATACGTGCCTTCATGTTTCTCTCATGTTCCTTCTATGCTTTATGTATCTCTTAACTAATAAGTATAACTGCTTTACCATCTACAGATAATTTGCCACCAGACTATTTTATTGATTTTATTTTTTGCATTTTCTATTCTTGAATCTACATCATCTATTTAGTTGCAGACAGATTAGTATGAGCTTTATCAAATCCTAGATGAGTCGATCCAGTTATTGGTAATACTTTATCACTACGTTCAAATGGCAGAGGTTCCTAAGGGTCATTCGCATGTCTTTTCTGATATTCCTCCTCTGCCAAAATTACAGGAATCTTATCAGGGTCATGTCCTTATTCCTGTTTTAGAGGAAATTATAGAATTCATTAAACACTACCTCCAATTTATCAAATTCAGAATTGTATTTATTTGCTCTCTATTAATAGATTTTTAATTTCACTGCCTTATCTAGGTGTGCTCCTATCCCTTTACTCATTTATTATAAATATATATATTATTAATAATTAAAAATCTAACGTTACATATGACAGATGAGATTGTTAGATTATAAACTATTGAATTCAAATAAGAAATTGAGAAAAGATTTTCTAAAAGTCGTTAAAATCACTTTTATGTATTTGAAAGAGAAGGTTTTGATGCATCTGATGATGATTCACTTGATTCTCTCAAAAATATTGAAGTCTATAATTTATGTTAACCAATTCGAAAAAAATCAATTGAAACTGAAAGAACAATCCCTAAATCAAGCAAAACTTTACTCATACAACTATTAAAGCCTAAAAAACAACCATCATTTAATGAAAATAAGTCCAACAATACATCCCTATACAAATCAAGATCATAAAGCAAGAATGCAAATACAAGACTTCGCACTGAGTATTATGTTTATACTGAATCAGAGGTTCTGTCTTGAAAGAATCCAAAAATGTCATCCTCATCTCACCAAAATTACCTAAGAGTCCCAATTACATTCAAATAGACAACCTCATTAAATCTACTAAGAATCAAAATGTTTATAAAATCAACAACTATTCCTATATTATATGATCTATATTAATTATTAATTAAAAATGTCTCAAAAATTTAAGTCCCCATCTATTATATCCAAAGTCCATCCTAAAGTGCTCTACAACACTCAAGAGTATTTACCAACACTTATCTTAGACTAAATGCTAAAGTAATTAAAGTGTTTAGTCCTTTTGAATATATGCATTATATTAAAAGAAGACAAGATTACTTAAATAAGCAATAAGAGCTCATATCCAATCTTTAATTAAGCAAAGAGAATTATGAAAAATTGACATTCTCTGTAAAATAAATAGGAGTAACTGATGATGAAGGCAGAGTTGGTGCACTTAGTTAAAGAAAATATCTATTAAAATCTATGGAATCAACTAGACTCTAAAAATCAGAATCCATTTAGCATTCATAAACTGATAGAATTTAATATTAATTTAGAGCAAAAGCATTACAAAGTAGTCGAAGGGAAAAAACAAGTATATCCCAATAAAAATCTAAACTTAACTTTTTAACTATTCCAGAAAAATCAGAAACTCAACTTGAATTTAAGACAAGCAATATTGATAAAATTATTAGGAGATCGAGATAGAAAAAGAGATTTCTATTAAGTCAACCCTAACCACCAGAAGTTGCATTTGCTAAATAATACCAAAACTAAAAATATTTGTCATATAGTCGATAATTATAAGAACTATAAGGAACGTTGGATTTCATTAAATTGTTATGATTACTATATGAATTTTATCACTTTGGTCTCAATTGAGGAGGTATTCTTCTAGGAGTAGGTGGGTTTTAAGGTTTTCTTACGACAGGAGGTTATTCTGTGGCAAAGGGATTAGTTTATGATTAATTCACTAGTTCTTAAGGCTAAGCAATTATTGTATTTTATTGATTATCTTCTTATTCTTTAAATTAACGTTGAGAAAGATTTTCTTCATTTTATTACTACTATTGTTATAATAATAGTTATTATTATTATTATTATTATTATTATTATTATTATTATTATTATTATTATTATTGCTCTTATTATTACTATTATTATTATTACTATTATTGCTATTATTATTATTATTACTATTATTATTATGATTATTACTATTACAAGTATTATTACTCATATTCTGCTTCTTTTTATTATTCAACCTACTTTTACAATAATTGTTCTTCTTCTAATTATTCTTTTGATGTTCTCTATTATTCTTGCCCTTCTAATACTGATTATTTTGATCGCATTTCTTATTTCTCAAAATTTAAGGATGGTTAAATGATTTAAGATTTAACAGATTTGGCTTAAAGTTATGGAGGGTTAGAATTTTTCTTTTTAGTTAAAATATCAAAGACTTAGGATTATAAATCAGATAGAGCTATATGATTTAAGGTTATTAGATACTTGTACGCAATTAAATGTGTTCCTTAGACAATTTATCAAATCCTTACTACATTGTTATTAATTTTTCATTTAATTGTTAAATCACTCTTGTTTAGTTATTTATGAGTTCTTATTAATTAGATGATACACTGGTATTAGTATTACTATTAGGAATTTTAAATTTCACAACCTAGATGGATTTTTAATGATACATTGAAATTAGCTGGATGTTTGGTTTTGCAATTAAAAAGGCATTTTAAAGCAAGAAGCAAAGAAATAAGAATGATATAGCCCCCTACACCATACTCAATAAATGGATAGCCAGAAAAATATAACTTTTATGTCTCTTGTACCCACGTTTCCATTTTAACACGTAAATTAAATTACTAATCATATTAATTATTAAGATGGAATTTCTTCAGGTTCTTTGATAGAGGGTTAGGGAGTTGAGTGTTAAATTTGGATGGCATAAGATGCAGGAGGCACTTATAGCTTATTCTCATGGCTTTATTGACACAATTATAGAATTTTGTATCTCAATCTCCCTATGATTACTTGTTCTTCTGAGATATTCTTTCTTATTTCACCATCAATTTCATCAGAAATCCTAGCAATTATATTATCCTTAAAGGGATGAGTATTAATATGAGAGTAACTCTCACAATATATAACATCTCCTACTTAAAACTATAAAATGAAATCAGATAATTACTTCTTCATTTTATTTTATTTTCTCTATAACAATGTAGATAGATGTAAAATCCTAGCAATTGAATCCAATTATGTTTTCCAAAAATTCATTATATTCTAATGGTTTACTTTTACACAAACATTTTTAATCTGAAAATATAGAGCATTAATAAGTAGGAGGATTTTTATTCATCATTGAGGAATGTTTTACTCCGAATAGTTCCATTTCTTATATTATAATCATGATAAATTTAGTTTGTTTATTTATAGTTGATAAGAATTTAAAATTGCCAAACTTGCTCTTGTTAAATTTATTATTTGTTAATTTATTGAGGATACTAAAGGTTTTTTAATCATATTGTTCAATAAGTTTTGTTGCATGATATTTCTACATTAATACAACCTCACTTTAATGTTTTCGAAAATCCTTGTCTTGCTTTTTAGTATCAATTACAGGAGGTAAATTTGTAATTCTATTTGCTAAACTACGATTTTCCTCACTAATTCGCTTATTGTCAAAATTTATTTTAGCATATTCTTTTCTTGATTGATTATGTTGAGATCGTGTTTTACTTGTTTAAGGCTACATTATTTTCAAAATTAAATGCTAATTGACTCTTTATTATTCAATAAAAGCTTCTTGATTATAAAATTTTGAAACTGTTTTAATCATATTATGTTTCTCCTATAATTTCTTCATCACTTTCTAATCATCTAATTTTGGATACTAATTTAATTGTTAAACAACTACCTATTAGTTTATTTCCTCTAATTTCTTTTTATGGATATCATATATACGGCCTTTATTTTTCTCTTAGTAAATGTCTTTTACTATATAATTATTATTTTTCATATAAATTTAATTTTAAGTTTATTAAACTAATCATCAAGTTTAGTATGAATATCTAACCATTTTCTTCAATTCAACTTCAATATGAAAATTAAAGTACAAAAAAAGCATAAAAAATGTAATTCAATAAATATAAGTAATTTCATTCATTCAAAAACGCCAACCAAATTTTTATATTATTAAATATATAATGAAATGTCCAACTCGTATCATTGATGGTTTATATATTGGAGACTAGAGTGCTGCACATGTAAATGATGTTTATAATATTAGGATCTAGAGTTCCTGATAACAAATAAAATTAAGAAAATCATTAATTGTGCTGGCAAATAAATTCCAAATCATTGGGAATCTATTGGTATATAATACTTGACCTATGGCTGGATTGAAAATGATTATTAGTATGCTATAGACCATTCTCGTTGTTTTTCATTCATAAATGATACATTAGAAGCAGGAGAGGCTGTTTTAGTTCACTCAATAAATGCTCTCAATCGCTCAGTCTTTGTAATAGTTGTGTTTTTAATGAGAAAGTAATTAAATATGTTTCACAATTACTAGATTCAAATGGAGCTTATAAAAAACTCTTTAGTATGTATAGAACCTTAAAAATAATCCTGAAATAAAATAAAATGTGATGCAACAATTATTGAATTTTGAAAAATGGCTACTTATTAGTAAATTGAATAACAATTAGGATTCCAATTAAAATTTTGATGAGGTTGTTGCAAGAAATACTTATTTAAATAGTTAAAAGCCTCAGGAATGTGAACCAAGAAATAAAAGGGAAGTAGGTTCTAAAAAAGTACAATGGAATAAAATCATCATATCATAATACATTCCTCCTTATTATTAAATGTAATTCATTTTTGCTAATTTTAAGCTAATTCAAAAATGTATTAAAATAAGAACTTGAATCTTTAAATCAAGTTTAAAATTAAAATACTTAACTTCCTATAAAACCAAGAAGATAGACAATTGATAATTGGATGAATAAAAAACTATCTCTGAATTAAATTGTTGATGAAAAAAAACTTAACCTTTTTAACATCAAATCTGATAGGCAATAAATAAGACCTTAATTAAGACCAGGGACTGCTCCATAAAAAAGACTTGTCAAAAATACTTGGTAATCATAATCCCATAGAGTCTTAGTTAAATAATCATGATTATAAATATAAACAATCTTTTTTTTTTGAATATTCAAACTTATTTTTTATTTACTTTTGGAGTGCTTAAAGGCACAATATTGAAGAATAAATCTGGTCTGAGGTCTTAAGGAGTTTACTAGAAAATATTATTAGTTAATACATTTTTTAATGGTTTCTTTTCAAACTATATTGCTTATCCTGTACTAAAGATAGTTTATTAAGGTGTCTATTTATAACCTTTTGTAGCTTTATTAGTGCTTTTTTTTATTGTCCTTTCTTCTTCTTCAACTCTTATTCTTGTTTCTACCATGATATCTTTAAATAAATCATAATCAAATAATGATGCTAAAGTTTCATTCATTGTTTCATCTAAAGGGAGAGATTGTAATTTCTCAAGAGTAAGTTCAACTTTCAGTTTCTAAATTCACTCATTCATTATCATACTTCATTCAAATATAACTAAATAGCACTTTAGTATAATTTAAATATTTCTCTGTATTCCTTTGATTCTGTCTCTTCAAAAACTAAACATTTTTCACGTAAGAAATCTTAAGATAATTTTTCAAAATCTTCTGATATTAAAATTTCTTATATTTATGAAACTAACTAGTCATCCTTATCATCATTGTTGTCTAAGTATAAAAAATACTTATACAATTTTCTACAATGAGTTCATCATTCTCTAAATCAATGGCATTTTCGAGATTTTAGTTCATTTATTTTAATTAAGATTTATATATGTACTATATGTGTATTATACTTATCACATTCATAGAGCTGGGAAATCCTTCTCATCCAATTGAATTCCTTGTTCCTACTCAATTAATATATGAAATTACTTATTATCTTTATTATGGCTTCTTTTCTTATCTATCACCACCTCTTCTAGCCTTATCTCCCCTTTCTTAATCTCTAGTATTATTATCTCTATTTTATCTGTCTCCTTTGTATTATCTATCTCCTCTATCTTATCTATCTCCTCCTTCTTATTTGTCTCCTCTTTCTTATCTATCTCCTCTTTCTTATCTATCTCCTCTTTCTTATCTATCTCCTCTTTCTTATCTATTTCCTCTTTCTTGTCTATCACCCTTATATTATCTATCTCCCTTATATAATCTATCTCCTCTATATTATTTTTCTCCTCTATCTTATCTTTCTCCTTTTTATTGTCCTTATTCTTATTATTCATCTTATCTTTCTCCTCTTCTTTCACCTCTTCCTCCTTATTCTTCACCCTCTTATTATTATTATTATTATTATTATTATGGTTATTCATATTATCTTCTTTCACCTCTTCTTTCATTCTTTTCTTAAGGTTGACTAGTAAATCCCAAATACTCAGCAGCTTAAGTATTCAATTCAGTTCTGTATGTTTATTATTATTATCTTGTTTTTTTTTACTTTTATTCTTGTTCTCTTTTTTCATCTTCTCTAGTTTTAACAACAAAAAGTTTTTCCTTCTTCAAAGCTTCTTCATCAATTTTCTTTGGAGCCTATTATTTGACTTCAACTTATTTTAATATTTCATCAACATTCTGAAGATAATATATAAATTAATACAGCGCCTCTTTATTAGTAATAATCAGCAAGAGTCTTTTCTGGGGCTGGTGGTTAAACTGGTTAAACTGGTTGATTTGTCTACTCAGTTTTTCCTTCTTAAGGTGCATCATCTGATTTTCTTTCTTTTGCCACATATTTTTCTTCCTTCAAGTCATCTTTGTAATTGCCCCAATTATTTCTGCCACCACCTTCTTTACGTTATTCTTTGCCTCTTCCAGTACCAGATTGTCTGTCTTTTGGATGTGGCTCAGAAGTGACTCCCTTAGTCTTAGGAGCTGGATTGTGGTGTTGAGTATTTTCTTTTACTACTTATTCAACAGGGATGACCTACTCTTTATTGTTGTTTTTTTTATTCTTTTTTTGTGGTTATTCTGGAGCTTCTTCTGTGTCGGAGAAGTTGAGAACGTTGAACAAATTATTACTCATAAAGATTTAAAAAATATTTAATGTTTTCATCTTAATTAACCTGACCAGGAGTTAAATTAATTTATTCAAATATAAAAAAATTACAATATTTTATCTCATCACTCCTTTATGGAAAATTCTTTATTTGAACAGATAACATGTTTGGATTTCAAATTAATATAACTAGACATTCAAAAAGATATTTTAAGATTGATATTCAAATTTCATAATTTCCATTGTATATTTCTAATGATTTCAAATACTATTTCTTCATTTAGATAACAGAGTTCTTATTTAATTATTTGATACTGACATCATATTAATAAAAATATTGATAGTTTATTAATAAGTTTAATTATCTCTATCTTATTGAAGAAATTAATATATAAATTTATGGGTTGTTGCTAAAATACACCTTTATAGGAAAAGGAACCCATTATAATCACACAATTAAGTATAAAGAAAGAATTCTCGCCAAAAACATTATAAATGGAGCCTTTCTCCTTAAATTTAATTAAGGGGGATGTCGATTGTATAGAGAGGTTAGGAAGCACATGTGCGGATAATATTTTAGTAGAATAATAGCACTGCAAAGTGGATAAATAGTTCAGTGAACCAATTAAAGGACAAGTTACAATAGATTTGAGATAGACTCCCAGTCCTTCATTATTGGCCAAGGATAGAAGCAATAGAAATTTAAACAATAAATTTATAGGAATGCTATGATTTAAGTTGTAATTAATCTTTGAAATTTAATACATTTATTTATATATTAAGATGTAATCATTGGACTATTAAAATTTTCAACCTTAAATATTCTAATAACATTCAAGGTTAAACTAAATAAAAAAGAACAATATAATGTAAAATATTTATTAATTTTATGTTTCTTGAGCGTATTAAGTAAAAAATAAATAAGTTAATAAAATTGATTTACCATAAATTATATATATGATATTTTAACAATAAGATAAATGTATACCACAATTGAGAATATATAAATGAATCCATCATTTATTTGTGAAAATTTTGATAATACTTAAAAATATTGAATTAGAACACTCAAATGTTAAGATACACCAAATTTTTCGAACATAAAGAAGAAAATGAATTGAAATTTATTAAATATTATAAACTCTGCTTCAAATTTGAAATGGGTTGCTGTCAACATTAGTCTTATACTCAATCCTAACAAAATTTTGATCTCAAACAAAAATCTTGTCTAAATGAGCGTAAGATTGAACCTCTGCAAATATTAGTGATAGGGGATTCAGATAGAATGGAAATTATGGATGAAGGACTATAGTTTGAGTAAACTTCCCTAAAAGAAATTCAGTCTCCTAATATTCTCAAATTCCCATCTGAATCTGTGATCATAGATTTAAGGTCTGGGACATCATTAGCAAGCCCTATAAGAAGAAAATCAAGCAAGAACCTGAATCAAAAGTTTATTGAAATGCTATGAATATACTATTAATATAAACTATGCTTAAATTTAATTAACAGATAAGAGAAAAAGGTTTTCATTAGAGTTTAACTAACCTCTCTAATAAATAAATTATATGATTCATGTTCTAAAATATATGTAAATCCTAATAAAAGAAAAAGAACATCTACTCAAATTCAGAAATATACTAAAAAGTCAACTTAACCAATAAGAAAGAAAAGAAATTTAATTCCAGATATTTTATTTTTCTAAAATATTTTAAAATATTATAATCATACACAAATAATAATAAAAATTAAGAAATCTTATTATTAAATCATATCTTCACAATGATATTTCTAAAAGAAAGATTTTATCAAAAGTTTCCCAATAATCTGTTAATATGAAATTTAGATTAATTATCAAATTGAATTACAATCCCTCTATAATAAATCTAAATTACATCTTAAAATTTATTAAACTTTAGACACAATATGATTTAAATAAAATAAAAGATGATTTTTTTAATATCTAAATGATAATTCAGATGATAATATAAATTAACATAACTGTTTCATATAATAAAAATTAAGCAAAATAAGTTATTTTGTTAACAGGAAACTATTATGCCAACTTTAGAAAACTGTTTCAACCGGAAATCTAACTTTCATGATGAATAAATTAAATAATTTAAACAGTGTTATTTATTAATTAGAAATTTAATCAAAAATGAAAATAAACTTTATTGGAATTAAAAAGAGATATAAGGGGATCCAAAAGAAAAGATGATATATTTATATATATATTCTCTTTATATTTATAGTAATCAGAGAATGCTACTTCTATTTGTATTTCCTTAATTTAATTTTAGATGACCTTTAGTTTTCTCAAAATGATCTTGAAAAACAAATGCTTCTTACAAGAGCATCTCAAGTTATACTTCTGTCCATTCTTTAGTTGGTAAATTCTATAAAAATATGACTGCTTCACTCATATTCTTTGATTTGATCTATTATATTTTATTAATTTACTTCAGGTGCACATTTAAGTATTAAGTTTGTTACTGTGTATACATGCAAATTGGCCATTTCATCACCTTCGGCTAAATAAGTATCCAATAATCTGATTGTTAAAGATAATGGAAATTCTCTTATTAATAAGCATAAGACCCATCTAAAAGCAAAATGATTTAAATCTATTTGTTGATCTTCAAAATATTGATATAAAGGATAGTCAAGCTTAATATATTAGATTAATTCGTACAATTTTAATCAATTCCCTAATTTTTACATATGCTTCTTAAACACCTGGTTAATTGGCAGTAAAATAATCTTAAATGTTTTCAATTATTTTGCATAAACACCAATAGATATCAGCTTCAATATCGATCAAAATTTCTTCTGGTAATTTGTCAAAATTAGAAGGAACATCAAAAGAATTGAAATCTATTGGAACATATTCATTCAAGAATACTACAATTAAAGGTGATGCCACATCATTGATTCCTTAAACATAACCACTCATTGGATGTCGCATATTCCATATAAATAAAAGTCTTTTAAACATTTCTTAAATCCTAGGATCTCTAAATAGTTTATAATCAGGTTGAGTTCTCAATACATCATTTTATATAATCTTTATGATTTTCCTTTCATTTTCATCTCTTTCTTGTTCATTCATATGTTCATAGTAATTCTTAATGTATTGTTAATAATCTTATCTTTTCTTTAATAAAATAGTAGTCTGACTCATATGATTAGGAGGAATATATTTTACTATTAATTTCCAAACCTTAGCTCTATATTCTAGTTATATTTATCTAAAACAATACCATTAGGTATTCCTCTCCATGTTAGTTTCTTAAGAGCTTCCAAATCAATTATTTGTTGTTCTAGTACAAGTTCAAATTGCTCTAATTTTTTTTAATCCTGAATGGTTGATGTAATTTATTTTTTTTGAAATGGCGATTTATTATAAATTTCATTTAAGTTAGTCTTATAAAGAGAACTTTATTAATCTGATTTTTATCCAAAGAATTTCTTTAAAAATGCCATTATTCAATATATATATTGAATTTATTAAAATAATGATTACATCAATGATTGTAATAAATTACTATATTTAACAATAAAATTCATGTGCTTAATCCTTCTTTTGATTTCTTATGATATTTTATAAATCCAAAAAAAGAAAGTACTTATTTGAACTATTTTATATCGTTATATAAATTGGATCAAATGAATCAGATTAATTCATGATTATATAAAAATTTGTTCAAATCATTTAGGAATATTGCATAAGGCTTTTTTCTAATTATTGAACAAGGTTTCTGTAATAATCATAATAAATAAATACCCCATAGATTTATTATCTGCTTAACTAACAGATACTAAACTTCGATCTAGATGTTCATTCTCTTATTTCAATTTTCTTTATAATTCTTATTATGCTTTTCTAACTAATTCATTTGTTAGTTTTTCTAAAGCCTTTTATTCATTTAATTATTAATTATCTTTTATAACTTATTTAAATCTTAAATCTTTAAGTCTTTCTTATCTTTAATAATTTTCAATCAAATCCTGTTATTTAATTTTCATTTTTTCTTTTCTTATATGTTTTTAAAAATCTTTTTCATCTTTTCTTCTACTACTTAATTCATCTTAATCTAAAAACTTTTTCTCTAAATCTGTAACTCTTTATAATTATAATGATTATATTTTTCTCAATTAATCTTAAGCTTTTTTTCTTTTAGTATGTTCTTCTTATATTTTTGCTTATTCATTCATTTACTTTTATTTTTCAAGCACTAAATTATTTAAATAATAAATTTATACTTTATAGTTCTTATTCTTTATTAAACATTTTTCCTACAACTTTTTAAATAGTTTCTGCTTCCTTTTATTCAGTTTGTAATTTAATTTTTCTTAGTTTTTCATCATAATGAGAACTTCTCATTGTTAATTTTTCTAATTTACATTCCCATGTAAATTTCTCTTTATTTGAATTACATTCATTTTCTATATAAAATAAAAGAGAATAGAATTACATTTAACTTATAAATTAGATAAAGTAAGTGTCATTTTATCTTCCATAAATTTATCAAATTTTTTTTTGTTTGCTCTAACTGTTTCAAATTTTTATCTTAATGCTTTTTCATGTTCTTCAATTTCTTTTTTCTTAATTTATTCATCAAATTATAATTTTTTTCCTAATTCTTCAAATCTTTCTAATTATCTCTTTCTTTCATCTATTTATTTTAGATTAAATTATTTTTCTTTATTTTTGATTTCATTAAATTTCTTTTAAGCAGCTTCTAATTTTTTTTTTTTCTTTAACATTTTTTCCTTTCTTATCTTCTCATTTAATTCAACTATTTTTTTTTCTCTTTCTTCCATCTCTTATTACAATTAATGTCTTCTCTTTTCATTCTCTAACTAATGATGAATTTCTTTAGCTTTAACTCCAAGTGCTCTTTTATATTTTTTAATTTCTCTTTCCAATTATTCTTCTAAAACTAGAACTGGATCTTCTTCATCATAGGATTCATAGGAATTATCATTATCTTCTTCATCTATTTTAAGGTTCACCATCTTTTTA